AAGCTGTTGATAGCTTATGATTTGTTCCCAGTAGCGCCATCAATGATTTCCAGAATTTCGAAGTAAAGAGCTTGTCTCTATCTGAGATGATTTCTTCTGGCATCCCATGATCGGCTAATATGACTCGAATGAAGGTATATGCGAGCGCCTCGGCGTCGCTAGCTTCTAGATATGGTATAAACTTCCCATATTTCGTGAGTCTTTCCGTGATGACGAGGATAGAGTCGTATTCTATTCCTGTTAACGGGTCCTTGGAGGGTGGAAGCTTGACGATGAAGTCCAAAGCTATTGATTTCCACGCTCCTTTTGGTACTGGTGTCGACTTGAGTTGTCCGTATGGCAGATGCCTATTGGATTTTGACTTGCTGCAAATGTCGCACTCTCTTACCACTGTCTCTACCTGCTTCCTCATACCTGGGAAGTAGTAGTGTCGAGTGATTCGTTCGAAGGTTCGTGTTACTCCCTGATGACCGTGTGCTGGTAACGAGTGTTGTTCTTGCACCAGCGGGCGTCTCATTTGACTTGGGACATACACTAACCCTTTGTATCGAATCAATCCTTGTTCGTCGATGGTGAAGTCGCCTTCGACTTTGGACAAGACTCGCTTGGCGCATTCGTCTGTTGCGTAAGCTTTCTTGAGTCTTTCCTCGAGTTCTGTATCTTCGATGACTGAGATCGTCGCTAGTAACTCGTTGTACTGTATTCCTGCATCTGTTTTCTTCAGAATTGCTCTAGGTCTTTCTTCCTTTGGGCCGGCGTAGTCGGTCCGTCTGCTGAGAGCGTCTGCTCTTGCATTCTCGGAGCCCTTGCGATAGGTTATCGTGAAGTTGTAGGCTGCGAGGGTTTCTGCCCAGCGGACTTGTCTGCGGTTTAAAACCTTGGTCGTGGTGAAGTATATGAGGTTCTTGTGATCCGTCCATACCTGCACAGGGTAGGTGGATCCCTCAAGATATACTCGCCACTGCTCAAAGGCAACGACAATAGCCAGTAGCTCCTTGTCGTGGATGTCGTAATTGAGTTCCGCGGGTGACAGTTTCCTAGAGTAGTACGCGATTGGTTTGAACTTACCGTTCTCGTCTGGTTGATTCAGACATGCTCCAATTGCGAAGTCAGAAGAGTCCGTTTCGAGGATGATCTTCTTTGCAGGGTCAAATGTAGCAAGGATAGGTGCTTCCGTGAACTTCGTCTTAAGTTCCTGGAAAGCAGCCTCTGCCTTGTCCGTCCATTTGAATTCGAGATCCTTTCTGGTAAGCTCCGTGAGTGGTTGAGCTACCTTGGAATATCCCGAGATGAATCTTCGGTAGAAGTTGGCGAAGCCTAGGAAGGCTTGCACTTCCTTGACCGTGGTCGGTGTTGGCCATTCCAACACTGCCGTTACTTTTGCTTGGTCCATCTTGATGCCGTGCGTTCCAATAATGTAACCCAAGAATTCGACTTGGTTTTTATGGAACTCGCACTTCTCTGGTTTGAGGAGTAAGCTGTACTCCTTTAGTTTCTTCAGGACGAGTTTGACATGCTTGACATGCTCCTCCTTGGTTGCTGAATACACCAGGACGTCATCTAGGTAGACAATGGTAAAGATGTCTAAGTATTCATGCAAAGCATCATTCATCAGTCATTGCATAGATGCGGGTGCGTTTGTTAGCCCAAAGGGCATGACTTGATACTCGAATAGGCCATAGCGGGTGCGGAATGCTGTTTTCCACTCTTCCCCAGCCTTGATTCGGATCAGGTTGTATGCTCCTCGCAGATCTAGCTTACTGAAGATCTTTGCTCCTTGAAATCTATCGTGTAGTTCGTTGATTAACAGCAGGGCATACCTGTCCTTGATTGTGATGTTGTTCAACGCTCGATAGTCCACACATAACCGTAGGGAGCCGTCTTTCTTTGGTACGAAAAGCACCGGACTTCCTGCGGGTGACGTGGATGGTTTGATGAATCCTTTTGCTAGGTTATCATCAATGTACTCCTTGAGTACCTTTAGCTCTTTTTCTGATAGCTGATATATTGGTCCGAACGGTGGACTCTTGTCTTTCTCCAAGGGTATCTCGTGATCCCATGGTTGGTGCTTAGGAAGCGCCTCGTTCTTAGGGCCTTCCTGGAATAATTGCTCGTATTCCTTGTACTCCACCGGTATACTCGTCGGTGAGGATGCCTGGGCTAGGTCATCGAGCTCGGAGGTTGCACATAACTCCTTCCGGCCCTGGGAGGGTTTCTCCCGTTGTCGCGTGTCCGTCCGTTGTTCACACGCGCACTGGCTCATCACAACTTTCTCGTTCCACCAGTCAATCTGGGGGTTGTGTTTCTTGAGCCATGGCACACCAAGGATGCACGCATGGTTGTCCATGTGCACGATGTCAAACTGAATCGTTTCCTTGTGCCCGTGTAGCATGACCATTTCCAATGGGACCGTTTCGTGGGTCACCATTCCTTCATTAGTCGAGATGGGCTCTCCATCTACGACCATTAACGGGTATGGTTCGGCTTTCATTGTTGTTTTGAAGCCCTGTGTATCTGCTACTTTCTTTGTCATAAAGTTGCCCGTCGCTCCTGAGTCAATCATTGCTCGGAGGTGTCGCTGTTGTATCTTAGCGACCACATATAGTTGCATGCTGCCCGTCGTGGCGCATAGTTGGTCTGTACTAGGCCTCTTCGTGTCGCTCGCCGGTGGCCTACCATCGAGGACTCCTAGTTTTTTGACTCGTCCGAGGAAGGATAGTATTCATCCGCTTCCAATGGTGGTCCTTGGGGAGATCGTTTCCCTCGCTCTTCTGCTTCGTCTAGCAGATGTGGGTATTTCTTGTATACCTGTTCGCTTTTGATAGGCAAGTCCCCTTCAGACTGGCTTCGCCTGAGGGCGTGAACTTGCTCTGCGTCTCTGAAGTGTATCCTGGGCGAGGATCGGGGAAACAACTGATTCTGGTGTTTCTTTTTCCAGTGGAGCTTGCAGTCATCTTTGCTGCAATACTCCCAGTAGACATACGCGTGCCAGGGATGATCAGTCTCTGTTGCGTCTGTCGTTGATAGTTCCCGCTGTCCTCTCACCCATGCACTATCTTCCCTCGGAGGCGTGGAGAACGTGTCTAGTTGCTCCATGGCTCTCCTTTCGATGCGTGGAGTGGGTCTCGCATTTTCCCGTCGGAGCATATCTCTGGCTTTCTCGTCGTACTTCTTCAGGGCTCTCCTGCGGTCCTGGTAGTAAAGTTCGACGCTTTTCATATACTTCAGTTTAGCCATATGCTCAACATCCTTCTCCAGTTCTTCCGCTTCTTGGGCTTCCAACTTAGCTACGTCTTGGGACGTGCCAAGCAGCCTGCGGGTATTCGTTAGTTGGTCGTAGTATCTCCAGAGGTCATCCTTGCAGTCGTCCACCTTGCATTTTAACGGAAGTCCCTGTAACAGGTTCCCGTAGAGGTCTTTAAGCATGGGGATTTTCCTCTGGCCATTGGGCTTGTCTCGTTCGGCCCTAATCTTCGCGTGGGACTCTTAGGACTCTTCTCATCATCCTGCGAGTCCATCACGTGCCTAGTGGACTCCTGGGAACTCACTCGAGTCCTCAGAGTCCTGGACTCTTAGGACTCTTCTCATCATCCTGCGAGTCCGTCACGTGATACTTTCGGAACTACTATTCCCCGCTGCCCCTCCAGGTACCAGGGCCGGTCTCATGCGACCTCCCTCCTTCCTGTCCTGTAGTTGGCCAGCCTTCTTGTTCCGTCGTAACATCCTCCCCCTAATATCCGCATTTGCTGGCTTCCAGCTAACAGTACCAGTCGTTTCCAGCCTCTTGATCAATGAATTATTCAAAATTTTAAAGCTTATTATCGACAACATTGGCTTCAGTTTATAATTGACACTATCGATTCAAATCAAGATCCACAGAAACTTATGAATCTTCGACTCGCTCTTCGCTGGATTATTCGTGCTTGGAATACAGAGGTTATGAAGACTACGATATACAACTGTTTCCAGAAATCTACACTTGTTTCAAATCCAATTATCCTTCTGACAATAATGATACCTACTGGAATACAAGAACTCTATAACCAAGCGATAACTATAGCATCAATTACAGACTCAATGGCTATTTCGAACTTTCTAAACTCTGTGGAAGAGGCTGGAGCAGTAGAAGGAGAGACTACTGATGAAGAACTACTTGAGGAGATAATAGAGGGGCAACTTGGGCATCAGAACTCTAAAAATGATAACGAAGAGGAGGAGCAGCCTGAGCAGCCTGCGCCTACGGCAAAGGAGGCCCAGGATGCCCTCCGGATACTGATTGAGTATTCTGAAGGCCAGGATGCCCTTACTACGGGGCATATACGGGCACTAGAGCGGCTGCAAACAGCCTTTGAGGCTATTCAAGCCCAGTCACAGCAGCAGGTTACATTAGATAGGTGGATTACATAATATTACTCTATATAACGATATATACGATAAGACGATGGAAATCCTTGCTACGGATGCCATCGTCTTAACAAGGGTTTGACTGTATCTATGGTTACATGACATCAATCTAAGGTGATTACTAACCATTACTCTAACTACAATAGGTATCTAGCTTGCTGTAAGTCTTTAACAGATAACTGTCAAGTGTCTACAGTCCTATTTCCTAATTAGGAAATAGTGGAGTTCACAGGGTGCAAGGTTTGTATAGGGGTTTTAGGCTATATTTATCGATTTTTCTACACTAACTATATACAGGCATGTAAAATGAGCTGTTTTACAGCTGCTGAATTCAACGCAACCGCGGAACCACCGCCTATGGTGATGAGCGTGATGAGCGTGTCCGAAGGGCCCTGGACTCTAGAGGGGGGGTGTTGTCACGGGTAGGTAGGAAGTAGGAAGCGTTGGTCGCGGGGTTCGCGTTAGGCTGAGCTAACCCCTGATCTGATGGGCAGTTCACCTGTGTACTCCTCGGTATCCCCATCTTTTTACCGACTCCATCACGCTCGCAACAAGCCGAGGCCCAAGCACCTCGGTAAAAGCGGAACGGCTCCATTTGCAACTACGTGCTATCAACTTTATAACATATGAGGCGAATGATTGCCCTTTACGTAGTGACATGATTGTAGATTTGTGTATACTATCTAATCCTCCGCAATAATAATGGCAACATCTACAGAATTGAAGCCTTTTGGCTCGCGGACACCATTCGCAGAGCCCTTGTGGTACTCCCGAAATCTAACCCCGCATTATAACGAGTCCCACCGCAAACTAAGAGCTGCGATAAGAGCGTACGTCGACGATGAGCTTATCCCTTACGCCTTTGAATGGGAGACTGCAGGGCAAGTGCCAGACTGGGTAAGCTGCGAACCAGAGTTGTGATAACGCAAACTTACAGTCTGAATGTAGGCCTTTAAGCGACACACCGAGCTGGGATTTAGTGCCTTGCACACAAAACTTGACAACGTGCGGCTTCCAGGCGATATTCCGTTCAAGGATTGGGATAACTGGCATACTTTGATTATTACCGATGAGCTAGCACGAGTGGTTAGGCCCCCAGCAAAACATCTGTTGGTTTCGACTTCTAATTTATGAAAAGGGATACACTGGAGTCTTATGGGGGCTTGGTGGTGGTACCGGCATTGGAGTTCCTCCGATTGTGAACTTTGGAACCCAGGATCAGAAGGACCGCTTTTTGCCTGGAGTGGCCGACGGTAGTATTCGCTTTTGCTTGGGTATTACGGAGCCAGATGGTAAGGAATCTTCTCCTTAGTTAACGTTTGATAATAGCTGACATTCAAAAGCTGGATCCGACGTGGCCAACATCAAGACGACTGCCATCCGTCAAGGCGACCACTACATTGTTAATGGCTCGAAGAAGTGGATTACCAACGGCATTTGGGCGGATTATGTCACAGCTGCTGTCCGCACAGGTGGCCCTGGCTCAAAGGGAATTTCAGTGCTCGTAATTCCCATGAAAGTTGAGGGTGTCACCACTCGCAAAATGTTCAACTCTGGAGTAGGTGCATCTGGATCTACATTCATAGAATTCGACAATGTGAAGGTTCCCGTGTCAAACTTACTCCACAAGGAAGGCCGAGGGTTCGAGGTTATCATGTCGAATTTCAACCCGGAGCGAAAGGGTATGATTACATCTGCGTTACGCATGTCGAGGGTGTGCTGCGAGGATGCATACAGGCATGCCTGCACGCGCGAGACATTTGGCAAGAAGCTGATTGAAAACCCTATTATTCGAGCCAAATTCCTGAAGATGGGAAGGTTAATCGAGCCTGCCTTTGCTTTCCTGGAACAGCTAACTTGGATGATGGAGGAGAGTCGGAAGACCGGGAGGACCGATATCAGGATTGGCGGTATGACAGCCATGGGGAAAGTAATGGCAACGAGGTGCTTGGAGTCGTGCGTTAGAGAAGCGCAACAGGTTATGGGCGGATTGGGATACTCCAAGGGCGGCAAGGGTGGGAGGATTGAGGCAATCTCGAGAGACGTGAGAGTTATGGCAGTTGGTAAGTTACTCCCATCCGTTAATATGGGAAGGGTTCTAATTCATACTTGCAGGTGGTGGAAGCGAAGAAATTCTCAGTGAGCTGGCGCTGAGGGAAGAGGCAAAGGATCTTTTCCTGTACCATAAAACAAAGCTATGATTGCATTATAAGTACTGGGCATATATAGCGAACAAATACCTTTTATATATTTGGTTTCTTGTATGATATTGGCTTCGAACAAGAGGTTCGCTGGGTGTGACTAGGTTGTGTGAATATACTGTGACCTTGCAAAGCGCTCATTCACTTATACCCCGTAAGAGACTATGGATCTCCTAGGAATAGACTATACCAATAACTATTTTGCGCTTGCAGCTATTACTCTCTTGCCTCCACTGCCATCTTCTCTCAGCGAACCAGGTTCCAGTCCACAAAGTACAAAATACGAGGACAAGCTATTCTCACACCCAACTTTCAACATCATGTCGCTTTCAACACAGCGTTATCCCAGCACCAACCAACCGCCTAAGCACCTCAATACGGAGTATGGGAATAATACACCCGCCGCTCTCGGTCCTTTCCCACTTCCTGATGGCGACTCTCTGCTATGGGAAGACATAGATCTCCACAGAGAAGCAGTAGTAGCATGCCCCGATCCGACCAAAGAGCTAGACGACATACAGATGCGTGGAGGCTCAAGGTGGTGTGCGATGTTATGCATTGCTTGCCGTTGGAATTGCTGGAATACGAACAGGAAATAAGCTGTAGCTTGGTTTCGTCACGCAGGAGGGCAAATGCAAAGGGTTGTCTTCCCACCTTCTTTGTATCATAGATCGACCGGCATACGTAAGCCTTGGTTTACAGAGCAGACTGTGCAAAGCAAAATGGACAGAGAGAGATAGGATTAGTCCAATATTTCCAATGAATTTTCGACTATAGTGACCCTATATACGTTCTTTCTCCAACTAAATACAACCGAAACCTACTCACATGCGAGTACCACTGGTTAGCAGCCTGGCAAGTGCTTCCGCTAGCGCAAACAGTTCCGCCAGTCAATCCCAGACCGCCACACTGTCCATACTTCGCAACGGTGCCGCTAGCCGCTCCGCCCGTGGCAGTAGTGGGGACACTGGTGCTAGTCGGCGGGTTGGTGCCGGTGGCGCTGAGCTGACTGTTGATGAAGGCCAGTGCCTGCTGTCCGTACACGTTTCCGTAGCTCTGGTGCGTGTTCGCGTCATTGCCGTTGCAGCAGTAAGGATCAGCGGCATCGCAGTAGCTCTTGATCTTGCTGGCGGATGGGCACTGGAAACTCGATGGGCGGGGGGGCGAACTGGGGGTTTTATTAGCTGTGGTTAAGTGTAAAAGGTGGTAGGAAGGCTTACTCCGCCTGCTTGGCAAGTTCCGACGTTGTAGGACAGGCCCGGGGTGTGGCGTGGGTCACCCATGAAGATGGCAGCCTAGATCATGTTGACGGCTGAAGCTTGGATGGAAATTGAGGTGTCGCTGATCCCCTCGTTGGTATCACCACCACCGCAGAATGCATCGTCAAAGATTTGACCACCCTATTAACTAGTTAGCTCCTCTCTTCTATAATTCACCATCAGCTCCAGCTGGTTTCTAACCTGAGACTATCCGACAAGGACGAGCTGCGTGCTTGGGAACATGGTGTTGAATACACTAGACTCCCTGCTGAACAGAGTTGGCGTAGCTAACTCCGCCGCAGCTGGATTGTCCACCACAAGCTGGGTAGACAATGGCCTCAGCGGTGGATCCGGAGTGTGCGTTCAGAACCAAGTTAACAACAACGCCGGCAGTACCGTAGCCTGGAGACACCGAAGTCTCGCGAGCGCCAAAGATGTGAATACCGGGACAGCTGCTCTGGCGTTCCTCAAGTACGCCTGCTGGCGTCGCGAGTGCGCCGCCGAGGAGAAGAAGGGAAGTAGCTGCCTTGAACATATTGAGAAGCTGAATAGATAGATGAGTGCTGCTGTAGAAATTGGGATCTGGATGTATTCAAGATGGGGAAGGGAAGAAGTGAAAAGAGCAAAGGGAATACTGGCTTTATAGCCATATGAGAATGAGACGGCCCACCCATCATGAGGTGGTATTTTCTACCAAGCTTTTCTTGTCTTGATGACCTCTGGAGCCTTTCCTTTCCCCCGGAATGGAAGCTTTCTTTATTTACCCGCCAGAAACAAAAAGTCAAGTGCAGTTTCAATAACAAGGTCTCCACCAGCTGTCCAGCGTGCGGGGCTAATGTGGGGATATAGGCACAACACCGAACCGAGCACTTAGATTGATATAGACGCCTCAACAATGCAAGCGGCTGCAATAGACTGGCGAAAAAGCCATATATATGGGCCATTTTAAATAATTCGGATCAATCAAATGCAAAACAACTGCAGACCACGTGGCCTGGAAGAGGACACCAAGAACGACCTTATCCAACAATGCATCGTCGGATTCGTCGGATGCTAGGCCTAATTATCGTCTTAATTAAGATCGATGGTTGACAGCTACTACTTAACAAGCTTAGTAACTTCACCAGCCGGTGTCACAAATTGTATAACAGGCAGTCTGTTCATATCCCGTCCGTCCCTGCGCCCGTCCGAGGCATCTTCAAGGCCATATGTGGTGAAAGATAGATGGCAAGGGCCAGCACCGTAGCTCATTAAATCTCCAATGCCTCTGGGCTCGCGGTATCCCTTGTCACCGCCTCCACAGGAACACCCTTGGTCTTGGTGAGAATCCAGCATGATGCATACATATTGACGCTGTTTAGGAGTTAGCCATTTCCTTCCAGGGGATAAAAAGGTTAACATACCGATCAATACAACCGCCATTCTCTCTTACACCCTCCCTCTTAGCCACAAATCCCCACTTCTCAAATTCGTCGATATACCACGGCTTCTTGCCAGCACTCCTCAGCATAACCCTACCACCGAGCTTGAGGGCATTGTTTAACTTCGAAATCTGCGTTGCCGCCGCCTGACTCCCTGGGTCAAACCAATCCATGCTGTCCATCACAACGGCCACAGTCAATGTGCCAGGTCGTATCCTGTTTACGACCTCTTCGATCTCATCAGTGTGAATGCGTAGGCCCTCGAATGCATCTTTGCGAGATAGCTTCTTGTGCGCCCTCTCGTCCAGATACTCTGGGTGACACTGTGGCGTGTATGTACCCGCCATACAGACCTGGTAGTAATGGTTGTCCTGCCCGATGAGAGTGTGCTCAACAACTGGGTCAAGCGTGTCCACCATGTACTGCCAAACTGCCTTACCTCTGTTCTGCTCCCTCACCCTCTTATCCAGGATTTTTCCATCAGAAGAATCGGTGCCCTGAGATATGGAAGGATAGTCGCTCTCAATAACGGCAAGCTGGTTCTTTGGCACACCGAGTGCGGCCCACAAAAAGCGCGGCTGTGAGATTAAGACGCTTGAGAGGATGCGCGAGAGGATTACTGGTCGGATTGAGGAGCGGTAGATCTCTCGTTGCTCAATCAAAGTCTTTGCGCGGAGTACCTTTCGTACCTCGTTGGAGAGACCGAACACATTCGACATGTAACGGAATAGCTTCACGGCGTATCGGCTTCCACCTGTCTCATATAATCCGCGACCCCTGGGCGAGAAAATAGATACATTGTCGAGCCAGTACTGGAACGCGCGGCTCGACAAGTGTGGCGACAGCTTCTCAATCAGCAGCTCGCGGAAGTTGGCATGCTTTCCTTCGCCGAAGATCCTCCAGAAGTCGGCGTAAGGGAGGCAGTGATAGCCAGCGACCTTGAGTTCGAGGAGGTTGTTCTGAGAAGGGTTCAGGTCCACGGCGTGGATGCGAGCCGGAGAGCGTAGAGCGTACGAGAGGATGTTGTCGCCAGCGCTGGTGATGGCGAGTACGACGTCGGAGGGGGTGAGATTCAGGATACGGTCGTCCACACGGGTATCTTCCCAAGTAAAGGCGTAAATGTACTCGTTGTTGAACTGGGTGTGCTTTTGTAACTGATCGTCGAAGTGAATGCGGTAGTGGTGGTTTTGATAGAAGAACGAAGGGAGGGGAAGGTTGGAGGTCAGGTTCAGGAGAGCGGCGGAGTAAGCCTTGGATCGGATCTCTGGGTTTGCCTTCTCAACTGCCTTTGACAGGTTGGCCGTGTAGTTCGCGGGGTGTAGGTAAGGAGATTCGGTGACGGCCGCATCTATGCGCTCGATAATATCATGGCTGGACGGAGACAGTGCTGTCGAGTGCTTCTTGGGGCAGCCAAGCCACATATAGTAAGGGATGGCGCCCAGGGCATAGTTGCGGCTGTCGGCCGAGAGGACCGTTCCAAATCGGTATTCAAGGTAATCACGGCGGCTGGCATCGAGACCGACGCGGTCGATGTCAAACCACGCACGCCAGAACAGTCGGCTAACCCAGTTGACGTGGCGTGTCAGGGCACCACCGGTGTAATTCCTGGAGCTCAGATCGACGACAGATTGCACGTAAAAGTCGACGACTCCAATAACTCCAGACGGAGAGAGGAGGTTGGTGAGAGAGTCGATCACTGAGTAGAAATCGGGCTACGCAATTAGCTTGGTACTTTTAAACTGGAGGCGTCACTCACAATCATTGACAAGCTGTATGACATTGTAACCAAGTCTGCTCCCACAGAAGATTTTGAGTCGGAGAAGTACTCATAAATGGCAGGCGGGGGGAGAATGAGGTCGCTGGAAGACTCGTCGCTCTCGCCCTCGTGGTCTTCAAGTCGGAAAAGTCTCGCATCCTGGCACACAACTTTCACATTATTCCATCCAAGGCGGACAAATCTCTTACGCGCCACTTCGCACAGCGAGGGCGAGAAGTCGACAAGATAGACGCTGGAGAAGAACTCGGGGACGTTTACGTATTCGGACATAGCCTCGATGTTGTAGCCTGTCCCGCCACCAACCTGGGTATCTAGCGCATCAGTTGCCGCGACTGGCTGGAGGGTGCGGCTCTATACTCACATCAACCCAAATACGTCTCTGGTTCTTCGACTGGTTGGCTGCTGTAGCCTTTTGCTTCAACTGCGCAGCCACCAACCCAAGCATGTCCTCTCGGCCACATAGGAGTCGTTTGCGGGTCGCGTCATAGACGCCGGCTTGCGCCTTGTAGAAGCTCTCGAGAGCATCTTGCTGGCCATTCTCACCGCTCTTCTCGTGCGGCTTGAGAAAGCACGCGTAGAAGAAGCGGATGAACGAGGACCACGTGCTCAGCTCTTCGTCATTTTCGGGGTTCTTCTTTCCCCCGAAGGTTGTGACAAATACAATACCGACAAGAATCGCAATGGATGCTCCGGCAGCAATAATTTGGGAGTGGGAATCCTTGGGCAGGATGTTAGGGATAAGAGAAGCCATGGTACTCTCTCATAGTGTGTGAGAAAAGCACCGCGGAGATTTGGATAGAAACTGCACAATGAAGCAAAGCTGCTGGGCGGAGATAATAGGTAGTTGCAAGAAATCAGAGGAAAAAGGAAAGAGGAAAAAGGAAAAAGGAAAGAGGAAAAGGCAAAAAGGAAAGAGAGGAAGGGGACAGCAGCGGGGAGATATAAAGGCCCAATGGGCCGTACTGGGACAGGCATAGCTGTGTGTGGGTGGCGGTAGGAGGGGTGGAGGCGGGGTGACGTTTCAACGTCGAGCAATACACACAACGTGGACTGATTCAGGAGGAGCAGGAGGACCAAGGAAATGACCAGGGACGATCAGGGCTCAGTTGATGACCCCTCGTGGTCCACAGTAACATCCCACTATCTGGGCGGTTATCGGTACAGCGCAGCGGTGGAGTACTTTAACAGACCACAATGTGACCCCCATCTGCAACATTTCCATACTGTATAGCTACAGCATCACCGTCTTGGGGGGACAGGGGAGCTCTCGTTGACAGGCCGTTGTGGTTCTGATGGAACGGGGCAGCATCGACCTATCATCGCGGCACATGGCCTGGTTACACTGTGTTGGACGAGTAGTATACTGTACTGGCGCTGTACGGGTGCTGCACTGCAATTGTATCCATTTAAAGTAAGAACAGTAGACAAATCCCTGGCTCTCATCAGATTTGACGATCCTAAAGATCGTCTCTATAGAAACGTGTATGGTCTCTATGGACGAGAGGTGCCAAGACTCACGATGGTCGAATGTCGTCATTTCGACCAATCAGATGCGCAAGAGCAACCACGACCTAGCGACCTTAGTCAGCCACCCACCACAAGCCAGACGTGCTGCCCCAGTGCCCATGGTCTATCCATTTCCCTCAGCCTTGCCCGTAGCCTTCCCCTTCCCTCTTACAAAACCTACAGAACAAACTGTGGTAGTGAGCATCCTACAGTATACGCAAGCCCAAAACGCCATTACCTCGGCACCCACCCTCAGCCTTAAGCCCGCCTCTCACGCTCCTGCCTCTCCATCTCACTTCTAAATACATTACTTCCCCTTGCCCCTCCCCCCACGCCATTCCCGAACTCGGGTCTTGTCGGGGTGCTCACCAAGCTCCCCAGATCGCTGTCCCTCCTCCTTGCCCGATCTTGCTCCAATTCAAACGTGTCATCTCTGAACGACGTCTGGGCATCGAGAGGAGCACCAGCCTCTCCTTCCCGCTCCTGCAACTTAATCGCCCCCTTCCGCCCCATCCCCAACCGCTCGCCCCTGCTCTTCCCGATTCCATACCCCTTCCTCCGACTCATCACGTTGCCCAGCCCAATGACCCTGGCGTGTCTGTTCCACCAGAAGCCGCCGCACACACAAAGGATGATGAACCCAAACACTGCCGGTAGCGCGATGTATAGTGCCGGTCCCTTGGGCACCTGCGTGGGCTTGAACTCGACTTCCTCTGGCGCAGTGCCAATTGCTATCCGTGGGCCCGGCAGGCGTTTCCCACCTGTTGCGGTGGCCAGGAACAAATCGATATAGTTCTCCTTGGATCCCTGTTTCCATGCCTCTAGGGCATTCAGGGCGTACCACCCGCGAGAGCCCGACAGTGTGTCTGACTGAAACGCTTGCTCGCCACCAACAGAGGCATTGAAGTAATTCCCAAGGACGAACACGGATGCGTTTCCGGGGAATGCGCTTGTATCCCAAGTTATATAGTATGTGGAGCCGGGTTCAAGGTGTGTGCCATTGGTAGGTACGCAGAACGGCGCGTTGGGACCATCTTTGTTGTGGCAGACGTCGAAGGATGAGCCGCCTGCTTGTGTCTGCTGAGCACCCGCACTAGTTGTAGTTGCGCTTGGAGAGGCATTTATGGTCGTTGCTACGCCATTGATGGTTGTGGCTACTGGCGTAACAGTCGAGGCAACGCTGGACGGGTTGACGGTTATCCACGGTTCGAGGCCCGAGTTATCTGTGCAAAGTAACAATTTTAGCATGTGTAACAATTGGAGGAGCTGTTATGAAGTAATACCACGACGATGGCCCGGTACGGCGAGTGCAGAGGGTGCAAAGGAGGCCAGGCCGAGGAGAGCAACACTGAAGCTGGCCAACGCGTGCATTGTTGCAGCAGTTCGCGAGTTCAGACGTGGAGAGCGAGTAAACAAAAGCAACAGATGCAATTATGAAGACTAATTGGATTTCGTAGACATTGAAGATAAACGATCGGTAAATCACAGGCAATTAATTGGAAAAGGAAGACAATCTTCGGTCAAACCTTGCTACAATAATTAACAAGGTACCTGACGAGTTCCAGCATACGGACACCAGTGTCCGAATAAAGCGAACGACATTCGCGGACACCCCTGGATTTGTAAGCGGTTACGTAAGCAAACCCTAGCAAACTGAAACGGGCCAAATTGATAAAGGGATTCATAGTAGAGTAAGGTGCATAATAGTATAAATGAATCACTAAATAAGAAGTGATTCATAGTAAGAATACCCCTATTTCTACTTGCCTTATTCCTCTTCATGCCTTTCCTTTCTTCTTGTAATATGAACTTCTTCAACTCTTACTTTAACTATTACTAATTACAATGTCTTCCTACTGTAATGGTGGGTGCACCAGATATGAGAATCTAGCCACCCAAGGAAGGGATGAATTTACTAAGACAACACACTGTCTTAGGAAACAGAGCCAAAGGGTTGTAGCTTAGACTATTCCACAACGCAGCAATCAGGTGTATGATGTGGTGAAGTGGGTTAGACAAGTTGCAACAAATGTTGAGTCTGGGAACTCAGGGGTAAGTCAGAGGTTAGCACCTCACTGACTTTTCAAAAACAGAGAATAACAAGATCAATGCTTGGAAGCTTGGAAAAGACGTAGAAGTATGTGCTAGTCGATTTACTGTATTGCCTGCTTGCCCTTTCTTAAGGAAAGGGCAATCCTATTTATGCCAAAGGAGTGTAGTTCTCTCATTTTCCATGACTTTCCATGACTAACCAGGCTTGGTAAATGTATTAGAAATCAAGTGCGACCCACAACTAGCTTGCTAATCATGTAGTGAACGTAAGAGAATCCCATAGAACCATCTCTTGGGTTCCTAGCCTATAGGAAGTGAAAAGGAGGTCCAAGGTCAGAGTACCTATAGACAAATTATGTCATAACTTAACCAATCTTGTGGGTAACTAAGGAGCGATGACGTGTAATGAATCATAGAGGGTTGTAGAAGCTTCTAGAGCTATCGTTCATGTTCCTAGGCCTCTACTTGGTAGAGATATGCCATGTGGTAGTATTGACCCACCCCCTTAAGGAGGAGATTTTCTTAATAACTTGTTCAATGAGTGTCCAAATGATATGCGGTGATGTATGTAGCATAAACAGATGTAGTAGAAGAGTTTGCAGCAATCGTTGAGTAGTATTGCTTCTGTTGTTGGTGTGATAAGCCAAGATATGTATGGTGACTTGTAGGTTTGAGGAGGAGATTTCTAAGTTTGCTCTTGAGTTTGATAGCAAACTGAGTGCAACGAATGTCAGTATGACACCTACCTTACTCTAACTACGGTCTTAGCTAAGTTCAACATCCCTAGATGTCATGTCCACCCCTAGGTAGTTGAATTCAATGACAAGGCAGATAGGACCAAGAAGATGGCTACCTACACTAACAAAATGAAGGCAGCTAACTATTACTAACAGACTGTAACGCTGACTTCTAAACGATAGAAGACACAGAGGTTTCTTGCGTAAGGTTGACTTGACAGAGGAGGCAGGGGATTATACACAAAGGCTTTCCAAGTAACATGTTACAGTATTGTAAAGAATACTATATTGAGTTGAGCACAAAGCTCCTATCTAAGGAAATACTATCTACTTATATAGTGGCGTCGTGCCTCAAGGGTAATCTGGATAGTTGGCGGATAGCTAGATATTCAGGATAGTTCGTGGATAGCTCAACTATCCAATATCCACTAGTTTTTGCAACTATCCATTAGCCCCATCACATGGCAGCCTACCCCGCTTCCCCCTGTGACTCACACATCACGTTACTAGGCCCTGGCCCTGTAACCATGACGTCATGTTACTGTAGCCGTAACACTCTGCTGGTGACATCTGATATATTGGTCCGAACGGTGGACTCTTTCCTTCCATGATAGGTATCTCATGATCCCATGGTTGGTGCTTAGGAAGCGCCTCTTTGTTAGGGCCTTCCTGGAATAACTGCTCGTATTCCTTATACTCCACTGGTATTTGCCTCAGTGAGGATGCCTGGGCTAGGTCATCAGACTCGGTGGTCGCACATAACTCCTTCCAGTCTTTGGAGGTTTTCTCCTTCTGCGTTGTGTCCGTTCGTTGTTCACACGCGCACTGGCTCATCACAACTTTCTCATTCCGCCAGTCAATCTGGGGGTTGTGTTTCTTGAGCCACGGTACACCAAGTATGCATGCATAATTGTCCATGTGCACGATATCAAACTGTATCATTTCCTTGTGTCCGCGTAGCATGACCATTTCTAATGGGACCGTCTCCTGGGTCACCATTCCGTTGTTGGTTAAGATGGGCTCTCCATCTACAACCATTAATGGGTATGGGTCGGTCTTCAGTTGCATCCTGAAACTGTGTGTGTCTGCTACTTTCTTTGTCATAAAGTTGCCCGTTGCTCCTGAGTCTATCATAGCTCGGAGGTGTTGCTGTTGTATCTTAGCAACCACATATAGCTGCATGCCGCCCATTGTGGCCCATAGCTGGTTTGTACTAGGCCTCTTTGTGTCGCTCGCCAGTGGCCTACTGCTAAGGACTCCTAGTTTTTTGAATCGTCTGAGGAATAACCGTCTGAGGAAAATCAATCCATCATGTTCACAATATTCTAATGGTCGTAGAACTGGTACCCTTTCTCTTCTTTGTTCTATTTCACGGTGTAGGCGTTCGTGTGCTTCTAACACTCGTGTTCCCCTTTCTTCTCTTGGGATGCTTTCCTGGGAAGGATACTTATTTGCATCCCAGATTTCTGCAAGCTGTGATGCTTCATACTCTCCCTCCTGTTCTAGTTGTTGTAATACTCATAACAGGTTGTTTCGTCGAGCCTTATATACCTCATTCTTAGGGTGGTGTATGTCATCGATTCTCCAATCTGCGATAGCGTCCCGGACGTTGTATTCGCAGAGCTTGTACTCTAGCCATCCTGTGGCTTCCTTCTCTGTGTATTTCGCTCCATGGGGTTCCTGCTGGTGAGGGTATTCTGGTCGGCACCTGATTGTGCAAACTGCAACCTCCCAGTCTTGTGTCGTGTCCTGCCAGCTCATTGGTGGCTTGGGCACAGGAATTTCTTGATTGACCATCTCTTGAAGCATGGCTTCCTTGAAGGTTCTCACTGCTCCTGGCAGTTGTTCCTTGAAGAGAGTCTTACTTGCTGTCTTCTCAAATGCTTGTAACTGGTGCTTTTGAGAGCTAGTGAGCTCCTTGTTGTCATTCTTGTCTTTCTGTTTGACAAGTGGAATTCCTTGAGATCCTGAGTAGTAATACTCCAGTTCTCTTTTCCCTTCAACGTGGCACATAGCTGTCCTCGCGGGGCCTTATACCCGCCTTGACCTTGCCAAGTAGCGTTAAGCTGTTTGCCATACTTTCATCCTCCATTCCCTTTCTTTGCACCACCCCCCTTCTTCCTCCCCCCAGTGCGGTCCGGAACCGTCACGGTGACAGCGATGGCAGGAAGCCTGCCCACGGCAGCCACCACTTCCCCTAAAAGAGCCGGCATGCTCCCCTGCTCCATCCGAAGACGGCGCAGTGCTGCCTGCAGCAAACGCTGCAGAAAATGCTCCTGTGAAGGCCCGTCGACAAGTGGGGGATCGCACATAGAAGGCTACTGCGCCGTGACAGAAAAGGTATCTGATCATGCATCCCCGCCTCCGGACCAATCACGGCCCACATCTTCTTCATCGTCATCACTGCGAGACGTCGATGAGCCTCTCACTCCAAGAATGGATGTAGATTTTAGGATAGATTCTCTCTCGGATATCTTTGACATAGCAGTAGATACTCCCGGCTCTTCTCCAGCAGGATACAGTACCTTTGAAGGTGAGTTTGAGCACTACCACAATCAAGTAATGGCTTCTAGGGATCCAAACTATGACTTTTCCTCTACTGTCTGGCAATACTGATGTCATTTCAATTCGATCAGCTTTTATCCCGTAATATGATACCAGTCGTAGATCAAGGCTGGAGATCTGATGCAGCGCGTCTGTCGCAAGTCTTGCGGAAGCTGCTGGCCAGCTGATCATACGCCAAACTCTTACATTTGCTGCAACACTGCCACCAGAAATGTCTTCTATTATTTCATTACATTACTATTATTACAAATGTCCTTACTTTTCACCAAATCAAGGAATACCAAAGCCGTTTATAGAGGTCCTGTAGAACAGGTCATATGGTTGCGTCAGGTTATACTGGGAGTCTGCAAAGACAAATTTACAAGGAATGGATTTCACAGGCGTATGTTATAGCAATGATCTGCAGAGGTGTGGTTATAGGGAACAGTTATTTTGATATATGATTAATTGTCACTTATCTACCAAGACGTGCCAGGCTCATGTGATTCCATTGCTACACAATCCGCCGACTTTTATTCACGTATCAAACATTTCAAATATAGCTGTAAAACAAAACTAACACTGACAAAAATGCATACTAGAAAGGAGAGCAAATCAGAGAAGTGTATTAACTTATGCTCCCACAACATCTCGCGCCTGTTCATGGTACCGGAAGCCTCGGTGAGAACTGACTGCCGCCAGAGCTACCATCCACTTGAGGTCTTCTTTTTTCCAACCGAGCTGTAAAAGCGGATGCTGATTAGATGTAGCACAACTTGTAGTGGGACTTGCTTACATCTAATAGCTCGTCAAATGATCTGGCTACTGGATCTTGGCCAGGAAGTCAACAGCTTTGCAGTCGGCTGGCCATCGCTCCATGTTGTGGGCACCGCTGGCTCCATTGTCAGATTGGACAACTTTAGGGCACTTTCATAAGTATCTTAAGTTCTTTTATCAAGCAACACTTGCAACAGAAGGATATGAAGCTACTATTGACCGAGTATTATCTACTATGGAGTTTTTCTTGAGAAGCTAGAGGCAGCAAAAGTAGAGTTCAAAGAGGACGCTTTTCTAAGCCCTTGTGTTAATTCTGCGTGGAAGAAGTTGGATAAGTACTATGGCTTAACAGAGAGATCATCAGCCTATACTACTGCAATGGTCATGGTTCCTAGCCAGAAATGGACGTGGATTGAAGATAATTGGGAGAATTATTGGATCAAGATTGCAAAGAAGCAGGTACAAGAGCTTTGGGATACTGAGTATAAGCCTGTTCAATTGCCGCCGCCACCAAGAGTTGAGATCTCGATTGAAGAGAAAACAGAGCATCAGATTTGGCTTGAGCAAAAGCGACGACGACCCCTTGTTTTAGACGAGTATATGAAGTACTGTGGAAGCCCAATTACCTCCGATGTTAATGCAAGAGCTTGGTGGATGGAGCCAGCTCAACGAGCAGCCTTCCCAAATCTAGGAAGGATGGCTTTAGATTTGCTGTCAATACCAGCGATGTCACCCTGCGGTAGAAAAGCAGCTCTACTGCAGTATGCTGCCACTTACAGCCGCAAGGCAGTAGGTCCTCGTTGTCAAGGCCACAGGGGGTGTCTAATTCATCGTTAGGAAAGAGGAATCGCAGAAGGTGTACTACTTACCTTAGGGGAGCAGCATCAGCTAGTTCCTAGTGCAGCCTAAAGCTTCGTTAGCAACGAGACAAACAAGGGATAATATAGAACACTTACAGCCATAACATTTGGCAGTGGTGCTAGCATGCACTTCACCATTAGTCTTGTGAGGCCAGCATAGGCGGCTAAAGTGTTACGGCTACAGTAACATGACATCATGGTTACAGGGCCAGGGCCTAGTAACGTGATGTGTGAGTCACAGGGGGCAAGCGGGGTATGCTGCCATGTGACGGGGCTAATGGATAGTTGCAAAAACTAGTGGATATTGGATAGTTGAGCTATCCACGAACTATCCTGAATATCTAGCTATACGCCAACTATCCAGATTACCCATGAGGCATGACGCCACTATATAAGTAGATAGTATTTCCTTAGATAGGAGCTTTGTGCTCAACTCAATATAGTATTCTTTACAATACTGTAACATGTTACTTGGAAAGCCTTTGTGTATAATCCCCTGCCTCCTCTGTCAAGTCAACCTTACGCAAGAAACCTCTGTGTCTTCTATCTTTAGAAGTCAGCGTTACATAAAGGTTCGTTAGCAACAAGGATTATAGACTACTAATTCACTTACTGTAACTGCTCCTCTAAGCAGTTGGTATTCTGCAGGGGGCAGGCAGCGATAGTTCCCTAGCAGGCAAGGTAGGCGGTGCGGCGTTGGCTAAAGACTTGTTACTAACGAGGATTCTAAAACCATAACTTTCACTTACGTAGGAGTGCAGTTCCTAAGGATGGCAGGATCCCATCCCACCATAGTGGTCTAGGCGGCGTTGTCGAAAGTGTATTGTTGTGGCATTTTCTAAAAGACTCGTTAGTGATGAGGAAAAAAGGTTCGGTAGGGGCGAGCCTACGAGGTAGGGGGGTAGAAAGTCGGTAATTATTCCTAAAAGCGCACTTGTGCATGCCACTTAGCCTAATTAGGGCTAAGCTCCTAGACAACAATGCTACAATAGCCACCTTGCCTAATTGGGCTAAGTGGCCTACCCACCTACCTGCGCAAGTGATTTTTCAGGTGAATTCATCCTCAGGCATAAAGTTCTACTTTCTGTGGAGTGGTACTAAAATAGACAAGCTTAAAAGTCCCGTGACCCCGCGTGTGTCGCGTAAAGTTAAGTTTCATCTACGTTAGTCTTCCCATGACGCGCCCGATAACAAACAATCTAGTCCAACACACCCCATTGTTACCCACGTTTCTCCGGCTTCCCCAACTTCGACAGGGAGTTTGATTAAGCAAAACTAACAAGCCATGCGTGTGGCATAGTTCTATATTTCTACTAATTTTTAAACTCGAAAGCAACGCTTAAACAACAACTCCGAAATCTAGTGCAGACCCAAACTCCGCCACCAACCGTCCATAATGGCCCGTCGAACCTCATCGCGAGCAGCTAGCCATGATCAATATTCATCGCCACCCAAGCCCGACGCTTCCAGGCGCACTGTTCGAAGCCCACAGAAACGCTCAACGCGCGCAACCCGCAGCCAGAGTCGAGATCTTGATGAGCCTTATGCGCAGGACCTGAGACAAGGCGGGGGCAGCGTGGACAGTGTAGGCAGCGACGCTAGCAGGGCGAACAATAGTCGCGGAAAGAAGGTGCGCGGTAATGCGCCAATACAACCAGGTAGGATTATTGAGGCAAAGGCGCAAGATTGCGATCTAACATACGATCAGATTTATCAATGGTGGCCGAGGATGAAGAAATGCAAGGATCGCTCGAAAATGAAGAAGAGGCTCAGGAATTTCCCAGCGTTCAGCAACCTCCAGAGCCTATGCCGGGCCTTTCCGAAATATCACAGCCAGCGCCTTCGGCTAAGAAATCCCTTCTCCCTGCCGCTCAGATCCGTAGTACCTCGCGAGGAAGCAGGTGTGTGGAATCCATCTTTACCTCACGTTGTTAGATTTATTTAAATATGGCACGACCAGTTGAAGGTAACTCACTAAGCCGCGATACCCATGCTAACAGTCGCTTTAGTCTCTACTGGGGACCGACCAGCGTCAGCTATCTCTTCTCCAAAAATCCCCAGGCAAGTGCGGTGCCTCCTTCAAACCAGCAACAACTACAGCAGCAAGTCGCCGCTGGTCCCTCAGCACCCAAGACACCGCAGAATAGTGCGACGCGCCATTTACCCTCGACCGCCCCGGCGAAAACATCACAAGAAGAGCACCCAGAAGCGGATGACAACAGGCACATACATTTCTCGAATGAGGATTTTGCAAACATGATGACAGAATATGACGCGGAGAAGAACAAAGAAAACAGGCCTCTCACTACCGAGGCCATCCCTCAAACGTCAGCAACAACACTTCCTGCAAACCCTCAACGCAAGTCCTTCATTGAGCGCCAACCCAGCGCCCATAGAGTATCCCAAATCAGTGACTCCGACGCTGATTCTCAGCCGGATCCCACGGCCAAGCAACACGCCAAGCGCACACGAGAGGAACCCGAAGAAGTTTCTGAACACGAGGTAGAAGCGGCTATGGGTGAGGACGAAATCCCGGAAGATGATGGCTTCGAGCAGGACCGCGCCCGGCTACTTAGTCGCTTCCGGGACCCCCCTCCTGAGGTCATACAGGTCACAGGAGGTTCGCGCAAACGCGCAAGGATTCCCAGCCGCGTCGTTTCGCACGGTCCCGTAGGAGAAGTACAGTCCAGACAACCGCGCATCGAGCCTACAGCGTCCAGATTGCAGCAGCAGCCCAGTTCCAGCCGAGTGCAAGGTAGCAATGTCGTTTCTCCTATCGAAGAGAAATTGAACGAGAGAATTAAGGCGTACCATCAAGCGCAGCACCAAGCAACGCAGTATGATGCAGCGCGAGAAATGGCGGCGCAACAGGCGCAGGCGCGTCAGCTGAATATTGGTGCCCACAGGCCGACCCAAAGGCGGATGAAGTGGACACAAGACGAAGAGGCCGGGTTCATAAACCTGATAGGACGGTATGGGGTTGGCTGGGCAGCACTGCATGCGAGAGGTCACGCAGAGGGGATATTCGACGAATGTCGGAACCAGGGATCACTGAAGGACAAGGCTAGGAATATGAAAGTTGACTTCCTGATGTGAGTTGTCTTTTACCACCCCTCTCTCATTGCTGGTATTTCCATTGGCGAGGGCATTGGGGGATTGATGTGAGTATAGAAATAAGCTAATGATAATAGTTCGGGGGGACCTCTCCCTGCGAATTTTGACCTCATTGCGATAGGGCAGAAGGAGAGAGATAAGGTGCTTAGCAGGGGCAAGAACCCCTATCGCAAGGAAGGCGAGCTCGTGGGTCAAGAAGCTATCGATATGGATGGGCAACCTAGAGGTGTCTTTGACTGATCTCCTGTCTCTGTTTGTAGGGGCCGTATGACTGCAAATGGATGAGGTGGGTCGGGGTAGGGAGTTGGTCGTGTTTCTGTCTTTTCAATATACCCAAGAGGATCACAATGGATGAGTTTTTTCCGTCGTTCACAAGTGGGCTCACAAACCCGTTTTATTTATATATGATAACTTTCCTTCGCGCCTTTACGGTTGTTTTGGATGATGGTAATGTTACGATATGAGGGGAGAGCTGTGTTGATTCGGGGAAATAATAGGTGTTTTGATATCATAATTACAATCAACATGGGGAGCTGGAGTCTTCCTTAGATTTTCCTCTTCGTAATAAGACTGGTCTTTTGATTGAACCAAGTCACTTGCAACCCGTGGCAAGCACCTCACTAGATTGACCAGTTCACCAGTAAACCTATCACTGCCAGTACCGTATCTATACTATACAGTAAATCTTCATAACGCGATACACGATTATGCGATAATCACGACAACACGATATTTTTCCTGGGAATCTTTGATTTCTCATACAAATCACGATATACAGAATATCAAGTCCTATTACGTCAATATCGTGTTATAGTATTCCTGTGTCCTTTTGTCGAAATGCCTCTAAAAAAGCAGCAGGCGATCACAAATGAGCACCGACATGCACCCGAAGCTGGCACCGAAGCCACTATCCTCGACCGTATCAGAAAGCCTGTATCGAATGGTTCTTCAGCCAATATAACCACCGTCTTACCCAGTCACAGTCTCTACATCTCTTGGCCCTTGATACGACAAAGTCGACAGTATCCAGCAGACTCCTACACACCAGGCCAAAGCTTGTCGACAGAAAGAACCAGCCTGGCCACTTCTTGAAGCAGTCCTTTACGACTGGCAGAGGCTTGTAGAGGAACGTGGGGCTATTACAACAACAGAGATTCTACAGAAGAAGGCGAAGGAGATCTGGGAACAGCTTCCTGAATACAAAGACCAGCCTACACCAGAGTTCAGTTACGGCTGGATCATTAATTTCAGAAAAAGGCATAACATACGAGTTCACATCCAACACGGTGAAGCAGGGTCAGTTAGTGAGAGTGCAGAAGAAGAGATGCGAGCTTTCAGACTATTGCTGGGGATTTTGAGGAGGACAATATCTATAACATGGATGAGACAGGGCTTTTCTGGAAGATGTCCCCTTCAAGAGGGTTGTCATCAACGTCAAGACCTGGAAGAAAGCACAACAAAGCTCGAATCACTGTTGTTATTTGTACAAATGCTTCTGGATCAGATCGGTTTCCTCTATAGTTTATTGGGCATGCAAAAACACCAAGAGCTCTTCGAAACGTTAACATAGGATCTATGGGAGGAGTTTGGAAGTCAAACAAGAAAGCTTGGATGAATCAGTTCCTTATGGTTGAATGGTTACAAGCCTTTTACTTACATATCGGCACAACGAGGAGTGTACTTCTTACCATGGACAACTTCTCAGCACATATTGCTGCTATTGAAGCAGCTCCACCTCCTTCAAATATTCGAATTCTCTGGCTTCCTCCAAACTCAACAAGTCGATTTCAACCCCTTGATAAAGGTAGTATTGCCTCCCTTAAAGCCGATTACCATCAACAGTGGCTTGAATACATGCTTAATGCATTTGAGAATAACATGAATCCCTTCAACTCTATTAACTTACACTTCGCTATTCGCTGGCTTCTTCGGTCCTGGCATCATGATGTTACAGATACAACAATATATAACTGCTTCCGAAAAAGCACAATGCTTCGAAACCCAATACAGCTTTCAATCCAATCTCTTCCAGCACTCAACAACTTGTACAATCAAGTATGAAACTCTGGGCAAATTCATGACGCTATGGATATTGCAAACTTCCTTAATCCAAGTGAAGAAAATATACACGGTAGTGGAGAGCAGGATCAAGATCAAGAGGCATTACAAGAAGTTCTTTCACATTATACTCAAGATGTTGAGGATCCTGGAGCTCAAGATGATGACGAAAGCAGTGAGCAAGTCTTGCTGCCTGTGCCAACAACTCAGTCAGCTTTACAAGCCACACAAGTTCTGATTGAGTTTCTTGAGGCTGGGAATAGTGGCGTATTAAGTACGGAGTATTTAAGAACTTTAGAACGGCCTGAGCGGCTTGTCAAGGTTAAGCAGGCAAATGAGGGCATTCAAGGCACTTTGGACAGTTGGATAACGTAGTCACGTGTATTTGATACCGTGATAATCTTGTTAACACAATATGAAATTACGGGATGCTATCCTTCGTGTTATCGAGATTTTACTGTACTACATTATAAAAGGCCAAGACTGATTGATTGGTTATCATTTGTCGAAATTCGGGATTGGCTATGTTAGGTTCTAGCCCCACTTCCTACTTCTATAGGCTTAACGCATAGAGTTTTCCAGTAAACAATTTCCCGTCCGCTTATGCTTTGCTATGACTATTAATAAGTCTCAAGGCCAGTCGTTTAAGCATGTAGGTGTTGATCTATGGGCAGCTATGTTTAGTCATGGGCAGTTTTACGTTGCAATGTCATGGACGTCCTCCGTAGCTGGACTACAGGTCCTACTCCCTGAAGGAGAGGATAATACTACCCAGAATGTAGTATATCCTGAGGTTTTAGTTGGAATCAATTAGACGTACATCCTATACTACTTCTTAGCCTCTAATGTCTACTTTTGAGGGTGTTTCTGTTCTGTTATGGCCATCTACGGTTATCTACAGGTGCTGTTGTCACCTATCCTTAAGAACCTATCCTTAACTATCCGTAAGACTTCACATCACATTTCTAATCATAATATACAGCACAATAAACAAAGGTAATTGCCCGTAGGTTTGTCATTTACTATTCTACACTATTCTACAATAATATACGGCCCTTTGGCCCCCTCCCCCCCATTCTCCTGACAACAACACCTGTAGACAACCGTAGATGGCCGTAACAGAACAGAAACACCCTCAAAAGTAGACATTAGAGGCTAAGAAGTAGTATAGGACATACGTCTAACTTCGTCAGCTTTGAGGATGGGGTGCCAGCCGGGTTCATCTCCCTAGAGGGTGGAGAGGCACCCCGGAAATGGCAGATGGCAGCCGCAAGCTCCTCCGTAGGATTAAACCTACCACAGGAAGCAGCAGCAGCAGCGGCGACGCGATCCACCAGGGCGGTCTGGGTGTTGCAGGGGGGGGACGGCGAGCGGGTGCGGGCGCAGCGGGACGGATGGCTATCCTTGAGCTGGGGAGCCGCGCGCTTATGGCCCCCAGGGGCTTCCTCTGTAGGCGCCTCGTGGGCGCTTGGTGCAGCGGCCGCAGCAGGGCGGCCGGCACGCATGCCTTCTATCTATTAGTTATGGACCACAAACAATAAGGATGAGGGGGGAAGGGAGGGGGGGCTTACCACGTCGTCCTGACAGACTGCCCGTAATGGGCGCAGAGGAGGGCGTGGACACGGGCGCGGACGGAGCCAGAAAGCCTATTCCATTGGTATTAGAACAATAATCAAAACAAGAGAGATAGAGAGAGAGAATACTTACTGCAGAGGTTGCAGCGCGCGCCTTCCCCACTGAAGTGGCAGTTCACACAACTACCACCAAGGTATCCCCCCCACGCGGATGCACTCAGAGAAGTGGCCATAACCAGCTGCACAGCTGCTGCACTGCAGCTGCACCAGCTCCCCAACTGTATACCCAACTGCTGCTTCGAGGTTTTGCATCCTCAACAAATTGGGAGGGTCGTTGGAGTCGAGGGCGCGAATTCCAAATGTTGGGCGTCAGGGAGGGCGATGAGGCCGGCGAGGGCATGGGAGTGGTGGGGTTCCTCTAACAAGCCAGACTGCAGCAGCTGCAGTGCCATCTGCTGGCCTTGGGTTGGAGAGTCGAGGACGATTGGACGTGGTAAACCTATCCAGTTGTTAGTATCTATCTATCTTGCGGGGGAGGGGTGTTACTTACTTCTTACGGCCATAGCTGGGCATGCCGGTGTTGCGGGCGACAGGCAGGCCACAAGTTCTGGCGCCGTCGAGGGGCGCACCGGAGACGACACAGGGTCGGGTGGCGGCGACGTTGGGGTGGTCATCGGAGGCTTTGGCGGCACAGAGGGCTCATCACCTATCGAGTTGTTAGTATCTATCTATCGATTGTGCGGGGGGAGGGGTGTTACTTACTGGTCGGTGTTGCGGTCGGTGTTGCGGTCGGTGTTGCGGTCGGTGTTGCGGTCGGTGTTGCGGTCGGTGTTGCGGTCGAGGTCATATCTGTAGCGGCGGAGGTTGGGGTTGGGACAGTCGACTCGGAGGCAGCTTCATCTATCCAGTTATTAGTATCTATCTATCAATTGATCAGAGAGAGGGGTGTTACTTACCAGTTGCCGTTGTTGCGGCGCCAGCTTCAGTCGTGGCGGTGGTCATGGTAGTGGTGGTGAGGGTGTTGGCGGGGGCGATGGCAGCCAGATCTTTTATCTGAAGGTTAGTATACAGTAATCAATCAAACAAAACAAAGGAAAAGGAAGGAATTGAACTTACTGGTGGCTTTTAGGCCAGAAGCCTTGGTGGTGGGGGTGGTGGTGGTGGCCATCGTGTTGTTGAAGAAGAAGGAAAGTGAGGTTGGTGGGGGGTTGTGGAAATATTCACGTTTGACGCGTTGGGGTCACGTGACCAATGCCCAATTATGTGCTTTTATGGCTTCACGGCAGGCTGCTTACAAACTGGCGCCCACGGCACCGGTCGACAATACTCGTATCCCACACTTGACCACTTTTGTTGCGTACACACACGCCAAGGAGACACCATCAATAGCTTTCGAAGTGCCTACTTCGACGTCGGCTATACATTTAGTAGGAACTAGGGTGAACAGAGAGCATTCTGCTATCTGGTAGCAAGATGCACTCAGTCACAAAAGAACCTGCTCTAGATGCCAAGTAAAGCACAGCACCGGCAATGTCCCTGCAGAAGCATTAGCATTCGATCAATTTAAGCATACCTCTTCTGTGCCTGCTCGTGTAGCGGGAATAGCTTGCTATGGCAAAGAGCCGTGACGCTGACATCTCCCTCTGGGGTGTAGGCCTACTCCCATATAAGCTTCTACTCAACTGTCAAAGGACCTTGTTTTTTTCTATCACATACCTCTGTCATCTCTGTTACAAATGTACCAGGGGCAATAGCATTGGCCCGGATGCTATGTTTGGCATACTCTGATGACAAAGTCTTCATCAAGTGGTTCAGAGCAGTCTTACTGGCGTTGTAGACATAGCTAGGAGCTTCAGCTCGGCGCAAGCCATCAAAACTAGTAGTACTAATGAACTGACTCTGTAGCAGTCCAGACTTTCCTATGCTGTCAGGGTGCATATTGCTAGCTCTTAGCAAGCCTAAGAAGGTGCAGTGTTATCAATAGTATAATGTATTTCACAGGCGAAGCGATCACTGAACTTCCCACCTAAAATTGAGAAATTTACAAGATAATAACTCAACAACAACTTCATAATATCTTCTAAAAATGTGTGTGTATCCTTATATATACACGTAGATTCCTTTATTTTAGGCTTTAAAGCAATTAGACTAGTAGATATTGAAATATAAAGACCTAGTCTAATCAGTGCCTAAACTTAATATCTTAAGAACTACTGAATAGATTATTCCTAAATGATTAGGTACAAATTCAACTAAATAGAAAAGGCTAGAAATACATTTTTAATATATATTATTAAGTTGTTGTTAAGTTATTATCTTGTAAATTTCTCAATTTTAGGTGGGAAGTTCAGCAATCGCTTCGCCTATGAAATACGTTATGGTTTCTTAGCAATATGCCACAGTAATTACTATAGTCATAATCTGTTAAGTCGATAGCTCAGCTCCTGTAAATAATATCAAGATAGCATAAATATTAAGATATCAAATTTTACGTGACATCTATATAAAATGAGGCTATTTACATAAACCAGCCATCTAAGGTTCCCTATGCCTTAGAATTGGCTACTATAAGCCCTAACTCTCTCTTAAACTTCTCAAAGGACTGTAAATATACTGCTGCCTCCTTTGTGCCACTATTCCTAGATTCCATGAACTTAATCAGGCGTTGTATATTGATGTGCAGCTTTGTAATGGTGGGTGCACCAGATGTGAGAATCTAGCCACCCAAGGAAGGGGTGATTTTACTAAGACAACACACTATCTTAGGAAACAGAGCCAAAGGGTCGTAGCTTAGACTATTCCACAATGCAGCAATCAGGTGTATGATGTAGTGGAGCGGTTTAGACAAGTTGTAACAAATGTTAAGTCTGAGAACTCAGGGATAAGTCCTCTGACTTATGATGTAGTGGAGCGGTTTAGACAAGTTGTAACAAATGTTAAGTCTGAGAACTCAGGGATAAGCACCTCACTGACTTTTCAGAAACAAAGAACAACAAGATCAATGCTTGGAAGCTTGTAAAAGACGTAGAAGTATGTGCTAGTCAATTTACTGTATTGTCTGCTTGCCCTTTCTTAAGGAAAGGGCAATCCTATTTATGCCAAAGGAGTGTAGTTCTCTCATTTTCCATGACTTTCCATGACTAACCAGGCTTGGTAAATGTATTAGAAATCAAGTGCACACGCGATTGAATTCGTTGCTGCCATATAATAAGGAGTCACTCCACTTCTGGCCACTGTCCAACTCATAGTCATGATCCCGTAGGTTGTATAGCTTTGTCTAGGTCTTCAAAATGTGAGCTTAAAGACTCGGAAACTGTCGACTGACTGAGTTTATGGCCGTAGTTCTGAGAGAACCATTTGATACATTGCTTTTGAGAAGGCTTCGGGTGTTGTTGATGTGCCCACTTGCATAGAGCCCGGCGTTGCTCAATAGTTATTGCAAATCGTTTCATCATTTCAAGGTCTGGATGGGAACACCATAGCACAGATAAAGCGATATTCAGGAAAGGGAGCACCAATATCGTGAGTATCGGTAATTGTATGGTGGTGTTGTCGGGACCAGGAAAAATATCGCAATAATGAAGTTATCACTTAATCGAGAATCGTTATAATGGTGCTTTACTGTATCTACACAGTGCGGGCGTGGTGCGAAAAATACGAGAGGACGCATGTCCGCTGCAAGGTGTTCGTTGTTGCTTATGCGAGGTGGTATGTTCGCATTTTTCACTTCTCCGGCTGCCTGGTCTCTGTTCTACAACAACCAAACACTAAACACTAACACCCTACGATTGATGAATCTTTGCTGTAGAAGCATGCCGCTGGCGTCGTATTATGGTCCTATTGTGGGTATAGCCAGAACGTCCGATATAATTCGGTTTGGGCCGGTGGATGCTGCAAAATCTTATCCGAGCTTTCTTCGAGAGATAACGCCTTCTTTTTCGGATGCTGAGATTGCATGAACGGCGAGAATCTTGGATGGGTTTCTTTTGGTGCCGCAAGGCCAACTCGACTGTACTGATATCTCGCTGTACCATTTTTGGTTGTGGCAGAAGTGGTAGATAAAAAGTTGAACAAGAATGAGAGTCGAGTATGAGCAAGGAGTAAAAGAACGAAGAGAAGGGTAAAGAAAATACTCGGGGTAAAGAACGAGGAGGAAGGATGAGGAGGAAATGGACCGAGGTTAGAGATGGCGCTATGGACAAGGCACAGTTGTTGGAGTGTGAGACACGTTCTGGTGTTATAACCATTAATGATAACGAGGCAAGTATATCCACCTGTGTTAGACCACCCCTATCGTTGCTCCACAGCAGTGGGTAATACAAGGGGGGCTAGTCGAGAACTGCTGAAAGAAGCGATGAGGGGTTCCCCGCAATTGTGAGCCCTGGAGCATTCCCCATGCTCAACCTCCCATATTAGAGCTGAACTCATCAACGCCAGGCTGCCCACATTTACCGAGTGTTATACCCTCATATGGCCAGTACTCTAAAGAACTTAGTTGATTTATTTATAGACTCTCCTTGCACTTCACGTACGGTGGTAGATTATGTACACAGAGGCCAAGCTCGAAAGTATGCTAAACAAAAGAAAACATAATTGCGCAGCAGGACTGGTTAAAACTCGCCATCACGGAAATTATGTCCACACCAGAGGTGACTTAGATTCAGAACCACCGTAAGAAACATATGGACTTGATATCTTTCTTGGGGAAATGCAACACAGCAACTTCCTCACCCAGGAACCCAGTGTAGCATTGTATTTATCTCCATTATCTGCAGAGCCCCCATGTATATATGAATGATAATACAGCACTGTAGGCAATATATTCCTTTTGCTGTCGGGATTGGCGTCCTTGTATTCACGTAGAGACTTGATAAAATCAGTGGGATTCTTGCAGTGATCACTTAATGACGGAACGAAAGGCAGTGTTATATTATTTGACCCTGGCCTCCATATCCTGGCCTCTGATAATCCCTCTGGAGTCGTAATAACGTATAAATAAGGCTCCCATGTTGTGTCAGGAACTTCTTCGCTCCATATGTCGCGAGTGATGGGGGAGGGTCTAATTGGCTATTCAGCGGTTAATTATTATAGCGAGAATGGAAATGAGAAGAGCTTACTTCCGTCCTGGTGTATCTGGGTCGAAAAGCTCCTTGGAGGTTTTCGACCAAGGACGGTATGGGATCTAGTGTTGGGAGTGGCCGAGTAGGGTTGAATGGCACATCTCTGTGGTTCTGCTACTTGCAAGCCATTGCCTAATGTGCAGACGTTTGGACCATGCAGAGGCCGGATCTCCCAATCACCACTCAACAGAACAACAGCACCCTTCTGCCTCATCCCCTTCACTCCTTCAGAAATGGTATCACCTTCCAGGGATTCCTTAACCAACATTTGAATGGTCTGTTGGTCATAGCTAGCTGCCTTCATTCTGTTGGTGTAGGTAGCCATCTTCTTGGTCTTATCTGCCTTGTCATTGAATTCAACTGGGTGAATATGACATTCAGGGATGTTGAACTCAGCCAAGACCAAGTTGACTTCAGGGAGAGAGGCAGTTGGAGTAAGGTAGGAAGACATTGTAATTGGTGATAGTTGAAGTAAGAGTTGAAGAAGTTGATATTATAAGAAGAAAGGAAAAGTACGAAGAGGAATAAGGCAAGTAGAAAGAGGGGTATTCTTACTATGAATCACTTCTTATTAAGTCTATTCTATAGCTATTCTACCCTACTATGAATCACTTCTTATTAAGTCTATTCTATACCTATTCTACCCTACTATGAATCACTTTATCAATTTGGCCCATTTTATGATTCTGGGGTTACTGGAGCGGTTTGGTGGTTGGGGTTTACTTACGTAACCGCTTACAAATCTAGGGGTGTCTGTGATGTTGTTCGCTTAGTATTCGGACACCGGTGTCTGTATACTGGAACTCTGCATACACAGCCCTGCTTAGTCACATAACAAAGCGCCGCTCAACTGGTGAGCTAATGCCACACTAACCACTCCAAAACAATACTTGCACGCCCAAAATCCTTATGCGTCTTTAATGAAATTTTATGTTAAGCTGCCAGGCCCGCAAGAAGCCATGCTCTCCGAGCAACAATATGACTCAATTTGCACCTCGCCCTAGTCAAATACCCGATAGAGACACTGATAAATGCCATCATCCTCATCCTCATCCTCATCCTCATCCTCACATTTACGGCCAATGATTAGCCTGGTCCAAACTACCTTACAGGCGACAGCCCATTTTTTTAGACGTTTGTGGCACTCTTTGATAGGGTGCTGGCCTAATGTGGGCCATATGATGCTCGCCAGACCAGTCCAGGACTAGTTGCCCAGTACAATATCTCCACCGTAACAGTATTCAACACTATGATAGGCCTCTCAAGCGATATCCATGGCACCAAATATCCTTCAAAACTGAGCTAATAAACTAAGTGCTCTATGAGAGAGTATGGAAATAGCTGTACACTGTACAATAGTATCATCATTATGACATGATTGTTTCGAAACTATTCCATATAAATTCAATACAATATCGTTCCTTATGTATGAAATTACACATGTCATATACAAATCATAATATTCCAGGACAAATGTGATTTACTCTATCCTATTTACAGTTTTCTAATATACAATGATGGTAGAAAATCCATCCATGACCATAAATCCTCCACTATTAGCCATACGCCATAAAACATTGCTGTAAAAAGGGGTACTGAAGTAAAGCTGCTACTGCCTTATTCAGAATGGGCAGTCGAAAGAGAAGGACTCAATGGTCTGTCAGGAGTCATACCCCTCATTAAGAACCGGATCATGGCTTTTGACTGGGTCTACTACATTCAACATCCTAATACCGTAGGACTTGACAGTAGGAGCAGTGTCTGGCAGTACAGTCTTCTGTACATGTACAGAAGAGTCTGTAGCCATTGGAACAGAGCTAGCATTAAGGTGGGTGGTAGCGATCGTGCTCACAACCTCAGAGATTGGTGCTAGCATCCACACAAAGCGCCTCAGAGCCAAGCTCCTTCCGATATCGTGAGTTGTTGAAATCGCTGGGGACAAGAAGGGCTCCTCACTGTCTTAGTTATGGTCAAGAAGGGCATTGTATTTAATGTCAGGGGGGACCTTAACCCCTGTCTTAAACTGGCCTGAGTGTCAAGCAATAACGAGGCGTAATCCACGCTCTGCAACTGCTGAGTCAAGGGTACCCTGGATCTCTACACCAGTGTACACATGGTTTGGGTCCATGCTTAACAACACAAGAAAATCAAGTTCATCTTGGTCGTAAAGAGCTTTCTACTCAGGGCTTCGTCCATGACCTCTCTTCCATGAGCTGCGAACAGTCTTTGCTAGCATCGCACGCTTCCTCTTCAGAAGAGGACGATTAACTGGAGTAAATGATGGCCCTGGTTTGTCTTCATCGCTAGTCCAATCCTCAGTGGTAGAATCACCAATCGTAGGATCAGGAGTAATCAAATTAACATCCTCTAGGACAGGCACGAAGGATGATCTGTGAAGCTGCAAAGGAAGAATTTCTTTCCCAGCCAATAGTATCTGTCCCATGGGAGAGAGATGAGCAGCCACAACCTCGTCGCGCATGTTGTTTAGTGCATCAGCAATGGCCTGGAATGATTCGGGAGAATGGAGCTTGGTCAGAATATCAATGATGTTCTTGTCAATCTGCTTAATTTCTCGCCAGGCATCATGGCTGTTTAGCACAGATAGTCTAACTATCGTGACTTTCTTCTTCTGAGAAACCTCCATATGGATTAGCAACCTCCTCTGTACATGTTCCATGGGTAGGGGGGGCTCTTACTCTAATTGGACGATAATGAACCTGCAGTTCAACTAGGTTGATTACTGTTGTTATCGAACAAACACAGTGACATGCACCATCTAAATTTGCACCTTGGGACAAACCGCATACATCATGATGAGTACGGTAAGGCTAGAGTGAGGGTCGGTCAGTCCAGCATGTAACACCCCTGCTCGAATGTAGAAGGTCTTGCAAACCATCTCTACATACCAAGCGGAGACTGGTATCTCTTCAGAGCACAAGAGTTTATTCCTCTTTCCATCCTTGTCTGGCTTCATGCAGTGCTCCATAATATCCTTTATGATCCATCTCATTTTGGGACTCCTGAAGGTCAGGTGCTGTAGGAGATCTGAAGCATCCGTAATAGGTCTATCCCCTCTCCTCAAAGTTGAATGTGCTAGATGAAGGGCATAAGGTCCGCAATTCCTTGATGCAGATCCACGTTGCAGTGGCAAGGTTATGTGTGAAATACCATTGGTTTCTAACTGGTACTCCAGTCCAGAATCAAAGCCTGGTAAGTGAACCAATTCCTATACATGTACAGGGCGCTGCTAACAATGAAGGATATATTGGGACCATTGAATATCCTCTGGCCCGAGATCAGGAAGGGCGCCTACCTCACCAAAGAACGGATTAGGTGGCTTGGAACTCTAAAAGGTACTTACCAAGACTTCAATCTTCTACTAGAGCCAGATGGCAGCCGTCTTATTGTTCGTGTCAAAGATATACCAGAGAACTTGAGGACTCTCCACAGAGCCATCATCTAAGTAGTCGTTGTCTCTTAATAAAGCTTCGTTGTAGTCGGTTTGATAGGCTTCCTCTGTACATGTATCAACTGAGTCTGGTTCCATAATTGGCATTGTAGGCCCGTTGGCATTAGACTCTGATTGAGGGACCCAAGCACGCTCGTTGTCATTATTGGCATTATACTGAGTATAGTAATCTTTTGGCTGATTTAATGTTAGTGAAGGAGGTAGCACATAGGGTCGACTGTTACTTGACCCAGTATCTTGTAAGGACACAGGGCACCCAGCTCACAGTAATAGCATATGAGAGTGTGAGTCGGAGGCTAAACGGATGCTATCCTATAGGTCTACTATAAAGGATACAAAAAAGATGAAGGGGGAACCCCGTGAGTCAATTCCCTTAAGTACCCGAAATGGGTCCAACTCGGCTAACCTGCCCTAACTCTCCCCACGTGACCGTAACCTGCCCGACTCTGATCCTTTCTGTCACTGAGGGCAGAGGCATCCTTACATATCTAGAACAGGAAGCTGTAGAAGTTGTCTCCGGGTGGCCTCAGCCCAGTTCATCTGGTTGGTCTGATGTGTAACATGCCTCCAAAGATTTGCCCCATAAACTGGCCACCTAGGTCTGCCGGCAATTTGGATTACCGAAATCCTCTGCTGTATATTTTGCATTTGGGTCTGAGGTCATTGCTGTATGTGGTGGGTTGATTTTATAAATCCCAATTTTTATAGGGGTTATAAGAGCCGCATCATGAACAGTCAAATTGGAAGTCTAGGCTTGGCGACTGTCAGTCACGTGACTTTTCTAGACCACCATGCAAGTATTTTGCAATTCTTGGATTTATACACCCCATTACGAACTTTGCACTTATACTACAATGTGTTGGTGTCTATAACCAGTATATAGGAGTTTACTATCGGTACCCCCCCTTAACCCCTCCCCCCTCTGAACATGTACAGAAGGGAGGATAATTTCAGAGTTGTAAGATCAATACCATGCCAAAGACAACATCACGCCGCCCGAGATGCGCCACTAGATGCTTAACTAGAGATGCGTCACAGGCATATAATCAGGAAGAACACAATCAAGAAGGCTCGCAAATACAGGAATCCCAGATTTCAATCTCCCAATATCCATATGGTGCACGCAGCATAGTTCCTTGCAACTCAAATATCCCAGCAATTTCTCAAGGCTCTTTATAAGGCAAGCGGCAATACAAATACGTGGAAGCACCAGACTATTACCTGCATGATGGTATGACTCCTCAACCCTTTATGTGGTAACTTATCTGAACATGTACAGGAGTGGGTTAGCAAAACCCTCGCAAAGCCAGATATATTCGCTATGCAGAACGAACATGATCCATCTCAAATACGGGATGTGTTTGAGTCTGTTTATAGTGTAGTGGATGCAGAGAGTGTGTTCTGTTGGGCTAGCCGATACATCCTTTTCTATGAGAAAATATAATCAAGTGAACCGCGTCCTGACAGGACAGCCTCAATTGCTCCTGGGCCATTCTGGATTAAATGTACAGTCTATTATATATACAAGTATACATGCTAACTAACTTAGTCTGGTTTATCTCATTGGCAGTGAAGGTAAAGCTACACCTTGACTTCAAAAGGAATCATGGTGTTCGCAACGGCGTTCCTAGGCAGGTGCTCCTTAATTGGTTTGATGCCTATCCAAGGAACCAGCATAAAAACATCAAGCCTACCCGGCTAAAATTTAAGGATATGTATGGACGGCGGAGGAAAATGCCACTTATTGATGACCAGATTGCACAACAATCAATAGGCACCTTGAAGGAACATATTGACTGGGGTTCAGCAGATGAGGAGGATGGTGGTAGCTAAGGGCAAAGGCAATATGGGGACGACGACAATGACGAGGATGATGACCAGTACAATGACAATAATGGTACTTCTGGTAGTAGAGAGGATTTATGTAGTGTGTTTGATGAAGGAATATAATAGGACGGTATTTGTACTTGTAGTGGATATAAATTCAATGTTTTTAATTACACTTATATTATATTTTGTATTTGAATATCACATGTGTTGAATTATTTAACTCTGACAGTAGCCTCTCACATAGGTTTCTATCTCTATCAACTAGAGGCCTAGGAACATGAACGATAGCTCCAAAAGCTTCTACAACCGTCCATGATTCATTACACGTCATCACTCCTTAGTTACCCACAAGATTGGTTAAGTTATGACATAATCTGTCTATAGGGGTACTCTGACCTTGGACCTCCTTTTACTTCCTATTGGCTAGGAACCTAGGAGATGGTTCTATGGGATTCTCTTATGTCAACTACAGTTACCAAGCCTGGTTAGTCATGGAAAGTCTTGGAAAATGAGAGAACTACACTCCTTTAGCATAAATAGGATTGCCCTTTCCTTAAGAAAGGGCAAGCAGACAATACAGTAAATCGACTATCACATACTTCCACGTCTTTTCCAAGCTTCCAAGCATTGATCTTGTTACTCCTTGTTTCTGAAAAGTCAGTGAGGTGCTAACCTCTGACTTATCCCTGAGTTCTCAGACTCAACATTTGTTACAACTTGTCTAAACCACTCCACTACATCATACAGTTGATTGCTGCGTTGTGGAATAGTCTAAGCTACAACCCTTTGGCTCTGTTTCCTACAGTGTGTTGTCTTAGTAAAATCACCCCTTCCTTGGGTGGCTAGATTCTCACATCTGGTGCACCCACCATTACACTTGGCACCCCTGTCACTATGTAAGCCTCCTGAAAAGATCAGTGAATAAGATTTATTGGTTTACTTGACCAAAGCATCAGTGACACCACGACACTCAAGGTTGTCTTTGTTCTCATCATAGAAGACCTTGATAGCTTTTTCAGCTTCTAGCCGTGCTTCAGGATTCTTTTTGTAGATTTCCTCTGAGAACCACCTAATGGCCTTTGTCACGGTTCACCAAGGCATAGGGCGCCAGTTGGGTATTATGAATTAAACTCAATCTAGAGAAGAAAGGAAAGAGAAGAGGAGCACTCGAGCAGTGGCTCGATCTATATATAGCTATGTTGTTGTGGAGTGAATTCTCTTTAGTGAGACCAGTTCTGAGAATTCACTCCACAACTGAAACTTCGCTCCAACCCCGGAAAGCTCCCCACACCCCTGAACCCTCACTCGAGCTGCAAGGCGCACTTGATATCGTAACACTACCCCCCCCCCCTACTCCAGAGTTGATCTCCTGATCAAGAAATCCCATTTTCAAAAAAATTGTCTCCGGCTCTCATTTTGGTTCTGAGGGTATTTTCTGTGATATGCTTGGGTAACTTCTGGAGAATTTTCGAAGCTCTCTGCAGTATACCATGTCTCATTTGGTGGATAGTTCTTCCAAGCTGCCTTGTAGAAAAGCTTCTTTCGAATAACTTTTGAGTCTAGGATTTTGTCCACTTCCCACTCCTCTTCGCCATTAACAATGACTGGAGGCTCTGGCTCCTGTTGCTGCCCTTCGGTTGCATCATTCGAGTCGAGTCTTAATAGATTGGCATGAAAGACTGGATGAATCTTCATGCTGTTTGGAAGTTTGAGCCGATATGCAACATGCCCAATTCGCTCTAGAATTTCAAAAGGTCCCACTTGCTTGTGGTCTAGCTTCTTTGATGGCCTCTGTGTCTTTATATTTCGAGTTGAAAGCCATACTCTGTCTCCCACTTGATAGCGTGGTGCAGGTTTCCTTTTCTTGTTTGCGAAATGTTCCATTTTTGCTTGCAAGAGCGTGATTTCATCCTGCAGAAACTCCCAAACCTTTGCCATGGTCTGAGCTATTAGTTCTAAGGGCTAAGCTTAGAGAAGAGCTTAGTATTGTTAAATTCAGATAAGAAATCGGAGAAGGCAAGGGGGATAGGGGCTACTAGTAGCGTGATTTCTAGGTTAGATGGCTGCGGCTACTGCCATCTAAGGCTATTTAGAAAGCCAGACAAAGGAATAGGGGGGCTATAGGGTATATTTAGTAGATTTAAAGGCTAGATAGGAGGCATATTAGCCTAAAACGTTAACTAGAATGTTAAATAGGGGGTATTCATACTGTAATTATCATATATAGATTAATGGAATTACCACTAACTTCATCTTCGTACATTAGAACATAGTTTTGCAGCTAACCTAATTTAATTTAACTAACTACTTATGAATAGTAACCCTAGATGCAACACTGTAGCAGCTGGTATCCTAATCAGGCAATTATGATGCCAAGCCTACTAGAGTTTATATGGCTAGTTTTATGGGGCTGCTACAACATGGAGCAGCGTTACAGCAAATCTACATTGCTCTAATGGCGGCAGGGAGTTGGAATGTTGCAACTATTTGGAAGAGCTGTCTGGTGACGAAGAGATGGCGGGGAGTGCCGGTGGAGTGATGGGCACTGTGTGTTGGTATGCAATGTGTTTCATTACTCGGGAGGGTACTTGTTGGTTTCAAAACGTCCGCGAGTAACTCCTGGTTGAAGCCGATGTCCTCGATGCCGGTGCTATCGCTCTGGTGATCAGCGGACGAGGTGGTGGAAGGGAGGTGGATGTCGTACTGGTCAAATTTGGGCGACGATCCCCATCCATAACAACCGTAGATTCTCACATTGACAACATCGAACTATACTCGGTGTGGTAGTATACAAAAGAAAGGATTGAATTCCTCTCCCATGTAGAGTTCTATGTGGTATTCTAGGTTTATGAACGGGGCTTACCCCCCCAAAAAGCGCTTGACAGCGGCACAGGAAGTCGTTGTATCAGTCAGGCGACATACAACTAGTACCTCATGCCCTCAACACAACAATCACTACACTCCCCAAAACTACCAAAACCACCAAATCACATCCCCTCATAAGAAAGAACAATAACCTCTATACATCTATCTACCCCCTCACCCACCACTCCAGCCAACAAAACCCTCAAAACGAACACAACCACGAAAATATGCCCGCTATATGGCTCCCCCCCAGCCATCAATGTGTTGCTATGCCGGTTTCCAAGCCCCAAAGTCTGCTCCTTCCCATGCCATATCGTATATATTCCCACTCCCATTCAGCCATCCAGCCAAGCTCGTGTGTTCTTTCCCATTCCATGAAAATTTATGTCTTTCCCAAAGCGAAAAAAGGGGCATCAAAATATGACATGTTTATACGTCTGCTGTTCACACCACACCTATTCATATCCTGCATACCTCTCCTAGTAATCGTCGATCAGGCGAAGTAACTCTTCCACAACACGCCCTCCAGATCCTCCAACTGCTCAGGCGTAAAGTACTACAACCCCCCCGTTAGTCAACGTCCCAAAAACAGCACACAAAAAAGGGACAACAAACCTTCTGATCCGTCCCCCAAGTATCCTGCCTCGTCTTCTTAAAATCCGCCAACACCCCCTTAACCGTCTTCCCCACCGCCCCCGCATCCGCCGCCGCCCTCCTCGCCAACATCGCCAAAACCCCCGGCATCCACGCCGGCGGCGGCGTCGCATACGGAAACGCCTGTACCAGCGCTCCCAGCCCCAGTACCGCCGCATGGCGCCTCAGTACCTGCTTCGCATGGTCGACTGGTGTATCCCTGCCGGGTCGCTTGCGAGGCATCGGGTTCGCGTCGAGGAGATCCGAGAACTCCTTAATCAACGCCGTGATGGCCGAGGTCCGCAGTGCGAGCGGCGAGCAGCGGATCATACCCGCTAGTGTGGTCGCGGCGCCTATGCGGACCTCGAGTTGGGTGTCTTGCAGCATAGCGGAGACGGCTGCGAACAGGGCGGATTGCTGGGCTGGCGCAATCAGGAAGATACGGCGGAAGTAGAGGACTTGCATGTTAATCAGCGTACGCAGGCGCTGGTGCCAGGAAGTGCTGGAGCGCCCGATGCGGATTAGCGCGTCGATGAAGGCGGCGTCGCTGCCGCGGATGGGGATGTTGGGGAGGTGGCGGTAGACGTGGTAGGCGAGGCGCTGGAGTTCGGGGTCTTCTTTGACGTCCATCATGTGCAGGAGCTCTTCCATGAAGGTGTCCGCGAAGAAGGGGAGGAGGGACGTGCACTCGTATGAGCAGAGCGTTGTGTCCAGCCAGAGCATAGCGGTTTTAGAGCCGGAGGTGTACGATGACGGTGTTTGTTGCCCTGGGGTGCGCTCTGTGCGCCATGTCGCGAGCTGCGTGAAGACGCCTGTGATAGTTTTAGCGAACTCATCGGTGGGAACGTACGGCTCGATACCGATTGTCGACGCAGCCTTATTCGCTGCCAGAAGTGACGGCACGTCCTTGAACGATTCGTAGTAGCGTGTGCGGAAGACGGTTGCCAGTGTACGGCCCATTGCTTCGCGCACGCTCTTGTACGGGTGGTCAATGTGGTCGAGGAAGTCCTGCACGATTGGCTTCTCGAGGCGGAAATGCCATCCGGCGTCTGCGATCGTAAACTCCAGCAGCTGGATCTTCGAGCTCTCCTTGAACGCCGCATTGGATGTCATGTCGAGGCGGAACGCCGCGAAACGATTCACGATCTCCCTTGACCGCCGAGGATCCTTCGAGTTCGTAACCAGATGTAAACATGTCATCCAGTATGCAATGTTCTCTGGGGTCAACCCATCCGCAAACACACCCTGCATAATCGGCACCGCGTAGCCCCAGATCTTGTCGCGCAACTCCAGCGGCTCGTCCATCACGCCGGCGACAAGCGCACCCACGATCTCCGCCGTCGCGCGGTGCTGGTGCTTGTCACTGCCGTCCTCGAACACGCGCGCCACTTCCTCCTTCACGTCCTCTAGCGTCGCCGCCGTCAGCCCGTCATACAGAAGGTCGAACGTGTGCATCAGCAACGTCACGCTGGCCATGCGGAACTGGTCCGACCGCGTGTCTCGCGGTTCTTGCTTTAGGTACGCGAAGTACTTCGCATACCACTCGCGCGTGATCAGCTTGCCGATGCGTGTCCGCGTCGTCATCTCAAGCTCGTCATACCCGTCGAAGCGCTTCGCTGGGCGTGCCGTGAAGGCGTTAAACTTGTTGCCCCACACGAGCCAGCCGGGGTGGTCACTGTCAACAAAGTACTCTGGCAGCGCCGGGTCGGCGAAGCTGTCAAGGAAGTTCTGCGTCAGGTTCGGATCACTGCGGTCGACAGGCACGACGATCTTGTTCGGCTCCGTCTCCTTCTGCAGGAGGAAGTTCTTATACTCGTGCGCGTACACGGCACGGAGGTCAATGGTCGAGAGGATGCGTGTGAAGGCCTGCGAGTAGCAAGCGCGGAGCCCGGGATGTGTGTCTATGGCGCCCTGCGCCGAGATGGCAATGAACGAGTCTGGCGCGATGGTCTCAAAGCGCAGTCCAATATTATTGACAAACAGCACGCAACGGCTCGCAACAGCCCAGTGCGCCGTCTTCAGCACCTCAACCAGCTCCTCCGCAAACTCTGCCTTCTTCGCCTCGACAGCCGCGCGGCGCTCGACGATGAAGTCGCGCCTGCTGTTGATCGCTGCAACCACCGACTCAGACGGCTGAATGTCCGCCAGCAAATCCTCATCCAATATCACCATCCGCTCTAGCGGCCTTCCAAACTCCAACAGCGCGAACAGTGCGCCGCCCGTCAGTTTCTGGATGGACGCCTTATCCACGGCGCATGCCTCAAGGTAGAGCCTGATCATCTCCGGCGCAACCCGCCAGTCCTTCGAGATAGTCTTCAGCAGGCTTCCAAAGAGCAGGGTATAGAGCCCACCCTTGACGCGATCGAGGTCGTTTGCCGCAAGTGCAACCTTGAACGCCTTCAGGAGCGGCGGTATGATCAATGGACGCCCACCAATGAGAACCTTGAGCGCCGACTCTGCGGCTGCCTGCGCATTGCGTCGGACCTCTGTGTAAAGCGACATGCTAGACTGAGTAAGGTCGAGTAGCATCACCTTATCCGTGCCGCACTTCTGCCGACCCGACGCATTATGCCTGACGCGCTGGAGATGGTATACGCTGGCCCTCTTAATGAGAAGCGGCCGCGGGTAGTTCTTGCGAAGGCCGCTGACCTTGAACGGGTTGATGTCGGCATTGTACAGTTTAATCACGCGGTCGAGAGTGTGCGCCGAGCGCTCCGTCCCGACATCTGTGATCCACACTTTGTATGCGCTGTACAGCGCCGTGAAGCACGCGACGTCGTCCTCCTGGTGCTGGTTGAGGAAGGCATGCGTGCGGGACAGAAGCTGTCCAACTTCACTGCGCAGCACGTGAATTCGCACGAACTCTGGGCTGTCAGGCTGCAGGAGGTAGCCCGCCTGGTAGTGGAACTGCGGGCGGGTCTCATCATCATCGCCTTCAGCAAGGAGACTATTGTCTTCATCACCCTCGTTCCCATCCGCATCCGTCATATCCAGATCGCGATCCCCGTCACCCTCACCATTCGCCTTATGCGCGCCGCGCTCCCCAGACGCCTCCTTGGGATCGAACAGTGCCGAAAGACCCGAGATGACGAGGCGTAATTGAGTCAGGTTGCGCGATACCTCATCGGACCAGACCTTGACCTTTCCGCTGCGGCTCACAGGCGGATTGTCGCTCATCAGGTCCGTTAGCCTCTCAGTGGCCGTCTTAACCTGTGACTCGAACAGCTCGACCGCGAATGCGATCTCCTCTTTGGACGGGCGATGCCAGTTGATGGTTAGCTCCGACAGCGGGGTCTGGCGGCCCCAGTCCTGCGCATCAACGCCGCGCGCGATCACACTCGGCTCGTACAGCGCGTTGTCGACGGGGTATGTGAGCGTCAAGTTCAGGAGGAGGTGATGGATGTAATTGGAGATGTGCACTGTAGGCAGCCCACGGCACTTCTCTTGCATGTAGAGCGCAATGTCAAAGAGCTCGGTCTTGTAGTCCATGACGTCGGCACCGACGTGCACGATGATCATGCTGAGCATGCTGATGTGCCATACGAGCGCGCGGTCGCGCGGCAGCACGTCGGTGCCGCTGCTGCGGTCAGACGCCGCGCCGTTGTGGTCGATCTCGTTGCGGATCCCGACGATGAGCATCGGTACAAAGGTGCGCAGCGTCCGCTTCGGGTTCGCCTTGCACATCGCGTTGGTCATAAAGGCCACGGCATCGCGGGCCTGGTGGACGACGTGTCCGCCTACGAACGCAGCCAACTTCTCCAGCGCGACTTCGAAGACCTCTGGCGACATCGCAGCGAACAGCGGCGTTAGTGCAGCGGGGAGCGTATTAATAACATTCTCCTCCGGTGACCCGCTCCTGACCCTCGCCGCATCGGGCAAGTTCTCAAGCAGCGTGAATATCTTGCCCAGCAGAGCGCGCACAAACTCCGCAAAGCCCGCGGTGGAGCTACGCAGGATGTTCACTTCGTCCTCGTCGCTGAGCCCTTCCTGGTAGTCCAACACCACGTCTTGGCCCTCAATCTCCATCTTCTCCATTTCGCCCTGCACCCACTGAATCGCTAATGAGGTATCGTGTATCCCGCCGTCTGGCCGCGTGATATCCACAAAGGGGATGCTATATGCGACAGCCTGGAAGAACGTGAGAGTATTCATAGTCTTATCCAGATCATTCGCATCGATGCCGGGCAGCGCGAGCGCCAGCAGTGCGGTGAGGTGGCAGCGGAAGCCCTTCTCCCTTGCCATAATAGGAGCTACCATCTGTAGGCCCCGCAAAGACGAGCTCGTGCGGTGCACCTCCACCAGCCCCTGCAGAGACGGGTAAAAGCGCTGTAGCGCGCCCGGGAGGATGACGCTAGGCTCCAGGTACGCAAGGCCCTGCAAGGCAGAGAGGTAGTGGTTCAGCGACTTGGAGCTCTTGGCAAAGATTCCCATGAAGGTGACCTCCTTGAGGCACAGAACGAAGCGGCGCTTCAGTGCGTCGTTCAGTCTGCGCTCGGGTGGAGTGTCCATCTCGCCGCTGCGCTCGCGGTTCCAGCGCATGACGAAGAAGTCCACGAGATAGTACGTCAGCTGCGATAGCATCGTTGTCCAACCACCCTGGTTCGACGGGTGGAAGAACGTATCCACCGACTCGATCAGACCTTCAAGATTCGCCATGATGGATCCTGGGGCGTCCAGACAAGCCGGAGACAGCGACATTACGATCCATCGCGATACCGTGTAAGCAATTGGGTGCTTCCTCTTGTCGCGCTCGAGGTATATCGCCGCGCCGACGCCGAGGTCGACGTTGCCGCTGTACGGCGAGGAGGCTTGGCCGACCGGGATCTCGGTCAGGCGTAGGATGGCGGTGAAAATGAGGTCTGATTGCGCCTTCGAGAAGACACCATGCTCACTAAATGGGACATGCTCGCAGGCCAGAATGTCGCGTGCAAGCCGGGAGAAGAGGTCGATGAAAATAGTGTCGAAGACTTTAGACCTGTTAACCAGCGCCCATAGGTGAAAAAAGGTTGGTAGGTAGTCCGCCGGTTGGAGCTGTCCCGGCTCATCCGGCGCCGCCGTCGTGGGCATAAGCACATTCAGCACACCCCCAACGATAAACGCCCCCGACACCTCAGAAGTCGAGAAGTACGGGAAGATCTCCTCAAACATCGCCTGCCGCTCTCGCGGATCAAAATACAGCTGCGCCAGCATACAGAAGCGTGCAAGATGCCTTGACGGCCGCCTCTTCATGTTCTGGTGCGGCGCAGTCTCGGTCGGCAGCACGAGGCTGCGGATCTCACTCCACAGCGGCCGCCAGTCTAGAGTGAGGTCCTTTCCGGGCTTGAGGTAGTGCTTCTTCTTGGTGAGAACGAGGAACATGGTCAGGAAGCGCTCCGCGGAAGATGGGTCCAGGCCTGGCGCAAGGCTGAGCATGTAGTACAGGTTGGCCAACTTAACGCGCAGCTCGCGTGTGATCTCAAACTTGAGCCCCAGCCAGCCCTTGAGCTCGCGTGTCCAGTGCACCGCGCCCGGCGCAAAGTCCTCAGCCCGCACCGCCGTGTATAGCTGCTTGAGGATCTCTTGTAGGGCGACATTCCGCTCGGTATCGGCTTCGACGGGATACGGCAGGAGCTTGAAGTAGGGAAATGTGCGTGGTCGGTAGCGGCGCTCGCGCTCGGAGTCGCTGCTGCTGCCGTCCCAGCCAAGGCCAGGGGAGGTGGAGCGGGAGAAGGCATCGGAGGGTGGGATTTGGGGCCCTAAGCTGTCATTGCCGAAGTTGTTCATTGTGTTTGTATTTTGGAGGGAGTTTGCGGGCGGTTCGCCAAGAGGAGAGGCGGTCGTGTATGACGGTATTCAGCTGCAGGTCTGGGAAGTACGAGTAGTTAGCTATTTGTGTTTGCCATTGGTGTGCTTGCCAGTGACAAAGGGTGAATCAAGGCTGAGATGTAGAGTCCCATCTTGAAGCAGGTAGAACTGCGTATACCACAGCCTCGTAGTCTCTGTGAGCAGCGACAGCATCAGACTCACCTTTTAAATAGCCTCAGCTCACCCAACCTTCCCCTCCGTTCCTGTCGACCGAACCAGCCTACAAGCTTCCCAGTAGCGTCTCCCAAAGGCGCCGTCTATTCCGCGTCTCTCTGTCAGCTTGGCGCACACGCAAGGATCAATCGGGCTCGTTGTGCAGAAGATTGAAGAAGGTGTACAGTGTACAGTTTGTGTGCAGTGTGGCCTGGTCTCGAAGCTCTTCCCTACCCACAGCCTTGTTGCATAACTTAGGCGCCGTCGGTTCAGCGATTACCTAATGCAGTGGCAGTGGAAGCTCGGGTACCAAGCTCGTAAGCGCGGTGGAGGTGGTGACCGTAGTCCCGTGGCGACGTGGTACGAGTACCGTGGACACGACCTGGTCCTGGCTCCCACAAAAATGACGTAGTTAAAATATCAAGGATTCAACTCACGGCAAAACATTTCTTTCCCTTCAAAGATATTCTCATCCTTCTTCATCACCCTATTTTCTCTTGGTTTCTCCAACGGTGAGAGAAAACAGCACAGCACAATGGGTGTAAGTTCACATCGCACTCAGTTTACCCCGCATCTACGAACTAACTGAACCCCTAGCTCGCATCGAAAATGGCCGCGGCGCAAGGCGGTGCTGGTGCCTACGGAGCTCCTCAACCCCCATACCCAGGTGGACCGGCTGGTGGACAGCCTCCATACCCTGGGGGACCAGCTGGTGGACAGCCTCCATATCCTGGGGGACCAGCTGGTGGGCAGCCTCCATATCCTGGGGGACAGCCTCCATATGTAAGACATACTCTCTGTGCGAACCGCTATTTCACACGCTGACTACTTAGCCCGGCGGAGGTGCCCCGGCGTACCAAGCTTATCCAGGAGCGGGTCCTCCTCAGGGCCAATACGGACAACAACAAGCATATGGTGCCCCTCCTCCACAACAGGGTGGGCAGAAGCCAGCCCACCAGGCACAGACGAACCCGCAAGCCTACCGCGGGCTTCTCCAAGCAACAATCCAGGAGAAGAATATCCAGGGCTTCTTCACGAACCCAGCCACTCTCGACCAGATATGCGAGGCTGCGCCTGGAAAGGTGCAGCACTTGGTTCAAACATGGAAGGTTGAGCCGGAGGTTGGCCAGGATATCGTCAAGCTTGCCTTGTTCGATATTGTCCTTTACATCGGTATGAGTTGCTTGAAAAATAGTCATAGAAAATAGCTATTCTAACACCACCCAGATGACAGTGGATCCATGCAATTCGAAGAAAACGGTGAGCGCATCCAAGATCTCAAGCTCATCCTCTCCAAGGTCGCCTTCGCCGCCTCCCTCTTCGACTCCGACGGTATCGAAGTCCGCTTCATGAACAGCGACATGCAAGGCAACAACATCCGCAACGAAGCCGAAGTCGAGCAGCTCATCTCCCGCGTCCAGTTCAAGGGCCTCACACCCATGGGCACCCAGCTCCGCAACAAAGTTCTCGAGCCCCTCGTCATCCAAAAAGTCCGCTCCAACCAGCTCCGCAAGCCCGTCCTCGTCATCACAATCACGGATGGTCAGCCCGCCGGTGAAGCCTCCACCGCAGTCTTCGACGCCATCCGCTACACCTCCGGGGAGCTGACGCGCTCGCCATACGGCAAGGGCGCTGTGAGCTACCAGTTCGCGCAAGTCGGAAACGACCTCAAAGCGCGCGAGTTCCTGGGTAAGCTCGACCACGAGCCCGGAATCGGCGAGCTCGTCGACTCCACCTCCAACTTCGAGGTCGAGCAGGACGAGATGTCGCGCGCGAATCCACCAGTCGACTTAACCCCCGATCTGTGGCTGTGCAAGCTCCTCCTCGGCGCCATCGATTCGAGCTACGATACCAAGGATGAGAAATCCAACAGGCCCGCTGGCGGACAGCAGGCGTATGGAGCACCACAAGGTCAATATGGCGCCCCACCCCAGGGACAGGGTCAATACGGCGCTCCTCCACCAGGCCAGTACGGTGCTCCCCCGCCCGGCCAGTACGGCCAGCAGCCCCCATACCCTCCTCAGGGACAGGGGCAGTACGGTCAACAACCTCCTCAGGGACAGGGACAGCAACCACCTTATGGGCAGCAGCAGGGGCAGTATGGTGCGCCCCAGGGTGGACAGCAGGGATACCCGCCGCCACCGCAGGGGCAGTATGGACAGCAGCAGTATGGTGCCCAGGGGGGATATCCGCCGCAGGGACAGGCGCCGCATAAGCCTCCTGTGAGTTTCTCTCCTTCTTCCTGAGAGATCGATCGCTGACAATAAATAGAAGTACTAAACATCCCCGCGTTGTGATGGTGGGATAGTCGAAGTCGGGAGATGGTGGATTGTGGTTTCTACATAACTCTAGCAATGAAGTAAGCTTTGGCGAGATTTTACGTCTGATGAATTTGCCGTTTTCATGAGTACTCGCTGGCTTTTTATCGAGGGTGGATGGATTTTGATATTAATGTGACAATGATGTGTTTTATGCCCCATTCCTCCCATCCTCCCATCCATCTCGTGATATCCCCAGCTTATTCTCTGCAATACGTCATTCCCATTCCCAAACACCACCCAAAAAAACAGAGTATAAGTATGTACGCCCACCCTCCATAGGCTTGCTTTTCCCTCCTCCCGCTATGCTGATATCCCCCCGTGTATGCGACGCTAATAGTTGATAGTTGATAGTCGTAGTAAATTGACGTCCCTCGCCGTCGCTAACAAAAAAAAAGTGTAATAGTACAGACAAAAGAACAAACATCGTATGTTATAGTTGTGTGTCGTCGCGTCGCCTCTCAACTCCTCCCCCCCTTCCCCTCCTAAAAAACTTGATAATCGAACTAAACCTCCGATTCTCCTTCTCCTTATCCTTCTTCGCCACGGGTGGCGGCGGCGGCGTCTTCTTCCCCTCACTCTCCCCACCCCTCCTCCCAATCTTCCCCCCCACAACCTCAGACAACGGTCTCCTCCGGTCCTTCACCAGACTCTCCCTGAACCCCAGACTCGGCAATCCCAACCCCGGACCAATCCCATCCAACGACCCCCTCCTCGGCGTCCCCACCCCCTCACTCCCACTCGAACTCGCCGGCCTCCCCGCCCTCCTCTTAGCAGCCTTCTGCATAAACGCCGCCCCATTCGAAAACGACCGTTCGGGCAGCTTAAACTGCAGTTGCTGAAACGCCGACGGCGGCGCCGAGTTACGCTTATTCCCAGCCCCAGCCTCCGACTCGACCAGAGCGGCGGAGAAGGTACTAGCGCTGAACGTCGCCCTCGCAAACACGCCACGCCGCGATCGCGTGGTGCCGGTGGAGCTATCGACCGATTCGGGGATGGACGTCACGGTGTTACTCCTCGATCGTCGGTGTCGCGCCGCCCCACTAGGCGTAAGGGAGAAGGAGCGCGGCCTCTCACCCTTAAACGAGGCCGTAGACGACGAAGGCGGGGTAGCGAATTTCGCCGACGAGGTAGGAGAACAACAATCCCCGTATCGGAAAGACGGACACCACCCCTGCTTCAGCGCCACCCAAACCGCCGAGACCTCGATAAGAAGGCGCTGCTCTTCATAGACCGTCAGGACTTTACGATCCACATTCATATTCGAATCGCCATCCCCCTGCTCCCCATCCAACGACGTCCTCGACGACACAGGCGGGTGCTCCTCCTCCGAATTAGCGACGGGACTATACGTATCCGAGATCTTGAGCGTCCCCTGCGTCAACGTCGCTAGGATGGGATGGCGCCGCGTACTCGGATCGATAAAACTAAACTGGTACGTCGGCTCCGCGCCCGCGGGCCCCGTCCCCCTCGCAGGCGTCTGAAGGGAATTACGCCTCGATGTCCCTCTCGGCACCCAGCGCCCGATAGTGCGCTCGCCGGTCAGGGGATCTGTTTTGATCAGCTCTAGCACGCCTTTAGAGGAGGGTCCGGCGGTCCAGCGTGAGCCGTCTTCGAGGCATATCTCCACTGTTCCGAGGTCGCCTTTGGGGACTTGGCAGATGACCGCCAGCACGTCCCTATCCCGCGCGGCATCCTCTACAACGGATTCAACCTCCTTCTCCTCGTCGAGAGCGTCGTAGTCATCGCTCCGCACAATCATGACGTCGTTTATCCCCAGCTCCCCAGAGCCCCTGTAGAGGTTCGGGAATTTCTTCGACAGCCGCGGAACGAATGTAGACGAGGATATCACATCCACCATCGGGCGCGGCCGTGCGTCCGCAGAGAGCTGCTGGAGTTGCAAGAGCAGCTTGGGCCTGATATGCAGCAGCCTCTGCTTCTGCGTCAACGTCGGCGCCGGATGGGCCAGGTAGTACGACGTGCTCCTATGCCGACATTTCCTCTTCGACCGTCCCCGCGCCACGGCGCTGCCCTCAGAGTACGCGCACGACCGCCCATCATCGCTCATGGCATCGTCGGCGACGCGATCGGGGATATCGCGCAGCTTGGTTGGTGAGAGCTGGCCCGTCGTCGTGCGGCGGGCTGGTTTGCTGGGTGTTTCTAGCTTCGTGCGGTGTAGTGTGATTTGTGGTGATGGAGAGCGGGATTTTGGAGCGTTCTTGGAGTATTCGTGGCCGTCGAGGCCGGCTCCGGGGTGTAGTAGGTTCATTGCTCTTTTTTGTGTGGTTTGTTTATCTTTTTGGGGGGCTTTGAAGTATGGGTTGCCCCTTCCCGCGGGGTAGTTTGTTTTGCTTTCGAGTTGTGGATTGGTTTCGCCCCTTCCTTGCGGGGTTATTTCTTGAGGCGCTCCAAGGGAAGGTGGGAAGGAAGGGCGGGATGGTGCGAGGTGAGACACGAGATTGAGAATGTAATGTCTCGTTCAGAGCCCAGCAAGGGGAATTGGTTTGTATAATATGAAGGGCGGGCGTGCGTAGGCCGGTCACAGAGCGAGGAATATAGGCCGCTCTACATAGCTACGTAAGGGCTCCATGCAGAGTCGGAGAGGCGGGAAGCGGACGGTAGAAGTCGGTGTCTGAGGTCAGTTTTTGGTAGCAGGAGGGAGACTCGGGTGGATTGGAAGTTCCTGCACCCCTGCCTGTACCCTCGAACTCGGTCGGCCGGGAGAGAGGAGGGCTACACTCAGGAATCCGAAAGAGCCGCGGCTCTTTCATCGACGGCGCAACAGAAGAAGGGTGCAACTCCGGCGTATCCGGTATCCGGTATCCGGCAGTCAACCCCACTACGGATACCGTACTACCAAAACATCCCAAAACATCCCAGAACATACAAAAACATCACCCCGATCACCTCAATCACCTCAATCACCTCAATCACCCCAATCACCAACCAACTAACACCCATAATGTGAAGGATAACCAGGTCGATCCATCCCGCCACGCCTCCACCCATCGCACCCGCCCTGATGGATGAGTTTGGTGGCTGCCGCTGCCGCTGCCGCTGCTGCTGCCGCGTCCCTGCCGCCTGTGAACACCGAGCGACTACTACGCACGGCATTCACCGAAAGTGCCAGTGCGTGCTGCACAAAATCGGAGGAATATTCTACCGACCGGTGCACGGTCTTGACCTTGTAACTTGGGAATCTTGCTGCCATGAATGAATCACGTGCACCACAGGAAACAGCATGTCTAACTTGTAGATTATGTGACTTATCTCTTTCATTAGGAATGCCATAGCCGGTTTACTGTTATGTATGTATGATATGCCATTCATTCATCACTGCACCAAAATTATGTGTGTGTCTCGTTTCATGCTCATCTCATCTCGTTCTCATTCAACAAGGTCATGCCACGGACACCGACGGTTCATCCCAAAACGCCTCCAATACCCGTCTTGCCATCTCACGTTTTATCTCATTACAGCCCTGGTGTCAACCGTAGTCGACAACCGTCGTCAGTACATGCACCCAGCCCCCTATTTCAACATAACCCCCCCTCACCCCCCCTCGTCGTATCCTTACTCGAAACCTACGGCCTCGAAATCCCCTGTCTCGCCTAAACACAAAACCAGTCAGCAATCACTCACCACACACACACCCCCACGAACAGCACAACTAACCTTCATCTGCTCAATCTTCGCCTTCAACGCACTCGTCACCTCAGCCGCCCTCTTCCAACTCTCCACCGGCTGCCCATCCCCCGGCGCCGGGCTGGGATTACTCGCCTCTCTCCCCCCTCTATACGCCTCCCTCGCCGGACTCCTCCCACTACTCGCGCTCCCCGTCCTCGACAACCCCCTGCTCAACAAATCCGGACTGCGGAGTTTCCTCATCCCCGCCCCCGGACTCTCAAATCCATTCCCATTCTCCTTCTCCTCCCCATACCCGGCGCCACCACCCCTGCCGCCAAACCCAGGCGTCCGTCGGCCTTCCTGCCCATACATTCCCGTATCGCGATAGATACCGGCCTCGTCGCTCCCACCACTCATGCTCCTCTCCCCCATCCCACCAGGACTCACCGGCCCCGACCCGGCGCGCTCCGCAGCAGTCAACGCGCGCTTCAACCTCTCCATCTCGCGCCTCAGCTGCGCACACATCGCATCCGCCGCCTCGGCCTCACTCCTCGCGCGGACAAGCTGCGTCTCCTTCGCCTTAATACTCAGCATATCCCTCGTATGATCCTCAATCAACTGGGCATTCTGATTCCGCAGCTCCTGCACCTCGGAGTTCAACCTCGACCGCTCCTGCCGCAGATCATCGCAGTTCCGCAGCAACCTGTCTTTGTCGAGACGCAGCTCGTCGAGTTCCGCTTTCTCGAGAGCAGAGAAGCCGGAGGAGGGGGGGGGGGAGGGAGAGTCCATGCGCGCGGCTGGAGCTGGCTTGCCGAGGGGTCGGCCGGCAAGTCCGCGGCCGCCGAGCCCGATGCGAGGGGCGGGTATGACTTCCTCTTCCATCTGCGCAGGCGCCTGACTGAGTGGTCGGCGGGGGGATGCCAAGTTCGGTGCCGGCGCGCCGCCTGGTCCAGCGAGGGTGCGCTTCAGCGGTGCCTTGAGTCCCGGTTTCGTGCCGAGTTTAGAGACCGTGCGTCCAGTCGGCTGGGGCTCTAATGCGGCCTGTGGCTGCTGCGCGTAGATGCTCGGCGGGGCGGGGGCTTTCTTCGCCGCGGCTGGCTTCTTAGCTACGACCTTTCGGGCTACTGCTGGGGCGGCTGCGGCTTTGGGAGGCGCGGCTTGGGGGGGTGGCTTGGGCTTGTCTTTTGCCTTGACCTCAGCGGCGTCGAAGAATTCCTTGATTTTGGTTTTGCGGATCTCGTCGAGACCCTCGAGGTGAGGCCCCATAGCGCGCTCGCCCATGATCTTCATGAGCGTGCCGAGCACCTCGGCACCGCCGGAGCGGAGACCCTCGCTCGACTCGGAGAGGAGCTTCTTGCCGGCTTCGGCGATGGAGGCGACTTCTGGCTTGGCGGGGGCTTCGCGCGTGGTTTTCAGGGAGCGGATGAGGAATTTCATCGTGCCTTCTTTGACTTGGGGGTTCTTGTGTTTCAGGCATTCTAGAATCTCTTCCAGGCAGTCGCCGAGACTTGTGGCCATGAAGACTTGGTCGAGAGCGGCGCCTAGGGCGTCGGCAACGGCGGCCTTCTTCTCCTTGAGCCTCTCTAGTACGGGTCCCATGATGGTAGAGCGGTATCTACCGAAAGGTTTCCGGAGGCCCTTGGCGAGAACCTCAATACAATTAGCTGCAGTTGTAACGACTGCCACGTTGGCATCCTTCATGCACTTCGCAAGACCCCTCGTAATCTCCCCGTAATCCCCGTCCTTGATTCTCGGGACGTCCAAAATCTTGAACAGGGCCTCGCACGCCTCCTTCCGCTCCTTCCATTTAGAAGAAGCTAACTGGTCGCTGAAATCCGGCGACACTTTCGACAGGACGTCTTGTGGTTCCGCCAGGTCGAAAACATCAACTTCCACGACCTCCTCTTCTTCTTCCTCCTCTTCTGGTCCTGCGTCTGCGCCTGGCGGTGGAGCCCGCGCCATTGCTGCTTGTTGGGATCGTAGGAAGCGTTCTTGTTTCGGTGCAGGTTCTGCCTTGAGCTTCTCGAATTGGGCCTCCAGATCGGTCTGTTGTGTGGGCTTCAGCTCTCCCCAGAACATGGGTTTCATAGCATCTCTCAGCCAGCGGTAGAATTCGAGGGTCAGGTTAGTGGCCTCTGCTCTGACGTTCTTGTCGGCGTGTCCAAAAGCCTTGGGGAGGATTTTCAAGACCGGTTTCGGGTCGGCCGTCTTGCATCCAAAGTTGTGGAAAATCGCCGTCAGCGCAGCTAATGTCGCAGCTACAACTTTGGGTTGTTTGTTGCCCAATGATGGGAGAAGCTCCTCAATCACAGGGCCTGCTGTATCAAGTTCGACATAGAGCAATATCGCTTCGAGCGACGACGCTTTCGTTGCTGCCCTTGTCGATGAGAGACCTTTTTCGGCTAGAGATGAGACGACGTTTCCTCGTGTCCTGACAGTGTTATTAGAAGTCCCATAGTGAAGCTTCGGAACCATCTTACCTTGTACTGCATTCGCGCCCACCAAATTTGAGAAATGCGCATAGCGCAGCAACACCATCCTGCTGTGCCGCAACATTCGAGTCCGCCGCTGCCCCCTTCCATAAACTCCCCGAGTCTTGGAGGAACGGCTTGAATGCGGGATCGTGTTCGTCTGGTGTGACTTCGAATTGCTTGACCGCATCTTCATAACCGGCCTTTCGTACTTTCCAGTTCTGCAGGGGGGTTAGCGCAGGTCTCGCTTTGGCTCCAGCATTGATCGCCCATCATACCTTGTGCTGGAATCTATCGGGTAGGGGGAGGGCACTGAAGTCCTCTTCGGCTTCCGCCATGGTGTGCTAAGCTGGAGGTTGAAATCGAGTCCCGATAGGGGTCTAGGACGCGTGTGTTAGTCGGCGCATCCACAAGAGCAACACAGACTATAGCAAGAGCTCCCAGGGTATTGCAATATGCAGTTACAGCGCATACGGAGCTATCGCCACAGAGCGTCTGGCTGGGAAGAATTGGCTGCGTACGTTTGGGCTCCTAAAGTATTTATGGTTGTTCGTCGTGGGCGCACTGAGGGGTTCCTGGGCCAAGCCGGTATCGGGTTAACCGCGTTTGGTATGGTGGGATAGAGGCGACCTGGGTATGCTGTGCCACTTCCGCAAGCTGTATATGTAACCTCGTCGTTGAAGTTGGCGGCGGTGAGTATCGGGTTGATTGCGATTGTGTTGTTGATGTGAATGTTGGGCTCAGTCGCTACGGTGATCGCCAATATTTCGGCAGCCACATGATAAGGATGGAAAGCTCTCAGCCCAACGATAAACAAAACGGCAATTAAGTAAATAAAAGTCATAAAAGTCAGAACAGAGCAAAATAGAGAAAATACACCATATTATAACATATCAGACGCCATCCTTCTTAATATTACTTCAAACCCCCAGCTAAAGCAAGCTGCACGTGACCTGACGCGCGAACCCATAGTTTTGGGACAAGGCCGAACTTCTGCCTTCCCTCTCATAATTACTTTCGCAGCCAATTTCAAGGGACCCCAACACAACGTCTCGCTCATGCGCAGCACGTCCAGCTGGGATCCGAATCACACAGCATGAATACCTTCGGTGGCGGATCGTCCTCGGAATCCGAATCGGAGTATGACTTCCTACACCCATCCGCCGACCCAAATGCCGACGAGTTCGCCGACTACAATCCACGGAAGCGGAGGCGGACAGGGCGTGATGCGAAGGAGAGCGCGGCGCTGGGTGTATTTGGCAGCGAGAGCGAAGATGAGGGGCCTGGGAGACGGTGGAAGAGCAAGACGCTGAGGGGGAAGGGGATGGCATTTGTGTCCTCGGGCGACAACCTAATTAAGGGCGAGGAGGACAACGAGGAAGAGGAACATACGACAGCGAGAGCTGGGGGGCAATACCTTGAAGACGCCGAAGATGTGGATATTGACGACGCTGCCGACGACACTGAGGAAGTACCTCGAGCTGGCCTCGGAGCCCAAAGCGCTCCCAGTCTTGGACAACGGAAACAGGGCCTTGGTGGCGGACTGGGATGGCAAAGCCCTGCGGCGCGAAGCATGAGGCTGGGCAATGGAGGTTCTACGTCACCTTTAGGCCATGGTTTCATGCCATCCTCTGCAGCAATACCTGTCCTCAAGGACTTCAGTGACGAGAAGTCAGTCAAACGAGTTGCTATGCCCAGCGCATTCTCGACACCGACAGCTGCGAAGGGTGGGCGGCCTGGTGCACAGAAGGCAGCACCAATAAATGCGGGGTCGTTCGCTGCAAGGATGATGGCAAGGATGGGATACAAAGAGGGGGAAGGCCTGGGGAAGGAAGGACAAGGGCGCAGCGGGGTCATCGAGGTTCAATTACGGCCTCAGGGCGCTGGATTGGGAGCTGTGAAGGAGAAGTCCAAACAAGAGAAGGAGGAAGAGAAGCGACAAGCTGCTAAGAGAGGCGAGGTGTTGGAGGATTCAGAGGAGGAGGAGAGGAAGAGGCGTCGCAGAAAGGCGAAGACGAGCGGGACGGATAGTGGTATGAGCACGCCAAAGCGACGACCGAAACCGAAATTCCAAAGCCTACCGGAACTTCAAAAAGCTGCCCCAGGGTTGAAAATCCCAGATGCCTTTACTCCTATCCTGGACATGACTGGTTCTGGTCAGAAATTCCTGACGGCCAGTTCTGGTCTTGCAACGCCTACTTCCGGTGTTGTCGAGTCTACCGAAGTAGTGGAGGCTAGAAAGCTGGCACGAAGAGCACAGAATGACCTATCGTCCTTCGTCGAGGAATGGAAGAACCTGGAGGAACGAAAGGCTTGGGTTGAAATGGAAATACTACAGCAACAGCAAGCTGTGGACGAACAAAATGGCTCTTCGGAGCAATTAAGGAAGGCTGCGGGGATTGTCGAGGGGTTATCGGTCGCAGTGCGAGATGGGCAGTGGGACCCAGTCATAGATGCCTTGGCGGTAGTGGAAAAACTCGATGTAGCTGGTAACGATGAGCTGGCAAGCATCGCCGTTGCGGCTGTCCACCCCTTCTTCCGCCAGGCCGTCGAAGGCTGGCAGCCGCTGGAAGACCCAAAACTCAGTGGCGTCGCATCTGATGGATTCGTCTCTGCCATCTCCGGAATCAGGAAACTCCTTGGGATGATCCCCGAGCCCAACGGAAGCTCCGCTCATACTACCAAACCTCACAGCAACCGCGTCCATAAAACAACACCTTACGAATCCCTTATTTACACCGTCTGGTTTCCCAAAGTTCGCTCCGCCATAACCAACACCTGGGACGTGAAAAACCCCACTCCGCTTCTCACGCTTCTGGACCTATGGACTCCGCTCCTCCCGCCCTTTATTAAATCTCAGATCTTTGAGCATCTCATTTTCCGCAAACTCGACGAGGCCATCGCCGATTGGAACCCCAAAAAGCGCTCCAGAACGAACAGCCTGCCGCACATGTGGCTCTTCCCCTGGCTACAACACCTGCCCGCTCACCATTTGGATCCTCGCTCTTCATCAGGACTTGTTGCTGATGTCAAGCGAAAATTCAGAGTGCTTATCGACAGCTGGGATTTCCGGCGTGGTGTCATCCCCGGACTTACACAGTGGAATGACCTTCTCCGACCGTCGTCGTCCAGTAAAGATGATTATTGGACACCCCTCCTCATCAACCACGTCCTCCCCAACCTCGCCAAGTACCTCCGCAACAATTTCCAAGTAACCCCCCAAGACCAAGAACCCTACATGAAGACCCTAACCAACGTCCTCGAATGGCAAGACATCCTGGGCAACAGAATCACAGGCCAACTCCTCGTCGACGAGCTCTTCCCAAAGTGGCACGACGTCCTCCACCAATGGCTCACTCTCAACGACGTCAACTACCTCGAAATCAGGGACTGGTTCGACTTCTGGCGCACCATCATCCCCGCCTCCCTCTCCTCGGTCCCCTCCGTCCAGCAAGAATGGCAAAAAGGCAACGCCCTCATCAACGCCGCCCTCGACCTCGGCGCGCGCGCTAAAACCGATCTCCCCGCGCCCACACGCCCAAGTCGCGCCAGTCCCACAGCGCAGCCAGCGCCGGAACCGGCGCCGAAGATCGAGAAGCCGGAGCTGGAGGAGGTCACGTTTAGGCATCAGTTGGAGGATTGGTGTATGGCGAGGGACCTGCAGTTTATCCCGGAGAAGAGCACGTTGGAGGCGAATGGGCCAGTGTATCGCGTTACGGCGGCGGCGATTGGGAAGGGGGGTGTGTTGATTTATTTGAGGGGGGATTCGATATATGCGCAGATCAAGAGGGGCACGTGGACGCCGCTTGGGAAGGAGACGGATGCGTTGTTTGAGTTGGCGCATCGGTAGAGCAGAGGCGGGCGGGTTGCAAGCTCATGTATTTCTCAGCGAGTGGTAAGACTAGGAAATTGGAAGTCTAATCACTATAATACGGAATAAAGTATACGGCACTCAATTTGTGTGATATGCATGGTTATCTATTCCTTAAAACGAGTGATTGGGTGTATCATATGCTCCTTCCCCGTCTATCGGCAAAGTTCAATGCACGCTATCTCACTCCTCCTCTTCCGCCCTCAAGTCCCCAAGGTGAAATGCCTCAAAAACGCAAGGAATCTCATATAAAGTAGAAAATAGCCCATCTACGCCCCATCCCCCCCAAAAATACTGGCGCATCTCTTGATGCCCAGCACACACACAAAATATATAGGGGGCCATTACCCCGACAAAACGAATTCCAAAAATTTCCCAAAAATGACTCCGATATCAAGGGAGGGTGAATAGAGCGTTTCCCCCCTCTCCCTGACTGATCCCTCAGTTCCCATATCATCTCAACGTCGCGTTCATAATGTCGATCCTCTCCGTTTCATAAATGCAAACCTTAAATATGCGTCAAAAACATAGTTCGTTGTCCGCCCCCCTCGCTCTCTCGTTCGTTATGGGATATCATCGATACCTGCCCAGTCCTCTAGCTGGGATCGCATACTCTCTCCAATACTACTCCACTCCGACTCTTGCTTGTTGTGAAGCTAAAAGCCCATAATGCCAGTGATGGCCCTTTCTAGCTGTCCAGGAAAAAAATCCCTAGCACCACCCGTCCCCCAGCGCTCCCGGCGCTTCGCTCCACCTATTGTTGTTGTTGAAGTGCTCACTCGATGCTGGCGCAGAAGAGCTCGATCTCTCCCAGCATGCCGTTCTTGAGGCCTTCAATCTGCTGCTCTCGCCATTCCTGGAATGCGATGTGTATGTCATCATCTGATTCGATGGTTACGTAATCTCCGTCCTCGTCTTGGTATCTCAATCTCATCGTGCCCCTCGCAATCGCATTGTTACTGAAGCGGCCGACCTTGGCGTCGATGCGGTCAATGAGGCTTCGGTATGTAATGTTGAACGCCACTACCAGCGTGACGTAGTTGCCGTCACAGTTGACCTTCACCTTGAGTTGAGTCGGGAGCGGCATGTTCATTTCAGGTAGCGCATTGCTTAGAGGGGGCGACATGGTCTGGGTACGGTCCTCGCCGCCCTTCACTGTCGCAAGAACGGGGGTTGTGTTGCTACGCAGGTACGCAGGTGGTACTGCTGGATAGCTTGCTTGCGGTGGCTGGGACCCGTCACGTTGGGTGCCCGGGCTCTGCGTCGCGGAGCGAACGGGGATGCCATTGATCGGGGAACCGTTGCTCGAGCGCGGAATGCTGTTGTCATAAGCCGGGTGGAGATGGGGCGGGATACCAGGCACAGCTGGTACGGGCTGGCTGTCGTTGCGGCGACGAGCTGCGTTTACCTGCGCATTGATGTCAGGAGTACTGTATGATCGACTGCGGTTCTGGGCGTTAACCATCTGCGCTTGTTGGGATGACATGACAGGGAGGGAAGGACGCTGGGGGTTGTTGCGGTAGTTAATAGACTGCTGCGACTCGCGAGACGGTGTACGGCCGATGGCTGGGGCGGTGTAGCGATTGTGGTCCTCCCAGTTTCCTGTCTGGGACCCTTGTCGTGGGAAGGGGAACATGGAGTTCTGGCTCGTTCTCGATGATGCGGGAGATTCGGCGACAGGCGAGAAGTAGGAATCACCACCTCTCGTCCCAGGAGGGGTTTGTAGAGGCATTTGCGTCTGTAAGCTTAACGGAGGCTGGGGTCCCATGGGAAACCGGGGAGGGGCTTGTCTAACCGCTCCTGCGATGGATTGAATGCTTTCGCCAGTCGTTGACCTCGATCGCAAGCTAGTGCTTGAAGTATTTCTATCCATCGCAAAGGTATTTTGTTCAGGGGGCACAGCTTGTTCGGCAAACACCCCGCTGTTGGCTAATTGCGGATACTCGTCGTCATCGTCGTCCTCAGGTTGAGCATAAGGATTATCGATGGGCCCTTTCTGCACTTGCATCCATGCAAATTCGGGTGTTCCAACTTCAGCCCCCCCTTGTTCGCGGTCAAGGCAATCTTTACGCTGCTTATCAACCGCTGCCGACCACTTTTTCATGACCTCCTCGTGGGAGAATCGAATCATAAAGTTCTCAATTCCAGGGTCTCCTTTCCACCAAATCTGCACGGTGTACGACCCTGAATCACGTCAGGATAAATCTTTGGGGGCGGGAGTGGGAAACAAACCAGGTTTAACCATTGACACAACGTCTGTGACGTTGGTCATAAATATGCGGCCTTTCAGCTGAAGCTTTATAGTTTTACCGGATTTATCCTTCTTATCTTTCGCGGCCTTTTTATCCTTTTGGCCTCCTCCCATAAGCTTGTCTTTGACCTCTTTACAGCAAAGCAATATGCGTTCGAAAAGGTATATCGTATACTGTGTGGTTCAAAGGCAGACGAGCCCCTCGTGTCAGCTACGGTTCTTGCTGTTCAAACCAAATTATAGGCTTGGAGGCTTATGTCTGGAGCGGAGACTTCACGGTTGTATGTCCACTGGAACAGTTATTGGCAGAGCCATTAATTTACACCAACCAGAGTACGAATAGGGGAAGTAGGCCACTGTTCACTTGACAGGCTAGAGGATACGTTTGCGAAGGAAATGTGAGTGTTTACCTCTTTCTCCAAATCACTTTTACCAGTGATCACAGTGAAGACACCGTGGAGGAGTAGGTCGCCAAACTGATTAATATCGTGGTTCTTCCAATCATCAACGCGTGTGCAAAGATCTACCAAAGCCTCGTTTCTCAGCTCCCTGTCGACTGCAGCATTCGCTTGGTGCAGAACACGATTAGAAGCTTCCATCCCTGCTGTAAGTTCTGCTTTCGTTTGGTCATCCGCATTTGTTTTATCGCGCAAATCCTAACAGGTATTAGCCAATGCACGAAGCCAAATCCCAATTCATTTCGGAGGCTCACCTTCAATAACAACGGATATTTGACCAATCTCTGCATAGGTTTTAGCAGGAAGCCGTCCAGTGTGTTGAAATCAACAACAACCGGGTGGTCTGCCAACGAGATCTTGTCGAACTCTCGTTTGGCAATATCGGCTGCTCTTCGCTGGTTGGCTATAAATGGTTGATAAATCCCAAAGGATTCTTCGTGAAATACAAAAGGCGCGCCCCACTCCTGCCTTGCGTCCGGCTGCGAATTCGTCGTTTCGATCCGGATCAAAAACCTTCGCTGGAAGTCGAGAATCGCATTGATGTTTAAAAATATAGCATGCACAACATCACCGGGGATAACGCCTTTCTGCTCGATTTGCTTCTTGAGCTCGTGCAAATTCTCCAGGTCCTGCACATATTTGCGCTCGGTATCGACAAGTTCTCGAACAACATGGTCCCTGTAGCTCATCTTTCCCCCCACAGCAGCGTTGGGAGTCTCGGCCTCTGCCTCCGCAGTAAGTAGCAGACCCCGCTGCCCTGCGACGTCAAGCACCACATTCAGGACCTGAGTGACCTTAACAAAACCAGTTGTATCGTCGCCGAGCAAATCGTTGAGCACAAAAACCTCCTCGGGGGGTAGCTTCAAATCTTTCAGGCATGCCAGCACGAACTTTGATGCTGCGCTCTTCGGTTTTTTCGCATCCGAGACCTTATCATCGACTTGTAGGGGTTCGGGTGGTTGAAGTGCGTTATATATCGTCATTAGGGGGTATCCCTTTCGGAGGCATCGCCACAACGAGGTAACGGGGTCGTCGTCGTATATCTCGTCGTCGTCCAACTCTTGCAAGTGCTGCTCGAACCCAGGGACCAGGAGGAGGCGCTGTCGCAGACTGACGCATATCTGGTATAGGGATCGGGAAGCATCTGCCCGCTGGTTAATGATATTGTTGGTCGCCACGACATTGCTCCCGTTCTGCGATATGGTCGTAGTGGTCGATAGAGTGTTTAGGGATGCTGAGGATGCTGAGGTGAGTGTAGAGGAGGACATTTTGGAGGATCGAGGCCCATGTCCAATCATTTTACTTGGAAAAGGGTCTCTCGAAGTTCTGGTCGATGTCGATGGAGTTGGCGCGGTGTGAATGCGTGTTAGGCCCGGTCCGTGCGCCATGGCCATTGTGATTGTGCCCGACGACATCAAAGAAGATATATAGGTTGAAGAGGGACAAGAAATACGCAGCTAGAACGTCGCAAAATGGTTACGTAGAGGCAGAAGAGGTTATGCAAAGGGTCAGGGAGAGTCAAGACCCTTTGACGCTGACGACCTGGCCCTTCTTAAGGAGGGGGGTTTGTATGATTCGTACTGTGACTGTGGGACCCACTAAGAACGGGCGCTTGCCGAGCCTGTAGAGCCTGATCCTGTAGAGCCTGTAGAGCCTGGTCCTGATTAGGCTGTAGAGGCTGTAGAGGCTGTAGAGCCTGTAGAGCCTGTAGAGCCTGTAGAGCCTGTAGAGCCTGTAGAGGCTGTAGAGCCTGATCCTGATAGAGCCTGTAGAGCCTGTAGAGCCTGTAGAGCCTGTAGAGCCTGTAGAGCCTGTAGAGCCTGTAGAGCCTGTAGAGCCTGTAGAGCCTGTAGAGCCTGTAGAGCCTGTAGAGCCTGTAGAGCCTGATCCTGATATAGGCTGTAGAGCCTGTAGAACCTGTAGGCGCCGTAGATACAAATGCTTGAACAGTCCGACTAAAAGGGTATAGCTTCCATATCACGGGGTTGATGTCTACCAGTACAGTATAGCCGAGTATGGTCTTCATGTCTATGGTGGCTTGTACGACAGAGAGCTTCAAAGTATCCCCCTTCTCCCCCTCAATCCCCGTGCCATGCAAGTATAGTGTTTACAAGAACCCCCTTATTACGGGGTAATGAGGGTGATGAGGGTGATGAGGGTGATGAGGGTGATGGGAAACAGTAATATGTGATATGTGATAGGTGATCGGGGTGTTACGGTGGGTTGTACGACTCAGACGTGCAGACAGCCCCCTCGCCCCCTTTGTCACGGGATTTACGGTTGTCCATCCACTACAGAGATGCACTTCCCCATGCTGTGTGCTGTGCCAAACGCTCTCAGATAAGTGACAGGAAGTACTATGGACTTCAACTGCCACCAACATTCTCCCACACTATCAAGTAGACAGTACTTACCACCAACCAATAGGCTCCGTTCCAGCCGCATAACATCAACCCAGCTTACTCTACTCTACCCTGCCAAAAGTAACATGGCAGTGCTCCATCCTCACCACCGAAGAGAAGACAACAGATGAGGCATACACGCTCGAGTATATTTACTGTCGGCCGCGTCCATGAAAGGCTGAGCTGGGCCATCGCCATCGCCATCACCATCGTTGCTACTCCAACACGGATGACACGACAGACAGCCAACCAATGCCCAACTCAGGGGCCCTATAACCCCAATAATGACTCTATTTAATGCCCCTCAAGATGAGGGCTATAGCGAGGCTCCTCTGGGCACACACGTGTCGGCGAGAAGCTCGGGGCGCATGGATCCAGCGATAGCCTCGTGGTATTCGTCGTTGGACGTCGATGACCGCATCAGTAGGAGATCCAACACGTCTGCTACTCACTACCTCACTAACGCGTGTCCCTCTAGGCCTTGCGATGACCATTATGGCCGACCTACCAACATCTGCCGTATACGATATAGTTAATTCCATGGGCCCTTTGTTACACGTCAACTTTTTGGACAGACTCCCCCCCGAAGTTTGCTTGAAGATTCTGGGATTCCTCGATCCGTTGTCAGTGCTGCAGATGGCTCAAACGTCGCGTGGTTCGTTGCCACTGTCCATGGACTGGACTCTATGGCAACAACTATACTACAGGGAAGGCTGGCGTACGAACCAAATCGAGCTTCAGAGCTTCGGGAAAGAGCTGATGAACGAATCGCTCGAGACCAGATCGGGATTCCGGTCACAGGGAGGGGTGGTGCGCAAACAGTCTCCCTCCCATGACAGGGTGCCGCCACGGAAACAATTAAAACTTACAGAGAATAATAATAGGCCAGAGTTTTATGTTAAGGACCAGGACGATGATTTAGAGATGGCTGACGTTGGGCCAAGATCTCCCCCTGAGCATAAGTCCATATTTGGGAACCCAGCGCCACAGGTATCACGAAACTGGACCTCAGAAAGGGCTTATGCCTCAGAACATCCAGCTACTGCACACAGGGCTCCACGGGAAAGTTTAGCACCACAACCCATAATGCGGCGGCAGTCAAACCGGTCGACGAAGCCAGCACCCACGGATGTTTCAAGCATGTCGTCTCTGGTGGTGTTAGACCGACGGGAGAGCAAACGAAAACTCAACTGGCACTATCTTTACGCTCAGCGGAGAAGACTAGAGGCCAATTGGGAAGCCGAAAAATATGTTAACTTTCAACTGCCACACCCTGATCATCCAGAGGAGGCACACAAAGAGTGTATTTATACCATCCAACACAGCGGCAAATATCTCGTGAGCGGAAGCAGGGACAGGACCCTTCGGATTTGGAATTTAGACACGAAAAGACTCGTTATGCCTCCTCTCCAAGGCCACCAAGGCTCGGTCCTATGCTTGCAATTCGATCCTGATCCATCCGAAGATATTATCGTTTCAGGGAGTAGCGACTCAACTGTGAGGATATGGCAATTCTCTACGGGCAGGATGCTTCAAGTTTTGGAGAAGGCACACCCAGAGCCAGTTCTGAACGTCCGATTTGACCGTAGAATACTCGCCACATGCTCCAAGGACAAGACCGTCAAAATATTTAACCGCAGACCGATGCACCCTGGCGAGCTAGGATACCCTGGCGAGCATCAGGGCATTCAACCTGCGGCTATAGTATTAAATAATTACGGCTATAATCCTTCGCCACGCGAGACCCTTCCTATACTGCCTCCTTTTACGCAGATTGGGTGTCTAGAAGGCCACGGTGCTGCTGTCAATGCGATCCAAATATATAAGAACGAGATAGTCTCGGCATCTGGTGACCGTAACGTCAAGGTCTGGGACTGGCCGCTTCAGACTTGCATTCGCACGCTCGTGGGGCATTTAAAGGGCATTGCCTGTGTGCAATACGATGGCCGTCGCATCGTAAGCGGCAGCAGCGACCATGAAGTCAAGGTGTTTGACAAACAGACAGGCCTTGAGGTTGCAAGCCTAAGAGGGCACACCCATCTTGTTCGAACTGTTCAAGCTGGGTTTGGAGACTTACCGGGGAGTGAAGAAGAGGACCAAGCTGCAGCCAAGAATGTAGACAGTGACTATTTCAAGGCAGTAGATAGCGGTGACATTCCCCGCAACCTACCCAAGACGCAAAAACGAAACGCAGGGTCGAGCAGGCCCCAAGATATCATGGCATATGGAGCCAAGTTGCCTCCGGGCGGAGGGGGCGGTCGATACGGCCGCATAGTTTCTGGATCTTATGACGAGAGCATTATTATTTGGCGCCGAGACAAGGAAGGTGTTTGGAAGGCGAAGCATACCTTCCGCCAAGTCGACGCCGCCCGATCCGCCCTGACCAATTTCGAGGCAGGCCGTCCCCCACCGCCAAGCCTTCCAGCACAGAGTGCCGCCTATTTCCACGCGCTAATCGACCTCGTCGTTCCCCTCGGCGCCAATGTTCTTCGCCTGGCCATCCATGAGCACCCCCAAATCATATGGTCCAGCCGCCTAGGATCGGCTATCATGGCTGAGCCTGTCGAAACCCGACGACACCAGTTACGTGCGGTCCTGGATCATGCGATGCACCGGCACACGGGTTTATCTTCGTCGGATAACCACAGTCTTGCAACTCGTGGGATGGCGCCAGCACAGGACGCGCCTGAAGGTTCAACGCGGCCGCAATCGTCGGCTGCGCAGTCGCAAACTATGGCACAGCAACAAACAACTAGCATCCCGCAAACAAACAATGAATCCCCAATCCATCACACCCAATCCGCACCACCACGAATCCCGCAACCCCAAGCATCCTCGGCACCGCCACTAGATACACAAGCCACCATCCAGGCAGTTGCACAGGCCCAAGCCACCGCACAAGCCCAGGCCCAAGCACTCCTCCACGCGCAAGCGCAGACGCAAGGCCAAGCCCATCAATCTGCAGCTGCGGCGCCTGCGAACCCGGGGGCGAACATGGCGCGGGTGTTTAAGCTGCAGTTTGATGCGAGGAGGATTATCTGCTGTAGCCAGACGCCGATTATTATTGGGTGGGACTTTGCGAATGGGGATACGAAGATTGAGGAGGCGAGTCGGTTCTTTGGGGCGGTGGAGTAATGGGGAGGTTTAAATGGGGGGGGGTTTAAATGGGAGTTTTGCTTTTGGGGTGGAGACAGAATGGGGGTTGTAGGACTCAAGGGAAAAGAGGGGGGGTTACATTTTCTCGGCAAGCGGGCGTGTGTGTTTGTGTGTTGGCGCTGTTCATCTTCTTCTTTTTTGAATTATGCGGGAAGCGCGGTGTTGGTATTTTTGTTTTGCCTTATGATCAACGCCTGTGGTATGGATTATAAACGTATATATAGAATAACGAAGTCGAATATTCCTCAAGGCTTTCGAGTCTCAACACGGATTTGGAATAAGTGATCTTCCTTCGTCTTCAATCAGATAGATGCCACGAAGGATGGCAGCTATGATGTCAATTGTCGACAGGCCTGTCGTTGGCTTGCGCGGGGCAGCAAAAGTGAAGCTCGGGATATTCAGGGATTGTGTGGTGCGATGTTTACAGGCTCGATGCGCGCGAATTGGCGCTAGTTGCGCGAAAAGTGCGCAGATTCCTAAAATTGAAGCTCAGGCAGGATATTCACAGAAATACGCAGGTTCTCAAAAGGGGAGCTCAAGATATTCAAGAATTGTGTGGTGATGATTGATATATCTAGAAGCTCGATGCGATCAATCTCGCGCAGATTGGCGCTAAATGCGCCAGAGGTGTGCAAATTTAGAAAGTGAAGCTCATAATCTGGGCTCTTAGTGGCCCCTCTCTTCGCCCTCGGCATATGTCAGGCTTCGGTAATAGGGGCAGATGAACAGCCGCCCTCGGAGAGGTTGACGAAGATTCCTCCTTCCTTGGCCAGGATTTTTCTTTTTCGTTTCTTATCACTGTTTTCCAAGTTTTGGCACGGAGCGGCTGAAGATGGGTTTTGTGAATAGCTTCATACATCTCACGTTCCCCCTCCTGTGTCGTTGCGCTATGCTCATCATCAGTTCCTATTCTCTACTACTTTGTCAATATGGCATGATCATCCCTATTTCCGTGATTCTCAGTCACAAACCGTTATTTTCAATACGCCCTTTTCTTCAACACCGTCATTATCCTCACAACCCGCTGTGAACCGGCCGAGTCGCCAAAGCCGCCGAATCGGCACAGGTGATTCACTCACCCGCTGGCGCTGGCTTCGTTATATCGGTCTTCATTTTCGTCTTTGCTTCCTCTCCTTCTTTCAACCTACGCCTCAACATATCGAACATATACGACTTCTATTCCTCCAGAGCGTATTCATCCACCCGGGCTGGCCCCATCATTCGAGCTGATCTTTCATAACATTCACACCACGACCACTATCACGAGTTGCCACGAGCGTATTTGGATTTCAACAGACAGATACTTATTCATTTATCGTTACAGATTCATGCTGGGTCGTGGTATCCTTTCTTACATTCATTATTTGTGAGAGCGCTTGCTTCGACGCATTTTTTATTCAAAGAGTCAAAGTCTGGTTCTATTCCGTTCAAGGAAGATATTGAAAGAATCACTCGAGCGGGCCAAACCACCAGGAAGTTCTGATACTGTTATCAAAGATGGTTGGCACGCAGAAGTGGTCGATGGAGGAGATTCTTTGGGTGATTACGATGGTCAAACAAGGGTTGAAAGACGAAGAGATATATGAGAAATTCTGTGGGATATTCAAGAACGCAAGACATGTCAGAGGAGCAAGCAGTATCAAGTACTGCAGGACTGGATTTATGAAACAGGAAGAGTAGGTTCTCGTTTCTGTTCCTTGGCGATGCTCGTTCTGGTCCTGCTGTGAATGGATACTGACAGCCCATTTGATAGGTACTCTCAGGAGAAGTACTGGGAGGATTCCCCCGGGAAGATAGGATTCGTCCTTGGCCGCTATGACGCTGGCGTCTATAACGGCCACCAGGTCGTGGCTGATGTAATGCACCATTTCCCAGCCCATATCTGGGTCCCGCATGTCAAGCCAACGGCCAGGTGCATTGATTTTGTCATAACGAAGTACAGGAAGCTTCAAAACAGGCAAGTGATGTGATCATTCTTCTTCAACAAGGTCATCAATTAACGTGAGAATGCTAGATTCTCTGGCTATACTCGAGAAAATCCTCTCGTTGAGCCTGTCCTCTGTCTCACCAAAGACGGGGTATCACCCGGGGAGATCTTCAGGACCGCAAACGAGAATGGAATTAGCCTTGATGATATATACTATATCATGGCCAGGTTTTGGATGGAAGTGAATCCACGGTTGGTCCCCCCACATCTGTAGAAGCATGGTGTCTGACTGTCGTATAGCCCAACTGCTCTGGACAACTCAACAGCTGGCGCAAGCACAAGCCAAGCTGCTCCAGCAAATGGCAAAGCAAGGCCACTCATTTTTGAGCTACCTCCACCGGACTCGAACAAGAAATCCACAGCTCATATGTCTCAGCACAACACTCATCGTTCCTCCTCCGACAGAAATTCACATTTGCCTCCTCACGATCACGGATATGAGTACTTCAACGGGGCGGGGCATCAGGTGGCATATCCTGGGGTGCAAACGGATTTGGAAACGTCTTTGTTGAATTCCGGATACCCACAGCAGATATCATCTGGGGCATCGTCTCAGGCACAACTACATGATCTCCAACGCCTTCCTCGGCCAGGACTCTTTCAGCCGTCACAACAGCATGATATGAGATTCCAGTATCCACACATACCCCAAGATTGCCAACTGCAGCTCCCGATGGCACCACAGCGCTTTGAGCAGCGGAATCTTTGGGGATACGCCGGAGAGTACCCAAGTCCAACTATTCAACAAAACATACCTGGGCACTTCAATCAGCAAAATTGGGGCTATGATTCTACCTTTGGAGGGCAACAGATAGTACCAGAACATCCTCAAAGTGGTTTCGGGGGCTATCAACAGCCTCCTGGTCATCTTGGCCAGCGGAACTATGGCAGCTTGTCACAACCAGGGCAGTTCTCATACCAGGCTCTGCCAGGTCATAACCTATCGCAAGCCTTCTATCAGCACCCTCAGGTTCTTACTCAAGGACGCCAGCGGCCTGATATTCCAGTTACAGGCTATGAGAATATTGACCCTGCTTTACTGGGAATGGACACAACCCAAGTGTCACGCCCGGATATCGGCATCACGACCCTCTCCCAGCCTCTTTTGACCCCGCGAATTGCTCCTCGGGATTTTCTGCATCCCTTTGCCTATTCAGGGATCCAGAGCGGTCAAGACGTGTCTCCGCTAACAATTGAAAATCCACAGTTTCTGGTTACTCTACCACCAACACCGGAGGTGGCGCATGATGGAGTTGAGCACAGAGGACAGTCAACGATACCCGACCCTTTTGCTCAGAGATCAGTGCTGACGGAACAGGTTCAATTGGCACTTGGGACTGAGTTGCATCATTCCAGTGGAACGAGCGGTTTTGATCAGGATACTTTTGATCAAACTCTCACGTTGTCAAGTGAAACTAATGATGCTACCTTTGGACATGAAAACTCAAGTGAGTCTATACATTCCGTGTTGGGTATCCCGAGTCAGCAGGGAAATCAGAAAGGGGATGGAGAAGGTTCAATTTCTGAGCAGGCAGGCCAAAACTTCTTCCAAAGCCCAAACTCCATTCTTCATACTACAGTTGAAGAAACGGTTGCGGGCACCCCCAACACTAACCAAGAACCGCTTGCCGATGTTCAACACATGGAATTGGACATTTTTGACGAGGTTGCCAAATCTGGGGAGCTTTTCGAATTGTTCCCGGATCTTCAGTATCAAAATCTTCGGGGGTGTAACTTCAATTACGATGGGTCTATGATTGGAAGTGGTGTTATTGACACTTTCGAAAATGACTCGTCAAAAAACAGCCTTGAGGCAAATGGTCTACAGGATAAATGGCCTTGTGATAACAAATCTTCGTTGGAAGCCATGGATGTCTTGGGCAGGAATCTGGAAACAGAGATGGCTGGCCCATTCCTTACCCAAAACTCCTCTGGGTACAACAATGATTCCGGTGGAATTCAGAGTAGCGACCCTGGAGCGTTTGAAGACGATTGGGCACCGGAAGGGACTTGTTGTGCCCATCATCGAAATTTCGAGTGTTACTTTGAGGTTCCGGATTCGGACGGTGAGAGTGCTACTGTTTCAAACTTTGAAGCTGGTGTGGATTTTTCTTTTTACACTTGATTTCTGTTGAGGTCAGGCACGGAGTTTGAACAAGTGAATGGATTACGCAAAGCGGAACGTGTTTTATACCCAGTTACTGCGATGGTTTTAAATTCAAACGGGCTAGGTGTTATTTTGCGTTCCTTTTACCTTTATATGTATTCCAAATATGACCAGAATAGGTGCTGAATTTATTTTGGATAAACTTTCTCTCATTTACTTGTTGCGAAATGTGGATAAACTTTCTCTCATTTACTTGTTGCGAAATGTGGATAAACTTTCTCTCATTTACTTGTTGCGAAATCTGCACCACTGAATCCAATAGTTGACTGGGATTCAGTTACAGCTATACTGTGAAGAGAACCAGTGGATGGCCTCACTACAACGTCGCTCGCATTCACTTCGAGGTCCAGCATATATGCTATCATTTTCTCTCCTCTACGAGTTTTACATCCCTCATCTGCATCGACTGCCTCTAACGGCGGCAAAGAAAAATACACAATCTACTACAACACAAACCCGGCCCAAGATGTCCCAACTAACCCCCCAAACCCACACCCACTGCTCCGCCTGCGAAGCCACTGCCGCACAGTGGACCCGAGTAAACGCCTGCACCCATTCCAACCTCGGGTTGAGCTCCCCAGGCAAACCATACCCCATCCCCCCGACCTTAGGCACAGAGAGCCATCCCTACGCGCGACAGATCGGAGAAACCCAGTTCATGACTGCTCCCGAACCAGAGGTTCAGGTCACACAGAACAAAGTCTGGATACAGCCCGAGTACGACGTCGTGGTAAAGAAGGATGTCGACATGGATTATATCAAGGAGTTGATTGCCAATATTGTCCTTCCTGGTTCGAAATCAGAGGATGAAGGTCCAATGCCTCCAAGACCTACTATTCCGACGCTGTCGGGTGTGCCTCCGAATTATTGCGTCTTGAATTTGAAAGTGGAAGATGCTATTCCACCCCCGAGACCGAATGTGCCGGGTAGGCCTCCGAGGAAAAGCTTTTCTGGTGTGGAAATGGTGGATGCTATTCCACCTCCAAGGCCGTATGTGCCAACGCCGCCATATGAACTTCTTTCTGGCTTTCAAACCGAGGATGCTTTTCCAACTCCAAGGCCGAATGTGCCGTTGCCGCCGGATGCGCCTCCGAACCAAGGCCTCTCTGGTTTCCAACCCGAGGATGCTTTTCCACCTCCAAGGCCTTATGTCCCGTTACCACCGGATGCGCCTCCGAATCAGTGATTTGGGTCTTGGACTGGGTTGTTGTATAATAGTGGAGGTCTTGGTGTTGATGCCGGTGCCGTTTGCAGAAGTTCGGGGGTTGCTGGGCTCTGTTGCGATGGTTTAAGTCTTTTCGGTCTTCTGGACAGATGTATAATAGGAATATGACTAGCAAATATAACGTTGATTTATCATATGCAGCCAACCATGCTCGTGCCGTCTATGTCTATAATCTATCATCCACAATCTATACTCCCGCCCCCTTCCTCTTCCAAATCCTCCACCAACAATGCACCCTAACCCTCTCCCCATTAACTTCCCAATCATCAAACCCCATCTCCTCCCCCTCCCTTACAATCTCAAACCCCCTCCCCCCCAACTCCCCCTTCAACACCTCCCCAAACCCCCTCGTCGTCTCATCCCTCAACGGAAACCCCACCATCGCTCTCGACCCCTCTCCACGGCTCAACCTTCCATCAATGGCCGCCGCAAGCCAAACAGGATGTTCAGGCTCATACAACGGATCCGCTGCAATTACAAGATCATACTCCTGACCCGGATTCATACACGACCAGTCCAGTATGTCGGTTTTAGCACTACCCCCGTGCTCACCAATGGCCCCCTCATTAGCCACAACATTCCTCTCAAGATTCGGCACAATAGCAGGTAAATCCGTCATCACCACCTCCGTCCCCCACAGCGCCGCGGCTGCAAGCCCGAGAAGTCCCGTCCCAGCCCCTAGCTCAAGGACAGACGGGACCGGTTGGTTGGGGGTGAAGAGGTGAGGGAGGTGGGAGGGGATGTGAGGGAGCACTTTCTGGGCAAGGATTAATGCTGTGCCCCATGTTTTGAAACCGATGTTGTCGTTTGTCATTGTTGGCTCGTGGATGGAGAGGGTGGTGGGGGGGGGGTGGGGATGCTGAAGGTGCGGGTTTGGGCGGGCATTCCTGGGAGGCGTTAGGTTTCTTCCGGTTCGGGGGGGGGGTACCCCTGAGTTTTCACGTGATGCTGATGTTGCGGCTTTTGTGGTAGAGCTTGTTGCCAGATCAAATAGGGGGGGTTGGAGGCATGCTTACCATTACGGCCGGATCGCTCGCTCAGTCTGATGCTAGCTTGTTCCCAAACCTCAACTTGCTCGTCGTCGGTTAGCCACGTGAGGGGGCTTGATACGATCTTGGTTAGGTACGATGCGATGGCGTTTTTGTCCTCTCTTGGTTGGTCATGGTCGGCATCGCTTTCATCCCAGGATATTGGCTTTGGCTTGAGTGAGATGAGGGCCGAGAGTAGAGCTAAGCTGGACGGCTTGGTGTATAGCTGCGGTAGGTCAAAGACTGGCGGGTATTAGTGTGTATGTCTTGTATAATTTTGTGGGACTGAAGAAGACAAATATTACCATTTATAGGCTCGCCATTTTGGCGACTAGGTTCTATCTCTCCCATGAGCATGTTCGACCTCTATGTTCCTCACAAATATATTTCTTGCCGTTTTATTTATTTTATATTTGCGGAAAAAGGGCAATAAATCAGGTGATCACGATGAGGAAGGGATGACGGTAGAAATGGTATAGAAGCCAGGCATAAATATACAGACTACCACCACTAAAGGAGCAGTAATATTTTGAAGAATCGCCGAGCCATTCGTGATACGTAGACGTCGATGTACGGTACGAATATTAGTCTTGTCAATTTATCAAATTTGCTGTTCCCCATTAAAAAAGCGCGGATTAAAATTAATCCGACCCCAGCATTAGGTTCCGAGCGATGACAGGGCGGTTGCACCACCCAGCTCATTCGATGACAGACATCCTGAAATCAAGCAACTATTAAATGCTGTATAGCAAGTTGGATGCAGGATGAGTGGAGTTGTTATATTTGCTATGTTTGTAGATAACGATATCTTGTGAGGATGATTCTTGGAATATTCTATGCTAGATTCCTCCCGCAGGAAGGTAAGCCATCACGCTTTCATTGCGAGTTCCAATCATGCATATTTCATACATAGAAGAATGTTTCCCATATGGTTACACCTTGTTTTTGAATCGGGATACGAGGGGAAGTGTTAATATCACCACCACCGCACTCACCGAGACTCTCAATCAGACCAGAAACCACCACTAACACGTGCCCAGGAATCAAAATCGTCCACCAAAAACCCCCCGGCTGCATCGTCCCCGAACCCGGCTACGAGACCGCGCAACTCCTCCACTTCGACGCCATCACCGACTTCGTGATCCCGCGCCAATCCTTCTGCAACCGCTACATCACCGGGCGCGACCCCAGCGGTCACTACCGCATCCTCGGCTTCCCCGTGTGCCTCCATAATGAGAAATACGCGCGCAACGAATTCATCTTCAACTTCGGCATCGTCATATCCACCGACCATGATACCGCGACCTACGAGCCGGTGATCCGGCGGCTGGCGACGATGTTTACGGAGATGGAGGTGCAGACGCAGTTTTTGAGCCAGGAGGGCGTGGCGGACCATGTGCAGAGGAGTATTGGGGGGTTGCTGGAGATTATTCGAGAGGATCTGAATAACTACAATGAGTGCATGATTCCGGTCGACAAGTCGAATACGATTAACATGAAGCTGTTCCCCGTGCAGTGCGATCCGCCACCCGTGAAGTCGTGGCACGTACCCATCGCTAAGATCCGGTTCGACGAGATCGTGGATGATAGATGGGACTTGACGATGCGGAAGGTGATCCCTCTCATCGACGGGGTGCGCGACGTGCGACGCATCGCAGCGACGGCGGATGTATCCCTCGAGCTGACGAAATTGACGCTGAGGCATCTGCTGTACTACAAGACGATCATGCTGGTGGATATGTTCTTCTTCAACAACATCTACGCCGTGACGCCGCTGATACGCGATTTCGTGAATAATGTCGATAAAATGCAAGATGAGTGCGCGGCATACGTGCTTGCGCAGCGGCCCAAGGCCGTGGGATACCAGTTGTGTCGGTTACTCGGGACGTTTGGGCAGGGTCGCACGATCAGGGAGTGGCTGCGTCTGCATATTGATGATGGGCAGGTGGCGGTGGATGGGCTTGATGTGCGGCGTCTGGTGCAGTTTGGGGTTATCAAGAGCTTGCTGAGGCGCGTGCATAAGTTTCCTGTGTCGGCGGCGTATGTGGCTGAGTTGGCGGAGGGGAAGGGGGTGGAGAAGGGGAAGGGGCGGGGGCAGGGGGAGGAGGACGGGGAGGCGCTGGAGAAGTATACGGATGGGAGACATCATTTTGATCAGATTATTACGGAGGTTAATTTGGGGGAGGCTGAGATTATGCGGGGGCTGAGCAGGTTGTCGGCGGGGGATGTTCAGATTGTGTATAGGTGAGCGTGGGTGTTGGATGGGGATTGTGTATGGGTTAGCATGGTTGATGGGCTCTTGGTATTGTCAAGTCTGCCATACAATTAGCCGGTCTCGAAGAAGACATGAACTTACATTGAAGTTGCCACACAAGGGCTTAGGACGAACTGAAGGTTACTAAGTGGTTTGAGAAATACTTCTGATTTATATGGGATTGAAATATACAGCCGGAGTCACTTTGGAATATAGACGAAACTGGCTTTCGAATTAGAATTCCTAGAGGTAAGAGAGTTATAGTACCACAAGCAGCAAAGGAGCTATATACTCTAAGCCCTGAGAATCATACGTCTATTATAGTAATAGAGACAGTATCTATAGCTAGAAAAGTGATTCCACCTGTACTTATCATTCCGGGCAAAGTTCATATGGATTTGTGGTACCCTAAGAACATAAGAGTAGTGGGCTGATACTACTCTCCGAACCTGGCTATTCGAACAGTGAGCTTGCCTTACGGTGGCTACAGCATTTTGCAGAGCATACTGCTTAGTACGATGATGGGAGTGGGAATCATCTTATTCGCCTTTCCTAGCCATCTTACACACGTTTTATAGCCATTAGACGTGGGATTATTCCAGCCATATAAGCACTAGTACCGAGAGGCTGTGCTTCATGCCATACGGAACATGGACGTTACGTACGACCTACCCTCGTTTATGAGAGATCTCACCAAAATCCGGGCCTAGACTTTTAAGGAGTCTAGTATTACTTTAGCTTTCCGGAAAGCTGGAATCTAGCCCATAAGCCGTAATACAGCACTTGAAAAGCTCCATACGTACTCACAGCCTACGCCTACATCTACACAGCCTACACCTACCCTACTAATACGGCCTATTACCCCTAAACCCTCTACTTTTCAGGGGGGTAAAGAGGGGCTATATCGCTAGAAAGACCGGATTCCGGAGGCCTAGAGCAGCCCCTTAAGAGAGAGCTACCAGAACTTTACTTACTAGCACCGAAGACCAGCTCCAAGAGCTAGACCTAGTATCCCTCTGGCGCTAGGTGGAGGAATCGAAGAAGCGGGCAAGCCGAAGCCAGACCCGCCTTTAGTATAGGGGCGAGCTCGTTGCTGCCGAAGCTCACGAGCTTCAGGCCCGTAAAGCCGAGCTTCTGGCTTAGAAGCTCAAAGCCAAAGAAGCCTAGAAACAGCGCTAGGCCAGAAACCGAGCCTAGAAGCAGCTTTGCTAGGCTGGAATTGAGGCCTAGAAGGAAGAGCGCCTACGGAAGAAGGCAGTGGCCCAATTCCGTAAGGAAGGCCTCCTAACCCCTCCTAAGTTTGAGGAGCCAATTCGGGACCTAGAAGCCCCCGAAAGCGAGTGCGAAAGCGAGTATGAAAGCTGTGAGAGCGAGGGTGGGAGTGGGAGTGGGAGTGGGAGTGGGAGTGGGAGTGGGAGTGGGAGTGGGAGTGGGAGTGGGAATGAGGAAGTGATAATTTCGTAAAATGGAATATTTAGGTAGCTTTACATACAAATTACTATGGTGGGGTACTTCCGATCGCAAATTTTTGAGTTGCCGCAACTCGCTTCCTCTCACCTGAAGTGCCGCAACTCGCTTACTCCAACCTTGAGCTTCGCTCAAGGTTGGTCACGACGATTATTACTAATCTATACACTAACTATATACAGTAATTAAAGCTGGCCACGGCTGAACAGATATCTGTCAGCCATAACCAGCTTTTGATTGCCAAAAGCACACGATTCTTTGTCGTCTAGAACAGGGGGTAGTAGGGGGGCGGCAGAGTTAAATTACCAGCAGGCATTGGTCAAGCCGAGGGTCGTCTGAACTGACGATACTTTCGTCCCCTCCTCCGGCCGGCGGTTTTGTTGTATGGACAGATGCGGGTGGCTAATACTATTTGTTGGTGGGTAATATGGAAATCAATACCTCGCCGCCGACCTGCATTAGCGTCGTCATAGTCCCCGTCGTGGTCATCGTTCTGGCCACATTTTACACGCGAAGGATGGGTGGATGGGTGGATGGGTGGATGGGTGGATGGGGATAATGGGGATACGGGGATAGTAAAAAACCCTCATCATCCCCCTCTTTTTACTCCATGATTGGCCTATCTTGCCCCTTCTTCATCCTAGACGACTCCTTCCCACTCTTCCCATTCACAAGGCGCATGTTGGCCCTGCATTCAGCTCCACCGACTGTTATAAACTTGTACCTGCATACTTCAAGATAACCGCTTTGCTTTGGTCATATCACCACACCACTATTCCCGCAACCAACATCTCGCTCACCATCACCCATTCACTCAGCGAGCGGCTCCATGAATTCGTTCCATGCCTCCGTTTCGTCATCCTCGTCTGCGCCCCCCATGTAGGTTTGGTCACGATCTTCTGCTCATCTTCCCGTCTTTTCCCTTTCCTTTTCTCTTTCCCTCCTCCCTCTTTCTCTCTCTTTTCTCACCTCACCCACTTCCTTCACACCGTCCTCATTCCCACGCGGGATCGTCGATATACCTCGTTGCAGACTTTTGTTTGCGTCCTTTCGTTGAAAGTCAAGTCAACACCACGCTCTTTTGCACCGGCCTAGGCATATCACAATCTTTAAACCCCTTCGCTGCTTTATATATTTATCATGGGTATCTCCAAGACCTTTGCGGCCGTTGCCGCCCTCTCAGCCGTGGCGAGTGCCACCGGCTCCTCTGCAAGAAGCGCCGTGGCCACATACTGGGTACGTCTACCGAAAGAACGGCACTGACGCGGAGATGCTGATGATAGAATAGGGCCAATCTGGCGGATCTCTTCGCAGCTACTGTGACACTGCTGATACGGATTACATTCCCCTCGGCTTCATCAACTACTTCCCGGAGCAGGGGAACGGATGGCCAGGTTCCAACTACGCCAGTTCATGCTGGGCCTCGACATACACCGCCCCGGGCTACAACGGCGTTGACAACCTTCTCCACAACCGCCTCTTTAACCATTGCCCGGGTATAGCGCAGGATATCCAGTACTGCCAGTCTAAGGGAAAGAAGATGCTTCTGTCCCTCGGTGGCGGACCTAACACCTACTCCCTAACTGGTAAGGAGGATGGAGAGTCCTTCGCCGATTTCTTATGGGCAGCCTACGGCCCAAGCACCGATGAGTGGACTGGCCCCCGTCCCTTTGATCCTCTCCCAGGTACCGAGGGCGAGGGCATCGCGACAGTTGTCGATGGATTTGACTTTGATATCGAGCACCCAGACACCGGTAAGATTAATATTTCTAAATTCAGGTATGCCTGTCGCTAAACCTGTTAGATAAATCCGCTGGATATATCGCCATGATCAACAGGCTCCGTAACTACTTCCCAGAGGGCAGCAACTACCTCATTACTGGTGCGCCTCAGTGCGTCGTCAACGACGCGAACATGGATTTGATGATCCAGGGCGCCAAGTTCGACATCATCTGGGTTCAGTTCTACAACACCGATGGTTGCGCTGCTAGAGACTGGGTTAAACTGAACCCTAACTACGAGAAGACCGGTGTTGAGACTACTGTCCCCAAAGACTACCCCTTCGGCGGTTTCTCCTACGACGCGTGGTTGAAGCGTCTCCAGGCCCCTGGCTCCAAGAGCAAGAACGCCAAACTTTCCATTGGTGTTTTGGGAACGTCAAACACGGATCGGACTGTTTCTATTGACTACTACCTGTCGTCGGCCCAGCTTAAGCCGCTGATCGACGAGTATTACTGCCACGATAACTTTGGCGGGTTCATGATCTGGGACGCCGTCTCTGCTGGCAACAACAAGGACGCGAACGGGGTTACTTACCAAGCTCAGATCAAGAACCTCCTGCTTGCCAGAGAGGCCAAGGGATGCGCAAAGCCCACTTCAACTGTCAGCTCCACCACAGCCAAGTCGACCTCGACCTCGAGCACCAAGGCTCCTGTCACCACCTCCACCGACGAGCCAATCACTACTGGCCCGCTCACCACCGGCCCATCCACCACTGCCGTGCCTACCTCGACAGGCCACTGGGGTAACAACACCATCAGTGACTCCCCAACCCTCACCTCCACCATCCTCCGCACCACCGTCTACACCGTGACCAGTTGTGCCCCAACCGTCACCAACTGCCCCCTCGGCCACCTTACCACCGCCACCCTCACCGACTACACCACCTGGTGCCCCGGCAACCCCACCATCACCTCCGCCCCAACCACCACCGGCGCTGCCAAGCCCACCAAGTCCGGAAAGGCCAGCACCGTCTACACAACCATCATCCACACTATCACCGCTTGCCCGCCTAGCGTGACGAACTGCCCCGCCAATGAGAAGACTACCAGCGTCGCTACGGAGACGAAGGCGCTCTACACTACGATTTGTGACGAGGAGACGACTCTTCAGACCGCTCCTGTCGCGACTGGCGGCATCAAGGCCGTTGGCACTGGAAGCGCGGTGATCCCCCAGGCTCCGTTCGTTGGTAGCACTGGTCGCGTCGGTGGCAGCGTCTTTGCGGCGGCTGTTGTGGGTGTGTTGGCGCTGCTGATGTAAAATGTGTGTGAGGATGGGATCTGGATATTCGGTTCTATGTTTTAAGGACATATAGTGACAATATATATATATATTTTTTTGGAGATAATGTTTGTTGAAATCTGAGTTTAGCGGTGGGGAGGGGGTGAATGAAATGTATTGGATTGGACAGTGTTTATGTTTCTAGATGTTTTAGTAGGTGCAACGATGTACGGTTACGCTCGCGCTACATCCTACTAAGCCAAAAAGACTATAGTATTCCAGCTCGTTGAAATACGCGTAAACACACTATATATACACTCCGTAGCCTAGTGTCATTTATGGATCTAGCGAGACGCCTGTGAGTGGTTGTTTTGGTGTATTTATGCTGGTTTAGTTTTAAAATTTTACAGAGGAGACTTGAATGGAAGTGTTATGCTTGATGCTGAACGGTCTTTTATTGAATCACTCAATATCATCAGAGACGATCTCGAATTAATAACACAGCCGCCTGGCTTATCCTTGCAACTGGCGCTAATGCATGTGTAATTTAGAGTTATCACCCCTCCCCCTTGGCAGCGCTGCTCATTACCTGATTCGGGTTCTCGTATCGTATCGCATCGATGTTGATGGGTCGTTTAGTTGCATGCTCGCTCGCCTTCTTGGTATATTTCTATTTCTACAACCCCCCCCCCCTTTTCAATCCCTCCCCACCCAAGCCTGACTCCCAACCCTCACCCCCCTACCCTCCTCCTCCCTCAAATCCTGCTTCACCACACACCCCCCAAACCCGCCATGCGGACACACCCTCTCCCTCACAAGCTCCTTATCCCACGGCCCCCTCGGCCCATCCACCCACCTCCTCCACCACCACCACCGGCTCTGCCGCTCATCCCCGTCTTTATACTGTTTATCGCCCCAGCGCCCTCTGAACTCCATCGCGCCCACTGGATTGCCCTCTTCCCCGCCTATATCCCCGGCACCCGTGAACTCCGCGGTGACGGCGTCGTACGTATACCAGAACGCGTTTAGGCTGGGATCCCACAACGTCCCGTTGCACGAATAATCCGTCAGCAAAAGGTCAAACGGTAAATGCGTCCGGGGGAGTAACATATCATGTCTCCCTCCTCTCGCATAATTCGCATGCGTCTCCCTCGCCGCGTACCCCACCGGCCTTTTCCCGATCTTCTCAACAGCATCATAAGCGAATGCCTGCCCGCCGCCGTGCTGGGAGAACCAGATTGCCTCAGGCACACCGGAGTGGAAGCGGATCATGTTGTGTTCCCAGTCGCCGACGTGGTTGCCGAGGCGCTGGCCGAGGACCGTGGGACCGAGGTTGAAGGAGTAGAAGTAAGTGTAGAAGACGTCGACGACGGTGGGGGAGCGGGGGACAGCGATTATGGCTGCGGAGGTGGAGGAGGTGAGGCCCGTGTGGAAGGGTTTTGTGCCGGTTAGCCAGGGGAGGAGGGTGGTGACGTCGAGGTTGGAGGTGAGGTAGATGTTGAGCCCTTCATCGCCGAGGGCGTTGAGGAGCGAGAGGTTGGAGAGGGTGAGTGTTGTATTGAGGCGTCGGCCTGGCAAGTCGGTATTGCCTGTCAGCTCAGGGGACTGAAACCCTGAGCTATAGCCAGTAGTACGGCTTGCGCATATCTCTGGGAAATGGATTTATTGGCTCCATCCTGCTGAGCATGTGAGGGTAGTGGTGTGTGCCTGACCATGGCTCCCTTCAAAGGTGCCCTCAGCTCCTGTTGACTGGCTCACCGTCTTCGCCCAACCTCTTCACTTCCGTTCTGTCCATGACACCCGTGTCTAAGCGGACCTTGGCCACCTCTTCTGCGACCACAGCCTCCCAGGACTGAATCATGGGGTGTGAATCTACGACATCCTTCCATCCACCACCACTTTCTTGTACGTCGTATACCCAAATGCCGTCCTCACCCCAGTACTGCCTGCCAAAGACACCTTCAGTACGTAGATCACTGCGTGCCTTCACGACCAAAGCCTTCAGCCTCTCAGTCTCTGGTTGAGCTCCAGTGCCCATTCGGACTCCACCATCGTCCAGAGCTGGGCCACGCTTGGTGTCTGGTTTCGCAACTGCAGCCCAGATCCCCTCCAATGTCCCTAAAATTGAACCTATCCGCAAGCCCATAGTTGCGCCCAGTCCATATCCCTCGTCAAACCCTTCTTGAATTGTCGTGCCTTTCGCAGTCGTCATGCCGTCTCGGTATCCAGCAGTACTATGCGCAGACCGCAGTCGGGGAACCTCAGAGGGCTCATCATTGCGGGTAGATCGCATGGCATAGGACAGAGTGGGAGACGACGGGGCGGACCCGAAGACGTCGTCGAGGTTGTTTGCCTCATCCTGGCGAGTTGTTGGAGATGGTGGCGGGGAATGGCGGGGGCGAGAATAGGAGGGATGGAAGGAGTCGTCACGAAACATGGTGAGGCGGCTTGTTTTACAGCCAGGGAAGATATTCGGTGGAAGGGCCGTGCTATAGTATAGTGGTGTAAACACTGGGGGGCAGTCAAGTAGCTTACCAACAGCGGCAGAATAACACACCGCCTTCCATAAATAGTACCATGCCGTGGACCACACCCGCCGGCTTGGGTCCGTGGATCAACAATGTGCCGATGGTGAATGGTGGAGATCATCCCCCTCACACAACTACTTATTCCGTGCATCTCCAACGCAACGCCTACAACACTGCAATAACACTGCACACGGCACTCCGGTATGGTATCTTTTCTCCATATGTCCTATCCTATCCCTACTCTACTTGTGTCTATTACTCTGCACCCACCTCCTTCAGTCTTGGTTCTTTTCGGTCCTCTCTCGTCCTTTCTCTAGTACCTCTTTTCCTCTATTCAGGCAGAATCCCCGCGCGCCGCCGAGGACCAGAGGAAAAAGCAAACGTGTCCTGTAGATGCACCGAGCCCCCACATCACAAACCGATAGCAAGTGAGTACATCCTCCCTCCCAACACCCTGCGCGCCGCCTGTATCGGGGATACTAACAGGCAAACAAGGGACAAGTAATCAAATCGTGCAGACCATCCGTGCGACCGAACACCACAGAACCCCGCCGACCCGAACTCCTCACATTTTCTCGTCGCGGCCGCACACTCCTTCACTCTATCCGTCGCCCACGCCCTCGTATCCATCTGCGCGAATCGTAGAATGGATTCTGAATTGTCGAAGCAAAGCCTCTGGGTCCCTCGCCGGGCTTCCACCGCCTCCCCAATAGAGTCTCCCACCTCCCCCACCAGCGGTGCCCAAGCACAGCCACCAGTCCCAGAGCACACTGAGAGCGACGGCGAGTCTTCCCCGTTGTCCCCGTCGGACCCGACATCCACGGAACCACAGCAGCGGCAGCGCCGGGACTCGCGCGTCAAGAATACGGGGCGGCGCATCGCGCAGATCGTCAAATTGAAGCCCGAGTTTGTGGAACAGTACAAGGAGTACCACGCGAATGTGTGGCCCGAGGTGTTGAAGCAGATCAAGGAGTGCCAGATCCGTGACTGTGAGACCCCCCCGCTGTCCATACTGTCGGAGCAATTGCTAATGAGATGTAGATTCGATATTCCACGATCCCGGAACTGGAATACTCTTCGCTTCATTCCTGTATGTCGGCTACGGGTTCGCAGACGACATGGAGCGCATGCGCGATAATCCGAAGGTAAGGGAGTGGTGGGCGCTGACCGACGGGATGCAAGAGAGTCTCGTTGAAGGGGCGGTCTCGAGTGCCGACGGTGGGTGGTGGAGGGAGGTTGAGAGCGTGTTCTACGCTGCATGAGAGGAATGCTCGCAGATGATGCAATACTCAAGTACCAAGGGCAAGGTCACAGCAGCAAGAAGGTGGAGCGCAGATTGTGTGGTCTCTCCTAGAGTCTGACGATTGATCTAAGATAGCTGTCATGGTTGGGAGGGCCCGAGCTCTTATGTATGAGCGAGACAAATTCGCTGCTTGTGCATTCAGCCGAGGGGCTTTATAACATAAGAGTACTTCTGCAATTTATCGTACTATATCCCACCTATCTACCCTTCCACCAGTTCTTCAACCAGTCAGCTAGTCATAACTTCCCAAACAACCCCCCGAACAACCCCTGCCCTGTGCCGCCTCCCCCGGTCCCCTCACCATGCCGCCGAGCTTGCCGCTCAATCCACTCCCTCAACCACTGCTCATTACTCATATTCTTCACACCCGTCTCCCTCTCCACCACCTCCCCTCTATCGAAGACGACCAGCGTCGGAAGAGAGGAGATTATAAAATCCATGCCAAGGCTGCTCCCCATATTCTCTGGGGCGTCGAACTCAACCTCGACGAAGCCAACCTTGTTCGCAGGATCGGCCGGGCATGGCGGCGAGTCAGAGGATATGATCTGGTGGAGGATTGGCGATATGACCTTGCAGGGTGGGCAGTACCCTGCGGACCAGTATGTGATGAGGGGCGTACGGGACGAAGTTGACAGCAAGATAGTCTCGTGCAAGGCAGCGGGGTGGCGGATCCTGGGGAAGGGTGGAGGGTCAGCGGTATAGAGCAGAAAGTGGGGAGTGAACGGCGGGGAAGGGACCACTTACGGCGTGTAGATGCGGTTTTTGGACGAGTGGGGTGCGGACGAGGAGAACTGGCGAATGCTGCGGATGCATACTCGCACGGTGAAGGTGGTGGAGGGGAGTCTGATCGACATGATTGATGTTTGCATGCCGGGGCGCCCCGGTGAAGATGGTATCAATGGTAGGGTTTATATCACAATTCCAGTGGCATCTCACATGCAGGTGGGTGTGCAGACCTCGTCTTACCCCAAAACAGGTGCAGGCATGGATACGAAAGCCTAAGATGCGCCTCGTGCGTCATAGTTCGCGGAGCGGAATATCTTTAATTCGGGGCTCGGTGAAGACGGTGAGGCCGTTATTGACATAACGTTTCTATATCTAAGTTGCCGTCGGCGTGGGAAGATATATACCAACGCTGATCCCATGTACCGCTCACCGACAGTCGACATCATCCATCTATCTGCTCACTACCTCTCAACAACATCAAAGGCTCTTTTCTTCCCGTCCCATGAATACGACTCTATAGGGGATATCAACCACCCAGTCTCCCCCCGCCTTCTAGTTCTCCTACCCCCGTACCCGCGTTTGCCCCTGCAGCCCGCACCTATCCCCTTCCATGCAGCTTTGAGACACATAGATAGCTCTTAGCCAGCAACCCCCACCGACTATCAAGGTGTCATATGCCAGGGTAGCAGCAAACAGATAACATGGCATAAAGCCCTCGAGTCGACGTCTTTGCTCATATCATCATCGTTGCTCATAGCACTACCAAGCTACTCTGCCGCCGCTCGAGTTCTTAGCTACTTTTGCCCCCCCGCTTTGCGAAATCACTAGATATATTTACACCCTCGGCGCCTCTCATCTTCAGATATAACCTGTGCTGAGTTGTTCTTTGCCTTTTCTTTACCATGGAATCCTCTTTAGACTCCCAGGACGGGGAGAAGCCTCCACGCTCGCGGTGGCGCTCGTTCTTCAGGCGCAACGCAGGCACACCAGGATCGCAGCCTGACCAGGCCAACGGCGACAGAGAAAACCTGCCTTCGAAGTGGAGTATGGGCGTTCTCAACGATAGGGAAACCCATGAAGTGCCTGGTGTGTATATTACTTCAACTTTTCCCGTTCCTGCACATCGAGTCTATGTCCAACGTACTAATAAAAACGATAGGCTCCGTTCTCCTCCTTGCCAACCTCCGAAATGAACCTCTTGGCTTTCGAAATGCACCCGCTCGCACTTCGCACTCTTCTCTCCCTTCACAATACCCATCGCCATCACCAGCACCATCACGAAGGCAAGTTAGGAGGACCGTCTCCGATATTGCATCAAAGAAGAAGACGAGTGACGGCACCATCGTTCTCGAACCACAGCCCGAAGACTCAGATAATGACCCCCTGAACTGGCCAGCATGGCGCCGAGATAGTGCGCTTCTGTCGTTGGGCCTCTACTGCATGGTTGGTGGAGGAATGACATCTGTTCTTGCGGCTGGCTTCACAGACGTCGCCAAAACTTACGATGTGTCGGTACCACAGGTCGCTCTGACTACAGGCTTGTACATGATGGGCTTGGGAGTGGGCTCAGTCTTTGCAAGCCCAACGGCTATTCTGTACGGAAAGAGACCTGTATACCTGGTTGGCTGCGTCTTGTTCGTTGCCACCTCAGTCTGGTGTGCGGCATCTCCTAGCTACCCATCATTAGTAGCCGCGAGAGTGTTGCAGGGCATGTCGGTTAGCCCTGTAGAGTGTCTTCCCTCAGCTACTATTGCTGAGATTTTCTTTTTGCATGAGCGGGCGTACCGGATTGGCATTTATACCCTTTTGTTACTTGGTGGGAAGAACTTGGTGCCTTTGGTTAGTGCTGCCATCATCGAGGGACTGGGTTGGAGATGGGTTTTTTGGTACGTAATCCTAAGTTTGCAGAAGTTGATTTCGGTGCTGACTTCTTTAGGATTGTTGCCATGATTGTTGGCTTTTGCGGAGTACTTGTTTTCTTCTTCGTCCCAGAGACGTTCTGGGACCGCACGCCTCGCCCTCGAGGTCGCACGTTGTCGAGGCTCCCAAGCGTCGTCCAAATGTACCACAGCGTGGCTAGCACAAACAGGAAGAAAGCAAAGAGTGACGGCGATGGTTTGGATGAAGGGAAGAACGCGGCCTCTTCAGTTCCGCCCACTCCGAATGTCGGTGATGCGCCTAGAGGGCCTCACCGAAGGCCAGGATTAAACCGAAAGAAGACATCACTTCATGTTGGATTTTCTGTACCAAGCTCAAGGCATGAAGACGGACCACTTGATGGGGACTACTTTGGACTCCCGATGTCTACAATCACGGACCGCGATAATGTTGATACCCCAACTATATCTATTAATCAGGGTGAAGCAATGGAGACTCCTGTTCCGGCAGCGCGCCCACAAACTTCGCAAAGCGAATCCCAGGGTCAGGTCCGTGCAGTCACTGATCTATCCAGCAGGCCGATTAGGGAAAGGGCTGAAAGCCCTGGGGTGGCTCCCGGCGCTGACATGTCTGAGATTCCTTCTGACTTGGAAGCTGCCGTCGGAAAGCCACCTGGGCGGAACCCCAAGACTGGCGAAAAGTATACAACTGTCCTCAGAACTGCGCCCAAACGCTCTTTTATCCAGCAGCTGCGTCTGTACGAAGGCCGCTTGCACCAAGATAACTGGTTCCGTGTTGCTATCCGCCCGTTTATCCTCTTCGCCTACCCAGCGGTCTTGTGGTCAGCGATCGTATACGCTTGCTCAGTCGGCTGGCTCATCGTGCTCTCCGAGACTGTAGCGGTGGTCTACCGTAACCCCGAGTCATACAACTTCTCTGCTCTGGGCACTGGTCTCATCTACCTCTCGCCCTTCATCGGCGGCGTCCTCGGAACGGTCGTGGCGGGGAAGGTGAGCGACATCATTGTACGTGCGCTCGCACGTCGCAATGGCGGGCTGTACGAGCCGGAGTTCCGGCTCATTATGGCGATTCCCGTTGCGCTGACTACTGTCATCGGGCTTATGGGGTTCGGATGGTCGGCTGAGAACCATGATGCGTGGATCGTGCCGACGATTTTCTTTGGTCTCATGTCGTTTGGGTGCACGTTGGGGAGCACGACGGCTATCACGTTCTGTGTGGATAGTTATCGGCAGTATGCTGGTGAGGCACTTGTGACTCTCAACTTCTCGAAAAATATCTTCCATGGACTTGTCTTCAGTCTGTTTGTGAATAAGTGGATCGATGATAAGGGCTTGAAGGATGTGTTCCTTGCGTTGGGTGGGATTCAGCTTGCTCTGTTGGCGATGACTATGCCGATGTATATCTATGGGAAGAGAGCAAGGATGTGGACTGTGCGGATGAATCTGATGGAGAGATTTTAGTAGCTTGAAGTTCAGGATAGGTATATATTGAAGGGAGGCAGCATTTCTTGGGGGGTCTTCTTTTGGGTTTGCAACAGGCTGGTGTAACTGGTGGGAGTTTGCATCGTTGGCGTTACATCTTCTGTACGGCGCGGGACTGTTTATTCGATTGTTCGGCCGTATGACCTATCACTCATATCCCCAACATATTTTGGTCTCAAACCGCTTGCACGTTACAGTAGTGGACACAAAGACAAGTAATCGTCGTGACCAAACTTTTCGCTTTGCTCAAGGTTGGAGTAAGCAATACGCGGCTGCCCAACCCGAGAGGAAGCAATATGCGGCTCGTCGGAACGTGCGTCTGTTCACCGCCACTCCTCAACAAAACCTCCACCATAGTTGTCCATAGTATTTAGATAGTAATTATATGTAATTCATTTAATGGAAGGGACTCCTCTATCAAATGCTCGTGAGTGGCTCCTAGAGAACCCCTCTGAAACAGCAACTACTGCCAGTCGGATTTTCAAAGTGCCTAAATCAACGATACAGTCAAGCATCAGCCGACTAGCCTAGCAGCTCCCACACCGAGGGGGCTAGAATAAGCTACTCTCTACTGCGCAGACACAGGCCATAAAGAAATGGATCCTTGAGCAGTATTACCTAGGGCTTGGAGCAACTAGGAATATGATATTTGCTGCTGTCTATAAGCTGCGGAGCCCACAGCTGCCCCCGTCACAAAGCTGGCTTACAAAATTTATACGGAATGAGCTTAAGGAATATCACTTTATTACTACGAAGCCAATTGCGCAGCAGCGTACGAAGGCTCAAGATGAGCCTACAGTTCTAAAGTGGTTTCAAGAGTACGGCTGGTTTATACTAGAGCGTGGTATAAAACCAGAGTCAATCTGGAATATGGATGAAACTGGCTTTCGGGTTGGGATTCTAGGTGGAGAGCGTGTGATTGTGCCACGAGCCACAAGGAGCTCTACACTCCAAGCCCTGAAAATCGTACGTCTATTACTATACTTGAGGCTTGTCTGCAACTGGAAAAAAGTCATGCCGCCTGTACTTATCCGGGCAAAATACACATGGATTCTTGGTACCCCCTCCGAAAGAAGGGGGTAGCAGCTATTAGGAAAGCTGGCCTCCCAATTCCTCCAGAGTTTGAGGACCTAATTCCTGACCCGGAAGCCCTCCAAACTGAGGGCGAGGGCGAGGGCGAGAGTGAGAGAGGGTAGGAGTGGGAGCGAAGAAGTGAGATTTCATAGAATGGCTTAATTATGTACCTTTACATACAAATTACTATGGAGAGGTACTTACAGTCGCAATTGTGACGAGCCGCGTATTGCTTCCTCTCGAGTTGGGCAGCCGCGTATTGCTTACTCTAACCTTGAGCAAAGCGAAAAGTTTGGTCACGACGATTACCATTGATTAGACATCTTTATTCTCATACATAGGCGGGAAGACCCGTGCTGTTCAGCTATAAACTATGTGTACTCATTATATTACCTCGACGCTTCCACTCTCCCAATAATAAAATGAACATCATTAACGCCGTCGGCCATGCCGTTATCCTTCCCTCTTGTACCTCTGCGAGTTATGGGACCTCTTGTGAGCTTTTACCATGTTATACAAAGCACCTTATGTGCCCTTAGAAGCAAAGAAATCCGGAGACAATGCCGTGGTCGTTGACAGTGCTACTGTATATACATAGTGGCCCATTCAGGGCGATTTTCGTTAAAAGGTTATCCGTCTGCTTCTCATGTCGAGTGAAGCGAGCCCAGCAGGTAGACGATACCGAAGATGATGAATGCGAAAGCTCCACCGAGAGTGACTGCGTTCGAGAATTAGCAAAGCGGACTTATATACGTTAAAATGTGTGGGATTAAAACTTACCAACTCTCAGCGATACTTTGCCGGCAATTGCCCTTCCTCCAATAACAGCGACGCCAGTGCAGACCGCATGCCCGCAAATGGCTCCTGCAGTTACCCACCAGTAATCCTGTCCTGCTGCCATGGCAATGGTAGCAATCTGACTCCTATCACCCCATTCGCCCAAAAACGTCATAACAAAGGTTTGAACCCAGGCAGGACTCAACAACAGAGATACAAGGTTACCTAATCCAGCTGCTGCATTCTTCAATGCGGAACCCGGGACTGGCGATGATCCTCGTGACGATGATGGGCTTCTTGGTGGAGACGGCAAGCGCGTCTTTGATCTAGACTTCCTCGAGTTATGGCCTAGACCCATCTCTAAGGAATATGGAGAGGCCGACGAGCGACGACCCTGTTGACGCAATTCAAGTTCTTTCTCCTCAAGTTCCATTTCGACTTCTTCCATTTCCGCGGCGACACCCTCGGTTGGGCTCATGGCCTGTCCCTCTCGCAACATCTTCACGCCGAATATTAAAAATAAAATTGCAGCCATGAAGTTGGTAACGCGTTGTGGAAGCAGGCTGGGAACAGCGTGGCCAAGAACTGCGGAGAGGACAGTCATGGTGATCAGTGCAGAGAAAGCTGCAGAGAAGACGAGGATTCTGTCGTGCTTCATGGCCATTAAGGCTGCGATGAGGAAGGTCTTGTCCCCGATTTCAGAAACGAGAATCATAGTGAGGGAGAGGATAAACGAATGCAGGGGCTGGATGAGACCTTCAACCCCCTCAGCATCAACGTCGGATTGGCCAGTTTTGGCGGGCTTTGCTAAATCCAAGTGGTCCTTGTGGGCAGAGTCGGGAATTGGATGTGGTAAATCTACCGGTTTCTTTGGTAGCTCATCGGGTTTCTGTATATATTAGATTTGGCTGCACTAAAACACTCAAGACCAAGACATACCTCAAGACCCGCAAGTTCGTAATCATCATCGGGGTCGGCTTCTTTAGCTTTTGGCTTCTTTGTGTCCTTTTCTCCCTTTTCATTTCCGGTATTAATCAGCTCCTGTTCGCTTTGTGGCAACGGAGGGGCTTCTTTCGGCGGGTCTGGTTTCTTTTCTAGTCGCTCTCCGGTCTGTCCTTCTTGTGCCTTCCTATCTTTATCCTTCTGGCTAACCCCTCCCTCTGTTCCAGTCGTCCCATCTTTCGGTAACTGGCGTCCCGGGTCGTTCATGACGCCGTCATTTACATCAGGTATTTTTTGGCCATCGACCATGGTGATATCCTCCGGTGCTCCCTTCAGGGGTGTTTGCTTCTTTGAGTCGACAAGCTCATCTGAAGTGCCTGTTGGCTCTGGCTTCTTTCTATCCGAGTCGACAAAGGGGCCAGCGTGCGGTTTGCCGTCTTTTCCGTCGACAGGCGCGTCCTTCGTTCCATGGAGGCCCAGGGAAGTGGTCTTCTGGCCGGCGATCTGGGCACCAAGTTCGGTGGCTGAAGGCGGAATTTCTCTTGCCACGGCGATGTTCGTTGGAGTTGGGGTGCCTGATGCATCACCTGCAATGGCGGCAGCTGCTACCAACGAAGGGACGATCAGAACGAGGAGTGGCGACGCACGACATAATCGAAGCTTCATGGTTATAATATGACGCTGATGTCGAGTAAAATGTCGCTAGGTTCGTTGATTTGGGCGAGATACAGCGATGGAGGCAATGGCCGTCCTAAATATCGATTAAAAGGAGGGATGTGGCCCAACAGGTATTGGCTCAATTCCGATAGCTTTTGCCTGGGCTATATGATGTGTGTCGGCAAAAAACCGGTTGACGCTCTGCCCAAACGGACGATCATGAAAATTATAGTTGTGACAGCGTTTTGAGAGCAGATGCGATAGGAAGTTTGGTGGAGGATGGGTTGAAGTCGCGTGTACTGTAAAGTCGAGTAGTTGCCACAGGGCCTTGACAGAGAGCTAGACCGTTCATGGAATAAGTTAACATGGATCTCAGAGACACTTGGTCCGCGTACTTTATATAGATCTTAAGTATCTATTCGGGGGGAATTACCAAAGAATGCACTTCAAGGAGACAGTTATTCGTAAATGAACTCTGTAGGGAATGTGAGGGAAATAAGAGATATAAGGTGTAAGATGTAAGAAACTTAAGAGATATAAGAAATCCTGTAAAGAAAGGTTCGGACTCTTTAAAGAGGAGAGGATGAATAAATTATAACCTTCACCACCCCGGAATCACGATGAGCGATTTTTTCGCTGCCTCAGGCCACAACTACCCCTGCACCCACCCTTCCGAATTGGGCCGTAGCCCCCACGGTCGCAACGTCGGTGCCACCTCAACCGTGGCTTCAGCGACTCTGCTCGGTGGCAGCGACCGTATATAGCTCAACCTTTGTAAAAAGCTGTAAATGGGCTCTTATATGCTGTACTACCGTACACTACCTATGTAGCGATATAAAACAAGTGCTAGGGTGAACGGTAGAAGCCTGTAGAAGCCTGTGTTCTGATTGTAGGTGCTGTATTACTGTAGGCTTCACTGCGGTTTCGGTACCATCGAAGCTCTCCCATAAAGTTATGGGGCCACTTCTTACTTTAACACTACTATTGGCTACTACGATGACGGTCCCAAAATCACGATTCTCATCGTGATTCTACTCGTATCGTCGCCCGTGCCGCGTCACGTGCTGAAGATCAGGTCAGCCCTTAGCACGTGATCCTGCTTTGGTGCTACTTATTGTAGCTACGTACAGTAAAGCACCGTTATAACGATTCTCGATTAAGCGATAACTTCATTATTGCGATATTTTTCCTGGTCCCGACAACACCACCATACAATTACCGATACTCACGATATCGGTGCTCCCTTTCCCAAATATCGCTTTATCCGTGCTATGGTGTTCCTATTCAGACCTTGAAATGACGAAACGATTTGCAATAACTATTGAGCAACGCCGAGCTCTACGCAAGTGGGCACATCAACAACACCCGAAGCCTTCTCAAAAGCAATGTATCGAATGGTTCTCTCAGAACTACGGCCATAAACTCAGTCAGTCGACAGTTTCCGAGTCTTTAAGCTCACATTTCGAAGATCTAGACAAAGCTATACAACCTACAGGATCACGACTACGAGTTGGACAGTGGCCAGAAGTGGAGCGACTCCTTATTATATGGCAGCAACAAATTCAATCACGTGGAGGTTTTACAAGCAGTGATATACTACAAGAAAAGGCTCGAGAGATTTGGCAACAACTGTCATACTGACATTCGTTGCACTCAGTTTGCTATCAAACTCAAGAGCAAACTTAGAAATCTCCTCCTCAAACCTACAAGTCACCATACATATCTTGGCTTATCACACCAACAACAGAAGCAATACTACTGAACGATTGCTGCAAACTCTTCTACTACATCTGTTTATGCTACATACATCACAGCATATCATTTGGACACTCATTGAACAAGTTATTAAGAAAATCTCCTCCTTAAGGGGGTGGGCCAATACTACCACATGGCATATCTCTACCAACTAGAGGCCTAGGAACATGAACGATAGCTCTAGAAGCTTCTACAACCCTCTATGATTCATTACACGTCATCGCTCCTTAGTTACCCACAAGATTGCTTAAGTTATGACATAATTTATCTATAGGTACTCTGACCTTGGACCTCCTTTTCACTTCCTATAGGCTAGGAACCCAAGAGATGGTTCTATGGGATTCTCTTACGTTCACTACATGATTAGCAAGCTAGTTGTGGGTCGCAGTTGATTTCTAATACATTTACCAAGCCTGGTTAGTCATGGAAAGTCATGGAAAATGAGAGAACTACACTCCTTTGGCATAAATAGGATTGCCCTTTCCTTAAGAAAGGGCAAGCAGGCAATACAGTAAATCGACTATCACATACTTCCACGTCTTTTACAAGCTTCCAAGCATTCATCTTGTTACTCCTTGTTTCTGAAAAGTCAGTGAGGTGTTAACCTCTGACTTACCCCTGAGTTCCCAGACTCAACATTTGTTGCAACTTGTCTGAACCACTTCACTACATCACACACCTGATTGCTGCGTTGTGGAATAGTCTAAGCTACAACCCTTTGGCTCTGTTTCCTAAGACAGTGTGTTGTCTTAGTAAAATCATCCCTTCCTTGGGTGGCTAGATTCTCACATCTGGTGCACCCACCATTACAAAAGAGCCAAAGGGTCCTAGCTTAGACTATTCCACAACGCAGCAATCAGGTGTATGATGTGGTGAAGTGGTTCAGACAAGTTGCAACAAATGTTGAGTCTGAGAACTCAGGGGTAAGTCAGAGGTTAACACCTCACTGACTTTTCAGAAACAGAGAATAACAAGATCAATGCTTGGAAGCTTGGAAAAGACGTAGAAGTATGTGCTAGTCGATTTACTGTATTGTCTGCTTGCCCTTTCTTAAGGAAAGGGCAATCCTATTTATGCCAAAGGAGTGTAGTTCTCTCATTTTCCATGACTTTCCATGATTAACCAGGCTTGGTAAATGTATTAGAAATCAACTGCGACCCACAACTAGCTTGCTAATCATGTAGCGAATGTAAGAGAATCCCATAGAACCATCTCCTAGGTTCCTAGCCTATAGGTAGTGAAAGGAGGTCCAAGGTCAGAGTACCCCTATAGACAAATTATGTCATAACTTAACCAATCTTGTGGGTAACTAAGGAGCGATGACGTGTAATGAATCATAGATGATTGTAGAAGCTTTTGGAGCTATCGTTCATGTTCCTAGACCTCTAGTTGATAGAGATATGTCATGTGTAGTATTAGCCCAGTAACTAAGGAGTGATGTCATGTAATGAATCATAGAGGGTTGTAGAGATATGCTATGTGGTCATATCGGCCCAGTAACTAAGGAGCAATGACGTGTAATGAATCATAGAGGGTTGTAGCAATCGTTGAGTAGTATTGCTCTTGTTGTTGGTGTGACAAGCCAAAATATGTATAATGACTTGTAGGTTTGAGGAGGAGATTTCTAAGTTTGCTCTTGAGTTTGATAGCAAACTGAGTGCAACGAATGTCAGTATGACAATAACCACCCCTTTTTTTTTCCCGAGTTCCTCATATTACAATTTGAGGCTCCTATGGGGATACGTTGGGGGGGTGTGTTGTAATAGTCACGTGATCACATGTGATCTCCGTATGGATTATCGGTAAAGCCAAGTATAGGTTACATAGTCAGGAATACATACATTTATTACTCAACAGGGTGTATCGAAGTCAAGTCACGTGGTATCAGTCACGTGAAGCGTAGCGAGATCTGTTGAGTAAATTTTCTTTTTTCTTCGAGGCCTCTAGCCGTAAGGGCAGAGTTTTTCTGTAGTTCTACCTGTGGTCGCTTACTGTAGCCCCTGTATATTATAACACACCCCCCCAGGTGTTACAGTTTATATAAATAATAATAATAATAGTAACTTAACGTACATGTATAGCGAAAGCGCCAAACAAGCGAAAGCGCCAAAATTATCTACCCTCACGACAAACATTGCGATAAATCTACCATAACATTAGAAATCAATTGAAACTACTCGGAGTCCTCTTCCTCAGAGGTGTCTATTACAATCTGACACGTGCGCGCATTGTGCCCAGTCTCACCACACTTGCCACAGCGACGGGCACGGGTTTCTTCCCTTGGCTTCCGACCACGGCTTGCCCTTATTTCCTGCTCTACCTGCTGCACAACATCCCTCTCATCCTGTAGCTCTTGCGCCCCTTGTTGACTAAGTGATCCTCCTTGCTGTAGTCGTGTTTTCCTAGCTCTCCGGCGCTTGCTTAGTACTTCATTTGCCTGTCGTAGGTTTTGGTTCTCTCCCTTTAGCAGTGCTAATTGATGCATTATTTGCGATGCACCCTTTGTAAACTGGTCAACAGCTGCATAGATTGAGGTTGGAGAGCTATTTTGATGGCGTGAAATCCGAGTTTTAATAAATGTAGACTGTGACATAGCTTCAATTGGGTTGTTTGGTGTCTGAGAAACCCAAGGTTGAGCAGTACCTGGGCGGGAGCTTGGAGGCGTTGGTGTCCTTAACTTAAGATCAAGTGTAGATATCACTCTCTCAGGGTCAAATGGAAGAAGCCCTGCCCCTCGGAACCCGCCTCAAATGTTACTTTCCGTCATTGTAGTGTTAAATGCAGCGTGGAAGGCAGGAAAGAAGTCATCCTTTGTAATATGAGAAATATGAGCCTGCATCATATCTTCAATTTGCCGACCATAGGCCTGCTTTAACGGGCCGAAACAGCCAACATCAAGTGGCTGGAGTAGATGAGAAGAGTGAGCAGGCATACAAAGCGTAATAATGTTGTGTTCCTTGCAGTACTCCTCAAACTCATCTGAGTGGTGGCTCTCATGACCATCAAGGACTAACAAGCGATAACCACCAACACTCCGGGCCTTTGTATGCTTCTCAAAGTGCTGAATCCAATCCATGCCTCTCTCGTTTGTAGTCCAGCCATTTTCAGTAACAGAAATCACCCAATCGCTTGAAAATCCACTATTCTCATACCAAGATGTAAGGTGGTTTTTGCCTGCAACAATGATAAATGGTGGTACTGCCCAACCTTGAGAACTAACGCCTTGGATTACTGTAACCCATTCCCGATTACCAGGCTGTACCTTCTTTGCTTTTGCCCGCCCGTCTGAGCTTGTTACAACCATAGCAGTTGAGATAACGCCCATCATAAACCCAGTCTCATCAAAGTTGTAGATATCTGCTTCATCGATACCATATTTCGCAATTGTGTTACGCACAAGCTCAAACCAGCCATTAATAACTTCTGGATCTTCGCACTTAGCCCTCTGGTAGTCGTATTTGCGCTGAAAGCATGTCTGGAGCTCTACACGCCGCTTAACAAAGTTTGAAGCCCAACGCGACCCAACGCGTGACGCGTCGCGTGTTGCAAGTAGTCGACTTGCCATATCTTCAACAACAGACAGCCGAGGAGGAAACCCTTTGGCAGCTAGGTCGAGTATATACTGAACAAGGACGGACTCCTCTAGGTTAGTTAATTTCCGTGAGTTGGCTTGGATATCGCGTCGTGAAGGTACACCTTCTAGACGACGACCTAGCTTGCGGTGGTCCACAGAATAGATCCTAGCAGCAACTCGAAGGCGTAACTTTGGGTCGCTTTGCATAGCCTGGATAGCTAGCACTAATTGGCTTTCATCGTTTTTATGGGGCATGTTTTGTTGTTGAGGAATTTAACATTTAGTTGGGGGGTTTGGTCACCGCATCATTTTGGCGCTTTCGCTATACATGTACGTTAAAAGAAAAGACTAATTAAATGAATGAGTGTTAATTGAAGTTTTGTCGCTTTTCATAACCTGTAGAACACATAATTGGAGTTTGACGACTTCTTCGGTGTTGTGGTGGAACTTTGGTGTTCCTCGGGTTTTTGTGTTGTATGTGTACCGGTCGGGTTTTGTAAGGTGTCATCTACAGTAGACGACTAATGTCGGCCAAGTTGAGATGCTTGATGAAATCTTCATGCTTCTGTCGAGAGAGTGCTTTTGTAAATCCATCAGCAGGCATTTCATGTGTCGTGATCCAGTTGATATGAATCTTCTGGTGTTCAACTTCTTGTCATAGCCAGTGGGAGTGCACGTCGATGTGCTTCAGCTTCGTGACGAGCTTGGGCGATTCCTTGAGTAGGAGCCGTACAGTTTGCAGGTTGTCACATTGTAGGGTATATTCTTCGTGCAGTTCCAATTTTATCATAGAGAAGAATCGCTGCCACCAGTACAGTTGTTTTGCGCAGTGAGAGAGCGCAAGGAGCTCAGCTTCTGTTGTCGAAGTTGACACAGTTTTCTGCTTTGTGCATCGCCAGTCAATGGCGCCGCCAAAGAGTGTAAACAGATAGCCTTCTGTGCTTCGTCTTGTTTCCTCACAATCTGCATATGAGGCATCACTTGAACATTGGAAGCGTGGTTCGTCAATGTTTGGTCCATATTGAAGTGCATAATTCTTCGTGCCTTGCAAATAGAGCAAGAGCCGGTCGGCTGCAGCATGGTGGTCTGGTCCGGGGTTGATGAGAAACTCTGCTAGTTTTTGTGTTGTGCGGGCTATGTCAGGTCTAGTCACGACTGCGGCATAGTTCACTGATCCAATCTTCCGTTGATAGAGATGAATCTCTTGTTTTGTTGCTTGCCCATTGTATGGGGTAAGTTCGACTGTGATCATTGGTGTCCGCGGCATCCTTGTTTGTGTGACCTTGTAAGATGCAATAATCTTTTCAATATATGAATCTTGACACATCCAAAGTTTGCGCTGAGTGCGGTCTCGTACAATTCTAATTCCGAGGAACCAATTTAGTTCCCCTATTTCCCGGAACTCGTATGCCTCCATGAGTTTTGTATGGAAGTCTATTGCTTCACGCTTATGTCTTGGGTGGCTGAGGATACAGATGTCGTCGACATAAAAGAAGACTATTATGGTGTCGGACACGAACAGACACTGTGCTTCAGGAACTTGTGTGAGACCTAGAGATGTTAACGTCTCTGAGAAGTCACGAAACCAAAGTAGTGGTGACTGTCGTAATCCGTAAAGGGCGCGGTTGAGTTTCCAGCACATCCCTTGTTCTTTATATCCATCTGCGCAGCGCACATACACTTCTTCGTCAATGCGACTATTTGTGAATGCATTGATCGCATCCATTTGATCAGTGTCGAGGTCGAAGTAGGCTGTGATTGCCATGAGTGCACGGAAAGTCCGCGATGCTAGTGTCGCTGCATATGTTTCATCGTGGATAGAGTATCGCTGTAGATCTCCTCTCACGACAAGTCGAGCCTTGTATTTTACAAGGAAGCCACTATTGTCAAACTTGTATGTAAATACCCACATAAGAGGTATTACAAATGCATGTGTTTGTTCATCTCGAACAGATGTAAAGGTACCCTGTCTTCGAAGGTCATTTATTTCCTTCTCAGCTGCTGTTTTGAAGCCGATCCGATGTGGGTGGCTTTCGAGCTGGTCCCAGTATTTTGGGGCTGCAGGCAATGCTGTGCGATGGACCCTTTGCTTGTTAAAGGTCGTACCAACTATAAATGCTGTGTGTACACTTTCGCCTGAGTTTGGATGTTGGATGGTGGCTGAATAGACATCGTGTCTTCGCACACTATCATCAGTTCGTTCTGGGGTCATTTCCGGAGTCCGTAAGTGAGTATTATCACCCCCCGAGAAATTATCTTGTTGAGATTTTTCTCCACTATGTTTTGGCTCACCCTGCAGTGGCTCCACGTGTTGGTTTGTAGTGACATCTGCAGGTTGATATGGCTGTTGCTCATCTTCGTGGTCATCGATGGACTGATTGTCCAACTCAGGCAGCTCGATGACTTCTACCACTTGTTGGATTTCAGCTGGTGTTGCGACAGGAGTGTATTGTGGATCGAACATCTTATTTTCATCGAAGGTAACATCTCTTGTTGTAATTACCTTTTTGAGTGTCGGTACCCAGATGCGAAAAATGTTCGTAGAGTTGTATCCCACCAAATAACCAATTTGTGCACTCTTCTCAAGTCTGTCTAATTTTGGGCGGTTTTGGATGAGGGCATATGCTCGACACCCGTATATGCGAACATGCGACAACAGAGGCTTAATGTTCTCTGTTTGAATATTAAGGAGCTTTAATAATCGTCCATATGGGGGTTCATAGTTAAGCACTGCTGTGGGTGATCGGTTGATGAGGTACCCAGCAGTTTTGAACATCTCCGGCCAGAGCTCCATCGGAAGGTTTGCTGTTTCCTTTAATGCACGAGAGCGGGTGATTATTGTGCGACCAGATCTTTCGATGCCTCCATTTGGCTCTGCTGTGTGCGGTGGTGAAACTTGGACTTCGTATCCTTCATCTGCGACCCAGTTTTCCCATTCCTTTCCAAGTCCTGCCTCACCATCCAACTTAAAGATCTTTATTTCACAATTCCATCGTCTTTTGACATAGGCTGCAAAATCTTTAATTGTTTGCATGAGTGTTTCCTGGCGCTTGTTCTTCAGCAGGTATGGATGATTCATGCGACAGCAGTCGCAAAGAAAGTGCATGCTATACACATAGCCTTCATATGATTCATGCATTTGGATGAGATCGAGGTGTACCTTCTCATATGGTACTGTTGACCGTGGGATTGGTCTTCGAGAGATGATTTTGGTTGCATTTGACAGCTTGCATGTTTCACAGTTTGTGTCGTAGTCCATGTCTGTCACCTCTACTCCTCTTGTGTTTTCTTGTAGTTTGTACACTGCATTTTGATTTAAGTGACCCATGCGGTTGTGCCACTCTTTTGCGGTCCCTTTTAAGGCACGTCTTGGTTCAAATGAGGTTTGAAATACCTTCTCGATGTCCGGTACAACCTTATGCTTTTTGATTGTGTATCATCGGAGTTTTGCAGAATATTTTGCCTCTGTATGTAAGGCATTCAGTCTTCGTGTTCCAGTGCACGCCTTTTTTGATGAATCGGCGTAGTGATGCGACTGATGTATGGAAAGTGGAGACAAGGGCTGTTTCCTCAAGAGCGATAGTTATTGGTTGACCATTGCTATTTTGAACATCAATGTTCACGGAACCAAATCCTTCAATTATCACCCGTTGATCTCCTGCGAGGAGATATGTTTCACTATCACACTTTTTGAAGTTGTGGAATTTTGCATAGTCATTGCAGACGTGCACCGTGGCTCCAGAATCAAGGATTGTACTTTGTGCAAGCTCATAAGTTGATGATGGCTTTTGCGACACTTGAAATGCTGGGAACACGGCTGTGAATGCCGTGGGGTTTGTTGTACTGTCTTGCAGACTGTTGTCCCCTGATCCATTCTGGCTCAAGTAGTTGGAAATTATAGACTGGAAAGATGGTCTTTCTGCAATGTAGTTCCGCACTTTTATCTCAGTTTCTTTTTTAGGTTTCCATCCACTGTGCCTTTTTGATTCAACAATATAATAACAATCTCTCCATTTGTGTTTTGATCCACACGGACATCGCCTGGCAGAAGTATTTCTATTTGTACGGCCTTGTAGTGTTGCAGGTTTATTGTCATTTTCGTCTGTTGCTGCAAAGACTCCGTCACTACTTTCTCCACTATTATCCATTGTTGCGAAGACTCCATGCTCCCCCCGAGGTTTCTGTCGGAATTGTGTTTGCCGACGGTAAGCTCTGTACTCGGTGATTACTTGCGTGAGAGAATATGTTGTTGACTCATCGATGAGACTCATATCCCAGATACTGACAAATGGTGGTGACAAGGAAGAGATTGCACCTAAAAAGTCAAAGATCGGTGTATGTCCAATGACTTCAGCAACTTGTAGCTTGCGACCAACCTCAGAAATTGTTTCCCACCGGAGAAGCCAATCATCGACAGTTGACCCCTTTGGTATCTTTTGCAATGTTCTCCACTCACTCTTCCATTCTTCAATTCTACCACGGTCGGTAGGTGCGAAGCGTGTTTTGAGATTCACAAGCATCGCATGTGCTGAATCACATCCATATGTATACGGGAGGAAGTCCCGTTTGATTGACTCTTGTATTTTTGTGCGGATGCCTTGGACGGCTTCCTCTTGTTTCTCCCACATCTTACGATCATGTTGGTAATCGTCTTGTAGGTTCCGAAGTTCTTCTTTTTGATCTTCGGTCAAACTCGCATATGTGATTGGCATCAGTTGGGAGGAAAGTTGTTGTTGGTCTTCGACAGACTGCTGAGGTTGCTGTGCAGAGGATCGCCCTCTTGTTGCCACACCTGCGGGTGCTTGCTGCGAAGATGAAGATGTTGCAAACCCTTGGCCTGCCTGTGCTGCGGCGCGCACAAAGCTAGGGGCAGGACGAGTGGGTGGCTCTAGAATAGGAGGATCAATATTGTTCGGGTCAATATACCTCCATACTCCAGCTTTCATTGATGTTGTTTTTATCGTCTCGATCCATTCATCCCAGTCTTTGGGAGATGTAAGGACCACCCCTACCCTATTTACTGTTGCCATTATGATGGTGTCTAGGATGTATGTAGGCTCTGCGATTGTATATATTAATCAATTTTGCGACTTAGAGTTGCTCCGGGCTCATAACTGTTGAGTAAATTTTCTTTTTTCTTCGAGGCCTCTAGCCGTAAGGGCAGAGTTTTTCTGTGGTTCTACCTGTGGTCGCTTACTGTAGCCCCTGTATATTATAACAAGATCGTAGCGTAGATCCTAGATATAGAGATTCGAGAGAACGCCCTTATGGCTTCTCTCATCATCAAGATCATCGATCATCAGAATATCAAGGATTACGATTACTCTCTACAGCCCCATCGTAGTACTAAGCTTCCTAGACCTCCACAGTTTGTTGAGTATATTCAATATGGGATGTCCAACTCAAGTAGCTTGAGGCGCCGGTTCTGATTATTTTATTTTTATTTATTCAAACACCCCTCGAATAAAACGTTAAGTATGCAACTCGGCTTCCGGAGGCTCTCATGCACTCGCTCTCTCGTATTGACTCTGATTCGTCTCGGACTGCCGCTTTTGTTCTGTTTGATACTCAAATATATGCCGCCCTACGAGAGGTGCATAGGCCAAACGGCTCATCGTGGCTGATTTCTCTCAAAAAAAACTATCTTCAAAAGAAGACCAGAGCAAGTAAGCGATCGCCATGAAGGTTTCAATCATCGTCATCCACACCCATGGACATGGTAACGTAGCTCTTCGGCGCCGCCGTGCCTTGAATTATTTCTTTGTTCTCGAGTGTGGTTCCTTGCATTTCTCCCCGTATGTGACTGTGTGACGTCCTGAGCGCTTTGTTCTTCATAAAGAAGTAAGTTACCAATGGAAGCCCGAGATGAGTTCTTTCTCCTTGTTTACAAGTGGTAGAAATAACCTGCTCATCCTTTGGGCTCCGTCGTAATTTCTACTGTGAACTTCTACGTCGTGCTCGTAAGTGACAAAACCTTCCACAGAAAGCATGGCTTCAAACGAAACCAAAAATGCACAGGCAGCAAAGCAGGTAGGTACACCTCGTCAGGTCGAATTCATAGAGCCAAAAACGTTGAAGAACCCCGGCCGTCAGCGCCCTTATAACCTTCGGCCATTATCAACAACTCATATCAAGCCTGAACAACGTCCGCGTGGCAGCCCATACCCATACCGCTCAAATTCTCCATACCGCGAGCCTCCAGAGACACCAACTTCAGCAATAAGCCTCGCCACACCATCTCTCGCCGGTGTCCGCAAATATTACCGCGAAAACGGCCTCCATACCGCTTTACAGTCACCCTTGTCGCCGTCTCCCCAGACTTTCATGCCAGGCCGGTCACGTAGGTACTCGAGCCTCTCGCCATCCGGTCTCGTTACCCGCTTCGACGGACTCCACGCCTCGTCTCCCCTCTCAACCAGCTCGTCACCCATAAAGTCGCGCCGCTCTTTTGCCGAAGAGTCCCGCGACATGCTCCTCGCTGGCACCAACCGCAGCGATCTCTCACGTGCGAGTAGCGTTTCAGCGGACTCCCGCGAGCACCGCCCCAACCCCAATCTGCCTCCCAGACTGCTGGGCAAGCCCCCTCCGAGGCGACTCCGAGAATACGGGCACGTCTACCTGGGTAATGCAGCTTCTGCCGACGTCTTCGTGCGGGCCATGCACAGCCGCGTGCCGAATCAGAACAAAGGGCGCCGGGAACCCGTCATGTCAAATACTGGAAAGGATGAGAACTACGTCACGATCCCCCAGAGTGACAATGACCACGTCGTGATCCGAGCGCGCGTCATCCCCTATTCGAAGGAGCGAAAGCCATTTCTCATCCAGCGCCGCTTCAGTAAAGCTGACATCGAGGTATCGCGGCCGACTACGACGGCAGAGTCAAAAGGGGAACCAGAAGAGAAGAATGACAAACCTGATGCTGGATCAGCAATGGAGGATGAGGGGACCGAAAATGATAGTGAGAAAATGGCAGCTGCGCGGGTAGCCCCTGAAGAACCGGCGAGTACGAGCCCCCAACCAGCATCTGCAGCAAAATCTTCCCCGCCAGAGAAAGAGACGCCAAAACCTACCTCAGCTGGCCTAAAGAGAAGGGTAATGCCCATCCGTAAGTTCTACCTCGTGGCACTCAGCCTTACCGACTTCTAGCCCCCCACCCAACTACTTTGTACGCAACGCAGCTAACATGGCGCGGCAGATATGGACTACGCTCTCAAGTACCTCCCCATCCTCGGCGCCATCATGCTCTCCGGCTACATCCACCGGGGTGATACCATTGACATTCCCCTCCCGCATCCCGAGGCATGGAGCGATACTATCGCGTACGTGTACACAGGGGCCGGGGCCGTCAGCGAGGCCATCAAAGCCAACGTGGCACATTTGGCCGGGACAGTCGAGAAGGGGTCCTGATTCGACGGACGGATTTGGATTGTGTTTCCGCGTCGCTGGGATGCTAGGGGATGCGCCTTGCGTGATGCGCTCTTCCAAATCATATGGTTTGCGGGGGGAATTCGGAACTGGTAAGGGCGTGGAACTGGGGTGGTAATGGAGGTGGAGGGAGGAATTTTGCCAGCCGCACGCTATATCTGGGTTGTGCCCAGTAGAGCTGGAGCTGGGACTGGAGGGGAATGGAATCCGTTCGCTTTGGATAAGGTAGATTTGGCGTTGATGGGGTTGTAGGCTGGATAGGAAGCTTCTTCGCGACAAGCATACAGAGTAGTAGTTTTGTGTCCCACGCGCCGGCGAGAATGAGGTCTTCGCAACCCATGAACGTTTATTTCCGGCTCATATAATCGAAGTGACGATGAGCATGGCAGATCATACTCTCACCACCCTGGCTCCTTCCTTCCTCGCTGACCGGTCCATAAAGCCGTTGCGTTTCACAGCATCGAAAGCACGTTGCCCCTCTCTGGTCTCTGGTCTCTGGTCTCTGCTCTATTGACGCTCACCGGTGTCCATCACGGTAACGTGACGGTCCGATTCATCTCCATCTCCATCTCCATCGGTCTAGGCTTGGCCGACGGCGGAAGTGTCTCCGATCAGTGTCTTCTATTGGGGATTGAGTCTATTCATTCTGTGATGGATTTGCGTATTCGCTTTGGGTCCAGTATACAAGTGCGGTGTTATAGTGGCGATGTGGCGTTAAAGAACCTCTCTGCTGAACTGGTAGATAACTTAGGCTTGCATACCTGGCTTCCACAAAGACTGCCATGGGACCGCCACAACGTCCTTCAATTAAAGTTCCTGTAGGATGTCCGCGCCGGCCGCTTCCCTCGACTACACTAATAACCCGCCACCATCTGCGTTGATTTTAACTTAACTACGCCACAGATGAGGAGAGCTGGGATGGAAATAGTATGTCTCTTTGGTCGAATATCGCGCCTCTAATGCATGATAGTGATATGAATATGGTACTCAGCCTGGTTGAGTTGCTGAAGGGGGGAAGGAGAGGGGGAGGGGGGCATAGGAGGATCGAGGAGGAGGACGAGGAGGAGGAGACTTACCTGTAGTTATATAGAATAATTTTGGAACTCCTCCACCACCAACGGGACTTATCTTGGCAGCTGCTACAGAAAGATTACGATAGTGGGGAAATTTAATCTATTTCATTGATTGTTTCTATAGTACACCCTCTCGAAATATGTAAGGCTTTATCTTCGGCCAAAAAATGAAAAGTCATATTGAAGGGTACCATTTCCATTTTAATGCCTACTGCCTGCAGAAGGCCCTGCATCAGATGCTGGATAAAACACAACAAGCTGGTTATTAGTTCCATCCTCCTTGATCAAGAATACAGTGTTCGTCCCATCAGTAGTCACTGCTTGGAAGCATGTTTGTGGGAGTAGGTGTAACGCTGACTTCTAAACGATAGAAGACACAGAAGTTTCTTGCATAAGGTTGACTTGACAGAGGAGGCAGGGGATTAAACACAAAGGCTTTCCAAGTAACACGTTACAGTATTGTAAAGAATACTATATTGAGTTGAGCACGAAGCTCCTATCTAAGGAAATACTATCTACTTATATAGTGGCGTCGTGCCAAAGGGATATCCGTGGATAACATGGATAACATAATATCCATGATATCCAATGTTATCCATCACCTGATATTCCGTGGATCCCTGTGGATAACATGGATAACATAATATCCAAGATATCCAATGTTATCCATCACATGACATTCCGTGGATCACCATGGATAACATGGATAACATAATATCCATGATATCCAATGTTATCCATCATGTGAGGTTGCAGCCGTAAGCACTAGCCATAGCACTAGCACTTAGCCGTAACAGTACAAAGTTGAACGAGGTATCAAACGGCCTGATTCCCTTTCTCATGTATTTTTTCGCCACCTGCTCTACCTCAGACAGTTCAGAAGGGTCCACCAGAAGACTCCGCTCGGTCATCCATACCTCTCCCTCAAGAATTTTGAACTCAATGCGGATTTTGGAAGGGGGAGGAGGTACTAGCTGCAGCTGTATGTCCAGGTTCTGCTCTCCAGAGTGTTCTGGTGAATCCTCAGTACCTTCAGGGATGCTGGCAAGACCCTCTGCTATGATTCTCTCAATGTCAATGTGCGTGTTCCGCCTTCGATCCCTCTCTGGTGCATCATTTCTATCACCATTGACCTGTTCCAGGCTGTCCCGTTCAGACCGTTCTCGGTGAAGTCTCTCCTCCTCGAATCTGTTCTGTCTGAACTGCTCCTCATCCATTTCGAGAGCTATCTCTGGTGCTTGCATTTCGCGAAATGAAGAAGATGCTGCCCGTTCCGCACCAGCATTGGGCGGTGGCGCAGTGCCAAAGCGGCGGTGTGTGATCATCTTCGGCAACCTGCCAAAGAATGCAAGGTATACGGACCTGCGCACAAAAAATGACGTGATGCTCTCATGTCATACTGACATTCGTTGCACTCAGTTTGCTATCAAACTCAAGAACAAACTTAGAAATCTCCTCCTCAAACCTACAAGTTACTATACATATTTTGGCTTATCACACCAACAACAAGAGCAATACTACTCAACGATTGCTACAACCCTCTATGATTCATTACACGTCATCGCTCCTTAGTTACTGGGCCGATATTACCACATAGCATATCTCTACAACCCTCTATGATTCATTACACGTCATCACTCCTTAGTTACTGGGCTGATATTACCACATAGCATATCTCTACAACCCTCTATGATTCATTACACGTCATCACTCCTTAGTTACTGGGCTAATACTACCACATGACATATCTCTATCAACTAGAGGCCTAGGAACATGAACGATAGCTCCAAAAGCTTCTACAACCCTCTATGATTCATTACACACCATCGCTCCTTAGTTACCCACAAGATTGGTTAAGTTATGACATAATTTGTCTATAGGGGTACTCTGACCTTGGACCTCCTTTCACTTCCTATAGGCTAGGAACCTAGGAGATGGTTCTATGGGATTCTCTTACATCGACTACAGTTACCAAGCCTGGTTAGTCATGGAAAGTCTTGGAAAATGAGAGAACTACACTCCTTTGGCATAAATAGGATTGCCCTTTCCTTAAGAAAGGGCAAGCAGACAATACAGTAAATCGACTATCACATACTTCCACGTCTTTTCCAAGCTTCCAAGCATTGATCTTGTTACTCCTTGTTTCTGAAAAGTCAGGAGGTGCTAACCTCTGACTTATCCCTGAGTTCTCAGACTCAACATTTGTTACAACTTGTCTAAACCACTCCACTACATCATTGTTACGGCTACAGTAACATGATGTCATGGTTACAGGGCCAGGGCCTAGTAACGTGACGTGTGAGTCACAGGGGGAAGAGGGGTAGGCTGCCATGTGATGGGGCTAATGGATAGTTGCAGAAACTAGTGGATATTGGAGATTTGAGCTATCCACGAACTATCCTGAATATCTAGCTATCCGCCAACTATCCTGATTACCCATGAGGCACGACGCCACTATATAAGTAGATAGTATTTCCTTAGATAGGAGCTTCGTGCTCAACTCAATATAGTATTCTTTACAATACTGTAACGTGTTACTTGGAAAGCCTTTGTGTCTAATCTCCTGCCTCCTCTGTCAAGTCAACCTTACGCAAGAAACCTCTGTGTCTTCTATCGTTTAGAAGTCAGTGTTACAATCATACACCTGATTGCTGCGTTGTGGAATAGTCTAAGCTACAACCCTTTGGCTCTGTTTCCTAAGACAGTGTGTTGTCTTAGTAAAATCATCCCTTCCCTTGGGTGGCTAGATTCTCACATCTGGTGCACCCACCATTACAAGCCTATGGTGTAGGAGGTTACATTAGCTGCTCTGCTGCTAGAAACGGATGAGCTAGGGACCCTAGCGCCCTAAATAGAAGCCCCTGAGTTTTTCAGGGTCTTAGCCACATCCGCCTAGCTGACAGATTTCAGCCCTACAGAGGTAGCTGCTAGTGAGGGCTGGCTTTAAGGCAGATAGGGGCATAGTTGGAAGTTTCTACATATAGAGTGGCAGTGAGAAAGCTGACTACCTTGTTGTAGAGGTTGTGGGCAAAAGTGCGATGCTCTAGGAGCTTGTAGGAGGACACAAACTTGTCCACTATGCTAGCGAAATCATATATAACTATGCGCTATATCTTAGCTTCCCTTTTAATGCATTAAGTTGGCTGCTAATGGCTGCTGTTGCTTCGTGACTGTTAGGCGCGCTTTCACCTTAGAGGAGGCATAGTGTTAGTACTAAGTGTTTTCTGCTATGTCTTAGAAGTGTAGTTAAGGTTAGATGGTGATTGTGGTTCCTAGGGGCGAGTAAAAGCGCTGTAGCAATTTGTCAATTTGAGAAAATAGTTGTAGGTGATGTGTGCTTTGCTAGAGTGAGCCGCACAGCCATAATACCGAGGGGGTAGCTAGGAATGTATTCCCATCTAGTATTATTATGTTTAACACATAAGTAGGTGGTTATATGAGAATGTAACACATAGTCACTGGAGGTTTGGAAGTGTTGATTGGCAGACAAGTTGTTGATTGATTGGAGTTCCAAGAGTCTACAGTTGAGGTAATCTAAGAACTATTTTGGTGGGGTCGCTCAGGGCTCCGGCTACGCCAATCCTGCGCTAGTCCTATGATGCCACTCCTACAATTCCTGCAACAGAGAACGACGTACGTATAATTGAAACCTCCATAATTGTACGTGACAAACCCAGAACCCTGAAAAGTGTCCAAGTACCTGGTATAGGATGACATTGAAGGCTTTGAATGTCCAAAGTCGAGAGTCATACTCCCAAGTGGATGAAACGACCTTGGAGAGTGCGTAGCGCCTGACATATTTGCGGTCCAGTTAGATTGCCAGCTGAGAGCAGTGAACGAATAATAGGTAGCATTCGAACTGGCGCGGTTAGTCCAAGGTCCGCTCCAGATGGAGTTCTCAGTTAACGACAGCTGTTCAGACGCGCCCCCATAAATTGATGCAGCGACTCTACCATTTCCAATGGGCGCAGTAGATGACCAAATATCCGCAGCAGTTGTCCAATACAGATATCGTGATGCATCCCATTGTCCTTCCACAGCCGCCGCAAAAGCTATGAGGGCAGTGTATAAGATTGCCTTTTTCCACAGGATAAACATGAGAAATTATCTTGAGTGAAAAGATCGAAAAACATTACCATCGAGCGAAGAAAGGCAGGTGGATACTGGGGTTTAATAGAATATGGGGGACAGTTCATCGGTGGGTGATTATCAAACATTACCGATGTAGCTGACCCATATTGCCAATGCAATTGTCCGGTGTTGTTGTTGTAGATTGCCCGACATTGCTGCTGCAGGTCGTGAACAGGCCATGTTGACCAAGATAGATGCGGGGTGTTGTAGTGTTTTTAGGCTGAATGAAGATCACTAGAGTTTTCTCTGTAATAATAGCTCTGAGCGTCACATGAGAAGGCGATAGATAAAACACCCCTAGTGTGCCCTACAAATGTTTGCCGCTTTATTCCCGTAGCTAGATCCCATATCTTAACTGTGCTATCGATCGAAGCTGATGCTAGTAGTTGACCGTCCGGTGAGACGGCTATATCGAAAATGCTGTCATTATGCGCCACAAACAATCTTATCTCATGTCCTTGGGTCCCATATCCCAGCCTCCCAAGCCGATGCGAGTAGCTTTCCATCGGGTGGGAAGGCAATGGATTCGGCGCAGTCGTGGTGGAGGAGAATTCGCAGTAGGCATCCTGTAGCAGGATCCCATATGCGGACCATCTCGTCAGCAGTCGACGCTAGTAACTTTCCATCTGGTGAGAAGGCGATGGAAGTAACATAACCGGCACTCTCTAGGACTCTGCGTTTGCAGCTCCTTTCCTGTGGCCGTATCCCAGAGCTTGAGCGCCCTATCATCATTGTTCACGGCACTCGCTAGGAGATTTCCACGTGGTGAGAAAGCGATGACATCAACCCTCGCAACGTCTTTTGCGTAGCTACATCCCATAGCCCAACTGTCTTGCCAAGCGAAGCTGTCGCTAGAACTTACCGTCTGGTGAGAAAGCGGCGTCAAAGACGCTGGAGGTATGGCCCTGAAGTATTATCGTCAGGGTACCCTGGACTTCGCCGCGATGTAAATCGCTCGAGGCTGGTAGTCCAGGGATGTGGATTTCTTTCATTGGGCCTGACTGTATACACTGTAAAGCAGTGGAGTATATATTCAAAGGGAGCTGTTCAATGGCCGCTCTATAATCTAGTATGAAGCGCTTTGCATCGAGTACAAAGCCCGTTAGCTTTGCACTACACATTGCCTGCATTTTTCTTAGTTTAGCATATATTTCATTCCCATTTTAGGTTCTGTCGTCACACTCACATTATCAACGAGACTTACTAAAGACTCTAGTGAGTTGATACCATCTTGTAAATTCTGTAACAAACCAAGAGCCTCGAGCCAGCATAGAAAATGGCCTGTCAAGAAGTTGTAGACTTGGTCTTGCAGATCCACGTCAACCAAGAACCTATGTTTACCACGGTAGAGATGAAGCACCCAAAACATACAAGCGTACTGAAGCTCTTCACGAACCATGTGGTCTATGTGACCGCGATGTATTGTACCTATCTCTGTGTTTTCTGTAGATAGTGCTGGACATTTGCTGTATGTACTTCTCGGCAAGGGCACAGCAGGCTCTCTGTTCGTCTAACTTATATTAAACCGATATCAAAATCTAACTTGTTACATAAGGGGTTACGTACGAAGAATATCTTGCCCGCTGCTTGCTAACAATGAGGTATTGTCCACACTTAACGTGTCCACACTTAACGAATCGGAAAGGCCTACCCCACCAGCCCAACCCACACCCGAGTAACCATGTACTATGCAGTATGCGAATGTGTGTGAGAGAGATTAAGTATATATATCCCCATCCTTCCTATAAACCCCTAGCCACCCCATCCTGCCAATACCCCAGTAAACCCCTTAACCCCGCATGAAGCCGTACATATAACCCCCCCCGATCGCCGTGCACACAGTGGTATAACCAACACAAACAATATAGTAAAATGCCCCAAAAAAACCCCAAATGTAGGACTATCCATCCACCGAATATGATCCCTAATAGCAAAATACTAATAGCCATCCATCCGTCTATCTTCACCAACAGCCGTCCGTACGATCCACAAAAGACGGACACGGAGCCATCATCCACCACACAAAAACCACACATCTTGCCCAGATACCACTCCATAACCCCATCACAACACACCATCTTCACTCTTCACCACCTCCATCCATCAGGGACGACCTCCCCCCTCCCCCAGCTCCAAGCCCATATATCCGACGACGACAACACATACCTCGCCCGAACCTTCCCATGGAAACCTCAGAACGATGTAGATGTCGTCATCGCTGGCTTTATGTCCTCGGAACTTAACGACGGGGTGTGGAGCTCCCCCCCCCCCTCCGACAGAACTCCTTCGACTAATGGTGATGACTTAGGTACCCACCCCAAACCTTCTTGTAGAAGGCGCGGTTTGTGTCATTGGAGCTCAGCCGGGGGTGTATATAGCAGTGTGAGAACACCCTTCATTACTTTCCTTTCCTTCCACCCGGAATATCCTCCACCCTCCACTCCACGCAAAAAAAACGATCACAGAGGTATACACCCCCCTCCCAACCGCGACCGAAGCAGAGACTCGTATGTGCCACCCCCCCCCCCCCCCCCAAGTCAGCAGACCTCATCAATATAATTACGGAGGTACAACCCCCCCCCCACCTTTTGATGCCTCGCGGAGACTTCAGGGGGGTTTGATGCTCCGTAATCATATTGATTGGTCGGAACTGGAGGGGCGAGGCGGGTATCGATGTGCGTGTTTTTTAAAAGGCTGTGGTGGATTGATGGTGGTGATGGTCGAGTCTGGGCTGGAGGATGCAGGATGCTAGGGTGAAAGTAGGCGGTGGGTGAACTGGAGTGCTGCTGCTGAATCGAATCGAATGGATGGATGGACCGGCTCGGATCACATCAGATCACATCAGACCCATCCCACACCCCCATCCAACTCGGGGTATCAAAACGCCAATACCAGTACATCGCCCCCCTCTCCCCATCCGTTCATACGCTCCATTAGGTCTCCCCACTACCCATCCAACCCGCCGCGTCCTCACGGCCGCAGTTATCTCGAGGGAAAGAAGGGTGGTTCATTCATCGCTACCCCTCCCTCCACCAGGACTCTCGGCGTCAGAGCTGAGCGGTCCTTCGGTTTTGACGTCTACGTTGTTGTAGCGGCGTTGTTGGGTGGAGATGGATGAGGATTGGTGGTGGGAAGTTGAGGTTGGGCGGGAGGGTTTGCCGCAGCCTTTCACTAGGACGTGTCGCTGTCGTTGTGTCAGTACGTATTCATTCAAATCGTAGCCAAAGCAATCTTGGTGAAAAGGGGGGAAAAGACGGGGAACAATAAAAAAACACACCTTCAGCGCATCCTTCCTCGAAAAACTCTTCTCACACTCCCCACACGGATACGGCTTAACCGCCAAATGAATCCTCTTATGCCTCTTCAGATCATGATTCCGATTAAAGCTCTGCGGGCACTGATCACACTTAAACGGCCTATCCAGCCCCAACTGCATCCCCCCCCCAACCCCCCCAACTCCAACACCATACTGTAATCCCCCATGCGCCACCCCGTGCGGGACCCCGTGCGAGGGATAGAGAGGGTAGCTACCTTGCATACTGTGGTGCTGCTGGTGCTGCACGATTGCGTGGCCGGGTTGGGTGGTGGCGGAGAGGAGAGAGAGTTGCGAGCCGGGGGAGTGGACGTTGGACATTACGGCGCCGGAGAGGGTGGGGAGGGCGTAAGGGAAGGGGCGGTAGGGTCCTGCTCCTGCGCCGGTGGTGGTGGTAGGTGACAGCCGAGCGGGGGGAGGCGATGGCTGCGTATATGATGGGAAGGAATGCGCGGTTGTGGGGGGGAAGGTGTAGGTTGGTGTCGGCGGCGGGCGGGGGCCGTAGGCATCATGTTGTTGTTGTGGTGGCTGCTGTTGGACGGGCTGCTGCTGATCCGAAGAAGAGGAGGTGGAGGGGTAGGGGAGCGACATGCTGTATTGTTGCTGGTGGTGCGACGGTATCGACTCATCCGAACTCTGCGGTCTCGGTGGATAATTCGACGGCGGTGCATACAACGCCCTATTATAAATCGGCGGCTGTTGATTCTGCTGCTGCTGCTGCTGCTGCTGTCCCGGACTCTGCGCCTGCCCTTGACCTCCACCTTGCCCCTGCCCCGCCGCCGGATTGCTAAAAGCGTAAAACGGCACGGCACCAGCGACGGGTGGCCAATACCCCATTTGCTGACCGTAGGGGGGGAGACCGTTACCGGCGGCTGCGACGGCGTCGGCGGCGGAGACGGGGGGGTGAGGATGGAGTGTTGCGTGTTTGGGGCGGTGGAGGTGTAGGGGGGGTATTTGGGGTCGGGGGGGGGAGTTGGAAGGTTGGGAGGGAGGAGGCGGCGGGGCGGCGGGCGGTGAAGGGTTGGGGGGGTTCCATGGTGAGGGCGTGGGGTGGTGAGTTATGGTGAGGAGGAGGTGAGGGTGAGGAGGTGAGCGAGGAGCTCAGATGAGGGAGTGAGTGATTCTCGTTAGGCCGCGCAGTGTCGGGGGAGTAGAGCGGCTCTATCGTCGTCGTGGTCCGTCTGCAGTTCCTTCGTCGTGGGGGTAGTCAAAAATACCCTCCTCCTTCTCTTCTTCCTGTCGTCGTCGTAGTCGGGGTGATCAAATCAACAACCTCCTTCTCTTCTTCCTGTCGTCGTCGTAGTCGGGGTGATCAAATCAACAACCTCCTTCCCTTCTTTCCTTCGTCGTCGTCTTCAACACCTCAGTCCAGTCCAGTCCAGTCCGTTCCTCGTTGTCGCGGTTCGTATACACAAAACCTCCACCCTATATACACCCTCCTATCACACACAACCCTCGCACAAAAGGCCTCAGTAACTCCCAGTACTGTCCTTTCCCCCAACAGTAGAATCGCAGACAATAGAAGCGCAGAGATATATATCCGCAGCCCTTCCTCCACAACAACAACAGTAATAGCAAGGTAAGATAAGGTAAAGTGATAGAAGTGATAGCAAGGTAAAGTGATAGAAGTGATAGTAAGGTAAGAAGTGTCAGAACTCCTTCTCGGCGTAGGCTGACTACTACTAACCTTCGTCGATCGCGGAAGCTCAGGCCGGGTGGGAATACGCGCGTGTGGGTGCCGGAGGGCTGGGTGGTGGGTTTGGTGGGCGTGAGGCGGGCTTTGTATCTGCACTTAGAGGGGAAGGGGAAGGGGAAGGGGAAGGGGAAGGGGATGGGGATGGGGATGGGGATGGGGATGGGGATGGGGATGGGGATGGGGATGGGGATGGGGATGGGGATGGGGATGGGGATGGGGATGGGGATGGGGATGGGGATGGGGATGGGGATGGGGATGGGATGGGGATGGGGATGGGGATGGGGATGGGGATGGGGAAGGGGAAGGGATGGGGATGGGGATGGGGATGGGGATGGGGATGGGGATGGGGATGGGGATAGGGATAGGGATAGGGAAGGGGATGGGGATGGGGATGGGGATAGGGATAGGGATAGGGATAGGGATAGGGATGGGGATAGGGAAGGGGATGGGGATAGGGATGGGGATGAGGTTGGGTTAGGATGGAGATGGAAGGGCTGGGCGTGATGGGGTGCAGGGGTGGGGGGGAAGGGGGGTGGTTGTGTGCTGGGTAGTAGTGGGTAGTGGGAGTGTTAGTAGTAGTGTTAGTAGCAGTGTTAGTAGTGGGTAGGTAGTAGTGGGAGTGGTAGAGGTGGAAGGGAGATGTGCGGTGGGTTAGTGGACTGGATGTTGAGGAGGTGGTAGGGGATTTGTGTGATGGGCGGCGATGATAGGCGGTGTTGTGGGGCAGGTAGGGTACATTTTCTTTTGGTATTGGTATTGGTATTGGTTTTGGTATTGTGCTGGTGTTTTGTAGTTTCTTTGTGTGCCATTGGGTGGGGTGGTGGGATTGAGTTAGTGTCGTTTTGGTTGGGGGGGGATTGGGACTAGTGGGTGATGGGTGATGGGTGGTAGGGGAGTTGACAGGTTGGGTGGGGGAGGAGGAGGGGGTGGCGAGTGGTTGGTTGGGGTGTGGGTAGTGGGTTGGGTAGTGGGTTGGGTAGTGGGTAGTGGGTAGTGGGTAGTGGTTGGATGGGAAGGGGAAGGGGAGAAGACCAGAGGGAGAGCTCGTGACTGGTGTGGGTATGTGATTGTGGTTATGGTTGTGACCACAGGGGGAGTGGTGGTGGTGGTGTGGTTAGAGCGAGAGAGTGAGGATGAGGGTGTGAGGATAAGGGTGTGAGGATGAGGATGAGGGTGTGAGGATGAGGATGAGGGTGTGAGGATGAGGATGAGGGTGTGAGGATGAGGATGAGGGTGTGAGGATGAGGATGAGGGTGTGAGGATGAGGATGAGGGTGTGAGGATGAGGGTAGTGGTGGAAGACCCTCATCTCACATCGCTGAAATGAGACCACAGCACTCACACTCAGCTCAGAACTAAGACGTACCTCTACTTCTATCCCACCCCTCCAACCGCCGATCCGCCCCCTTCTTCGCATACTCAGCTCAGAACTAGACGTACCTCTACTTCCATCCCAACCCCTCCAACCGCCGATCCCCCCCTTCTTCGCATACTCAGCTCAGCCCCAGCCGTCCCCGCACGGACGGTGAGGGTGGTGCTTTGCTTTGCTTAGGTCATCCCCCTCCACACCCAAAGGGTTCGTTTATTTTGGCCCCCTAGGGTGGGCCTTTGCAAGTTGGCCAATGACGTGTCTTCACCACTCGTCTGCTGGCCAATGGGGAGGGATGGTACCAACCCAGCCCTGGCGCTGAGGATTGAGTGGTTTTGTATTTCCCGGAGGTTACGGAGACCCGGACAGGACACGACTGATGGACAACTTCCCCATCCGGTCCAGACCCTCCCTTCTCTCCTGCCGCCTGTGGTAGACCACTATGGCACCACACGGCACACCCCATCCCACCCCATCCAACCCCATCCAACCCCATCCCACCCCATCCAACCCCATCCCACCCCATCCAACCCCATCCAACCCCATCCCACGATCCGCATCCAGACGACGACGCGGGCCAATATTGGATCCGCAACTGGGATTGCAGCACGCCAACTGTGCAGTTGGTGTGGTGAGGTACGTACCTGATCGCTAGCGTGGGCGGGCTGTCTGTGTCTATCCATGGGGCGCCGTCTTTCTGTGTCATTTTCGTCTCGTCTCGTCTTTCCCTGTCTGTATGTGTGCATGTGTGCATGTCTGTTCCTTTTGGCGGCCCCTGCTTTCTTTTTCGGCTGTCGGTATTGCTGGTACTGGACGTGCAGGAGGAGGAGTTGGTTAGTCCATCGAGGATACAACAACAGTGTGTGTAGCCCAATCAATCCACTACCATGGGCCCATCCCAATCCCCTTCCCCTCCCCCTCCCCTTCCCCTCCCCCTTCCCCATCCCCATCCCCATCCCACCCCCATCCCCATCCCCATCCCCATCCCCATCCCCATCCCCATCCCCATCCCCATCCACCAGCGCGACCACACGGCTTGCAGCCTACACCACCAGGCAGGCAGCCAGGCGCACCCTAGAGCTAGAGTAAGACCAGGGCGTAATTGCCTCCCCCTGCTCCACACATACGTATATTGCAGTGGTACAAGCAGCAGGGATGGATGAGGGAGCGAGCGAGCCTCTGTGACGCCGTGGGCACGAGGCGGGATTAAGCTCAGGAAGCCACGGACCCTCCATCCTCCATCTCGTGCCGTGGTAGGGTCCATCCTCTCTCCATCCTCCATCTCGTGCCGTGGTAGGGTCCATCCTCGCCGCATACAGAAGAGTTTGTACGACGACCCACGGCACGAGATGGATGATGGAGGGAGGATGGAGATGCAGGATTCAGGATTCAGGATGCAGGATATCTGTTTCCTCGCAGGGTTCGTCGCATGGTATGTACCGTCTCGTATAGTATAGTACAGTGCAGCCATGTGTTTCTGTGCGGTGGAGGCGGTGGAGGCGGTGGAGGCGAAGAGCCAAGGACGCCCGCGGCTAGAGGATGGGGGTGCGGCGGGAGGACACGTGGCAGGGTGTTCTGGACAGGAGGGTTGATTACTGTAGGTTGCCAAGATTGCCAAGATTGCCAAGATTGCCAAGGTTGACGAACTGTCGCACTGTACCGTATTATGACACAACACGGCGCAAATAAGCTCCGCCCCCCTCGCCAGATCCTGGACGGCCTACTCGTAAGCACACTGTCTGAGCCGCGTGCACGCCCCTATCTCGCTTCTATTTCGCATATCTGTGGGGGGCTGTGACGGTGTGACGGTGGGTCGTGGGTCTAAGGGAAAAGGGTGCGGGGAGCAGGAGATGGATGGTTAAGATCTTCAGGTGAGTCTGTTGGAGGCGCCTCTTTTCCCCAACAGTATCGGATGGGCTGGCTTGCGGTGTCGTGGGATGGCTGGGGGGTGATGTGATGCGTTTTTTGCTGGAGAGGATGTGCCCCTTTCGTATGCGGGTGAGGACCCCTAGCGGCTAGTGAGGGTGCGGGCCGTGCATGCGTGCGTGCGTGCGTGCGTGCGTGCGTGCGTGCGTGCGTGCGTGCGAAGGGGGATGGGGGATGGGGGATGGTCGGGCAGACCAATAGACGCAGGCAGATTAGAGAGGTACAGTCGGCTGGCAAACGAAATGCAAGATTGCGAGATTGCTAAAAAGCGAGATACCAGGGCAGGCAGGACAGGGAGGGCAAGGCTGATATTAGACCGCAGACGAAACCGAGGCAGGGTTAGCAAGAACACCCAATATCGGGTCGATTATACGACCCCCTTCCCGTCTCCGGACGGACAGACGGACAGACGGAAGACAGACGGACAGACAGACGGACAGACAGACAGACAGACGGAAGACAGACGGACAGACAGGCGGACAGACAGACAGACAGACAGACAGACAGACAGACAGACAGACAGACAGACAGACAGACAGACAGATCGACAGATCGACAGATCGACAGATCGACATCTCCCACTTCCACCCGCAAGGTAGGAAGATCATCACCGCGTTTTTAACCAGCTGTTCCCCGCGAAACAAGGGTCCACCCCGTACCTGGCACGGCAGGGCGAAGTGTGAGGAAATACTGTGTAGATCAGTCGTCTGCTGGGACTTACCGAAGTAGTATAGATAGACTAGCACAGGACGTGGGAGGAAGAGTGCGCCCGACTAATACCCGACCCACCAAAGATCGACACGCCCCCAAAACCTCAGGGGCACAAGACACGGCGCAAACCGGCCCGCGGCAAGAACAACGCCGTGGCGTCAATGACAGGCGTCGCTGACAGGAGTCCGTCTCTCTCCGGCGGTCCCAACTCTACTACCCTCGTAGCGTCGTCATCCGGTAAACGGTAGCGATGGCGCTGCTGTGGACCACAAGCCTGCCGTGCTTTTTGGGGGGGGTTTGGTAATTTCCGTACGGCCGGCGGTGCTGGATTGAGTGCCGTGCTTGGCTGTGCATGGTGAGGGGAGGCGGGAGATGAGGATGAGTTGGCTTTCTTTTCTTTTTCTTTTGACATGGGACAAGGGCGGAGAGAAAAGGAAACCTGGTGGGGGTGAAAGAGGAAATCAATCTGGTTGACGACGGGGGAGGGACCAAAGCAAGAGCCTGTCGTGTACTGTAGTAGAGATTTTGAGTTTTTTTGGGGGGGGGGTTGTGCCGGGGATATTTGCACCCGGCTGCTCTATAATGGCGATGATGGTGATGATGATGCTGATTACTTCGTTATTCTACATTCCAACCGCCGCCGTTCTCGGCGTCACTTCAAACGGCTCCTCCACTGCCACCTCTTCCTCCCCCTTTCCCCATTCTGGCCAAAATCCCCAACCAAATACTAACTCCTCAGCAACCCCCAATCTAAGCCTTGGCCTTAGGCACATACTCCTCCGGCCCAACCATCAACTCTGGCCTCACCAACCTATCAAACTCCTCCTCGCTCAACGCCCCCAACTCCACCGCCGACTCCCTGAGCGTCAGTCCCTTCTTATGCGCGTTCTTCGCGACGCGGCTAGCGGCATCGTAACCAATACGCGGGTTCAGGCACGTGACAAGCATCAGAGACTCCTGCATGATCGACGCGATCTTCTCCTCGTTAGCGGTCATCCCAGCGACGAGGTTCTTCTCGAAGGAGCGCGAGGCGTCGGCGAGGAGACGGATGCTGTGGAGCACGTTGCGGATAATGAGGGGCTTGAAGACGTTGAGTTCGAATTGGCCGTTCATCCCGCCGATGGTGGTGGCGTGGTGGTTACCCATGACCTGTGCGCAGACCATAGTCAGGGCCTCGGCTTGGGTAGGGTTTACCTTGCCCGGCATGATTGAGCTTCCGGGCTCGTTCTCGGGGAGGCTCAGCTCGCCGAGGCCGCAGCGGGGGCCGGATCCCAAGAAGCGGATGTCCTGCGCGATCTTGAACAGGGAGGAGGCGACGGTGTTGAGGGAGCCGGAGGCTTGGACGAGGGCGTCGTGGGCGGCGAGGGCTTCGAATTTGTTGGGGGCGGTGGAGAAGTGCTTCCCAGTCATCTTTGTGACTTCCGCAGCGATGGCCTCAGCGAAGCCCTTGTAGGTGTTGATACCCGTGCCGACGGCGGTGCCGCCCTGGGCGAGCAGGCGCAGGTCAGGCAGCGAGGACTGGATGCGGGCGAGGCCGTAGTCTAGCTGTGCGACGTAGCCCGAGAATTCCTGCGCGAGGGTGAGGGGTGTGGCGTCCTGGAGATGGGTGCGGCCGATCTTGATGATTTTCTTGGCTTCGAAATCGACGACCTTGGCTTGGAGGGCGTCGCGGAGGGAGCGGATGGCGGGGAGGAGCTCTTCCTCGATCTCGAGGACCGCGGCGATGTGCATCACGGTCGGGAAGGTGTCGTTGGAGGAGGCGGACATGTTGACGTGGTCGTTGGGGTGGACGGGCTTCTTGGAGCCCATGGTGCCGCCTAGGATCTCGATGGCGCGGTTGGAGATGACCTCGTTGGCGTTCATGTTCGATTGGGTGCCGGAGCCGGTCTGCCACACCACGAGCGGGAAGTGGTCGAGGAGCTTGAGGTCGGCTACCTCAGCAGCCGCTTGCTGGATGGCTTTGCCAATCGTCGGGTCTGTATACACCATGGTTAGTAGAGTCCCGAGTATGCGTAGGTGTAGCCCACGTACCAAGCCCGAACTGCATGTTGATAGTCGCGGCCGCGCCCTTCAGGATACCAAACGCCCTCACAATCGGCGGGGGCATGCGGTCCTGGGGCTGGTTGATCCTGAAGTTCTCGAGGGAACGCTCAGTCTGGGCGCCCCAGTACTTGTCCGCGGGAACGTGAACCTCGCCGAAGGCATCGGTCTCAGCCCTGGTCTCTGCCATGGCGCGTGTGGAGATGCTGAAGGATCTGTACGACGGTATCGAGCGGATATGCGCACGCGAAACGGATGAAGAGAGATAAGATGTCGTCGGCCGAGAGAAAGTGCTCAGCTTGGCGGCATTGGGGAGTGAGGGGTAGGTCACCCTGGTCGATGATGCCCTGGCGAGTAGAGCTACAGGCACGGCGCTAGCTGATGCTGACCGTAACGTGATCATGTTTCTGGCGGTTTGTCGCGGCCCAAACAATGCGAAGAAGAAATGTGATAAATGGAGAAAGATCGCGGTGGAAATGCGCAATTGAAGAGTAGAGAGTGAATGAAGATGCGAGGTACTGGGACGGGCGCGCTCTGGGGATATTAAAACAGGTGTAAATGGGGATAATTGGAGAAGGAAGGGGAGAGTTCCGTAAGGGCTCCAATTTTTTTTTTGTCGGGGTTCGTCGGAAGCAATTTGCCAAGATCCCTACGACGGCCGGGGTGAGCCGGAACGTGCGGCCGGCGGCAACCATCCAACTGGTTATCAAAAATCTCACTAACTTAAGTGAGACTTTGATGCCGACGTCAACCCACTGCCTATTACGAAGACATCAACTGTACGATATTGTCACCAGAACTTCATCGAGTGGTTTTTTATTTATTTTTTATTAGAATTAGCTAAAGCTATCTATCTACTTCTGATCCTCTCACAAAACAGAATGTAAACCCGCCCAACAATCCTCACCACCTGTATCCTCATCCCCGAGTATAGTCCGCTTCAAATATCCGTCAAACAAAACTCCCTCCTCTCAAACAAGCCATTAGCATTCCCAAATACTCACTCATACACACCCCATTAGACATTACCCTCCGTATATATACCCATACACACCTGACTCCTTCGCCTCAAAACAAGTGATAGTCCGGCACAATACCCACACAATACAAAAGAGCACCCCCATTAAAAATCTCACACAAAAATATAGCCGCCCCCATCAAAAATCTCATACAAAAAAATAAGGGGAACCGCATCCAAAGGCCAGCAACGTGACGACTTCAAAATCCGCGAGTTCCAAAATAGGGTTGATTGGCCTGCGAGTGCGGAATTAAACGCTCGTCAGGGTCTTGATCATCATTCTTCTCTTGCGCTCCTCACCGACCAACAGTCCACGAGTCTGGAAGACAGATTCCATGGTAACAACGACTCTGTGGAAGCTGCTGGCCGCGCCGGCCTCCTGCGAGAGTCTGGCGATGCTCAGGTGGTTTCTCTTGCCGTGTTCAATGACAGTCAGGAACTCGCACGCGAATGCAACTTGCTTGAGGTCGAGATCTAGATTTATAGTCAGCTTCGGTCTCATCAGATGCGGCAGCAAGGGGACTTACAGTTGACGGGTGCGACTTTGCCGAACACGAGGTTGGCGGGCTTGTTGACTACGACATCCTTGATGCCGAATTGTCTCCAGTCCTTCAGAAGCTGGGCAACCTCCTGGCGGGCGCGGCGCTTGGTCAGGTTGAAGCACAGGTAGCTCGTCGCGGGCTTGACGAGGAAGAGGCGCGCGAGCCAGTTCTGCTGGGGCTCGATCTGGCGGGATGGGTCGTCGCGGTAGTTTACCAGCTTGGGTTGGTAATGGCTCATATCATCGCCGACGGATTCGGTGCTCTTATTGTCATCGTACAACTTGAATGCTGCTCTGGTGTCAGTAGATGTGGTAAATGATGAGAGATTCGTTAACTTACCTCCAAGTGGCAGGCCCTCCTCTTCCTTGGGACCGAACCTCTTCAAGAGATTGCCCAGGTTGAAACCCTTCTTCTTTGGGTCGGGCAGACAGTTCGGGTTGATCTCCACTTCTCCGGGTGCGAACTGGTTGTCATCTTGCTTGGAGTTACGTTTGTACCAGGCAGTCTTCTTCTTCGAGAGGGCACCGAAACCAGTATGCTTAACACCATCATATCTGAATGGGTCGACATCGTGCTTGCTCTTTCGTCCTTTAGTCTCGGAAGAGAAGTTTGGTGCGAGCTGCTCAAACTTGGTAAACGCATCTTTGGTTGCATTCAGAGAGCCAGTCATCAATGGGGTCTCCACCGGTAGCGGGGGCAGAGGCTGAGTCGGAGGCAGACCCGGAGGCGGAGCCGGCCTCTTGACCTTGCGAATATTAAGAGGTGCTGGCATCTTGACTGGGCTCGAGGAGAGAGGCACAGCTCTAGCAGTGGCTGGACGATGATCAGGATTCGTAACCACGAGCTCACGGTCGTTGTATCTCCCATTGTGGGGTTCGGGAGCAGATCCCATTCGGTGAGAGGCCACCCTGTTCGTACGCTCACGATGAAGGTATTGCCCATAGCCATCGCTACGCTCCGATGTTCTGGCGCGAGAGTAGTTCTGGGGGTTTCGCAAAGGCCTCGGACCCTCGACAGCTATACCACTCGTGGTGGTTGGGTTTGGAGCTGAGGTGGTTCTTCTTTCAGCTTCGCTGAGATAAGTCTGGTTTGGCAGCATGAGGCGATCAATGTGAGAAACCATCCGGTTGATATAACGAGGAGAATGGACTCCATCGCCGGTGACTTTGCGGCTGTGGGCAGCTCGACGAGCCTCAGCAAGCTCTTGTTCCACAGACTCGGATCTCTTTGGTGGGACTGGCAATGGCCTACTCTCATACACTGACTGACGGCCCATTGTATTTCCGGCTTCCCACTGTTTCAGTTGGAAGAGCGATGGATCGGTGTTCGTATTTCCGCGTTCGAAGGAGGTAAAAGGCGTAGAGTAGTGGCTATCAGAGCCATAATCAGCTGAGCTTGAGAGCATCGACAGGCCATGGGATCTATTGAATGCTTCATCGCAATCTTTTGCCAAGCTGCTGCTCACCTGACGCACATCCTCTTGGGCACGTCTGTAAGCCTGGGGCAATGGCTGGGCAAATGTACCTGCTTCTTTGCGGGATCGGAGCTGCGTGGTCACGTATGGACGATCCTCGGGAACTTCTCCCATGAGCTTGGAGCGCTGTCTATTTCTCTCATTGGCCTCACTTTCGGATACAGTTCGCATAGCCGGGTGACGCATGTTGGTGAAGCTAACTCCACGCTTGTATCTCTGCCCGGCCCGAACAGGGTTGCTGCCACTCTTCGTAGAACTCGCAAGTGAGCTTCGTGAGGCATAGACTCTCGGACGAGCAACACCCGGTTGCATTGCATAGCGATTGCTCGATCTTGAGCCCCCCGCACGGGAGATCTGTGTATCCTCTTGGAGACGGGAGATGGGGTTGCGGTGAATGACAACCTTGGCATGTGTGGTTCCGTTCATTGTAAGATTCTGGTGTCTGGAATCTTTGAATGGATCGTAACTCTTGACCGTCTCTGCAGATTCAGTCTCTGCATAGCCACTGCTCTTCCTAGCATGACCTCTCTCGACTCTCTCGCCGGTGTTGCTGACGACAGTGAATCTCGAGATCTGTCGTCTGTACCCATTGAGACCTATTTGGGTAAACTGGCGAGTAGAGAGCTTCTTGATTTTCGAAAGAGGACGGACATGGTGGTAGTCACTGTTGGAATAGCCAATTTCAGGAGTATAATTCTCCAGCTGGTTTTCACGGTGCTTCAGGAAAAGACCATAAAAAAGCTTCTGGTCGTTCGGGTTGTCGTCCAAAAGCAAGGTCACCAGCTGCTTATCTTCAAATTGATGCCACAAAGACTTCAGGTGGCGCATGATCTCTTTGTCAATGTCGCTCACTCTATCCACTGGGCGTTCACAATATTGAACGTCAGGGGATCTGGGATTAATACCTCCTCTGTAATTATCGAGATACTCATACTTTTTGATGAGAGGGTGTCTCCAGATCTCGTTGATGCTAATTCTCTCACGAGGATCAACCTGAAGCATGCGTTTAATGAGATCAGCTGCTTCTAGTCCAATGGCATTGGCCATCCGATAATTGCCTTTTTGGATAGCTTGAAGAAGGCGTGGCACAGATGGGTGATCGAATGGCAGTCGTCCTGACAGGGTAGCATACAGGATAATACCCATGCTCCAGACATCAACCTTGTCACCTCTATATGGGACAGCCTTGATGACTTCAGGTGCGGCATAGTGAGGGCTTCCACAAGAAGTGACGAGGCGGTGCTCAGGGGTTTGCTGGAGGGCAGCCATACCAAAGTCTGCAATCTTGATCTTCCCATCCTTGGTGAGAAGAATGTTCTCTGGCTTGAGGTCGCGATGGCAAATGTTGAACTGGTGGCAGTATGACACCGCACTCATAAGCTGTCTGAAGTATTTCATTGCTTCTTCTTCAGGCAAGAGCCCGCAAATGCTGATGTGGTCAAATAGCTCGCCATTGTCGACATACTCAAGGACAAGATAGCTGATGACTGTTAGCGGTAGTACTATATTATGGGTTCAGAACTATACTCACATCTCGGTACGATTCTCCCAGATATCATATAGCCTCATGATATGAGGGTGCTCAATAAGCTTCATGATGGCAACTTCTCTCTCGATGCCATATGGCATTCTACGGTTCTCACCTGCGTCCTTCACCTTTGCATCTTTCTTGTTAAGAGATGCCAGACTACCAGCCTGTGACAACAGAGCACTTTTCTTCTGTACGATCTTGACTGCTGCTGGCTGGCCGGTAACAGCGTGCTTTGCCATTCTAACTCTCGCAGTGGCACCTTTGCCCAAGGTCTTCCCAAGATGCCATGGCCCAATGTGTGTCTTGCGGCGTCTCTTGCCATCTGATGCATTGGTGGAGGCGTTTGAAATTAGAGAGTCTCGGTTGGGTCTGTGAACTACATCCCCATTTGTGATGGCAGATAGGCGAGGGTCAACAGCATTAGCGGAGCGAGGAGTTATGATAATTTTGCGTTCTTGCACTGACTCGGTGTTTAACTGCTTGTAAGGATTTTCCTCCTCATAAATGACTCTATCATTGTGAGCCATTGTTTCTGGTATCTTGCCCAGCGGCGAGGGATATGTTGTGCGAGTATTGTTGACGCGGGATGCGGCGTCTCCAAGAGGTGGCCGAGCAGTAGATGGCCGACGATGGTTTGAGGTGCTCATGTTTCTTTTTACTTGTGCAGAGACATGATGAGGGAGGGGTAGACAACGACAATGTAGCTTTCAGCCTTTTTGTCCTTGGACTTGGGTTGTGTTGTAGGCCTTGAAGCTTATAGGGTGGCGATGTACACCGTCGTCGCTATGCCGACCGGTCGCTATGGCAGCGGCGAGCTGCCAACGAAGACAAGAGAAAGAATCAAAGCAGTCTATTTTGAGAAGCTTCAATTGTATTGATCTGTATTTCTATCTATGGTATTAGCAAGGAATGGTCTTATTTACTAATTCCATCATTGCAGCACTCGGAATATCGAGTGCTGAATGTGAAACTGGGATCGGTGATCTATGATCAATGCTTACCTTGAATCCCAGTCTTGAGCAGTATGCGCTTTGATAATTGATTGCACTGAGTAAAGAAGAAGGTTGAATTAGAAGTGATGGCACGTGACAAACACGTGACCGGATGAGGTTGTTGGTCGAGGAAAGTGTGTTGTGTGGAATGAGGGTATCGTGGTAGGGCAAAGGAATGAGAAGTTTGGTGTTCTGTTTACCGTTCAAGGTGAATTCGAGCGCCCAAGCGAAGTGCACGGAGGAGGGGCAACAAATAATCCGAATTGAGTAGCCAGTAGGCAGACTTTGCCATATACACTTGTACGGCTTCGATTCTTCCCATCCACTAATTCCTGAGACCCCCCGAAGGCTAGGGATAGTTTTGTAATACAGGAAACGATGATAGGCATGTGCAGAACAAGTACACTCTTCAACCTTTAGAGACTACTCTCCAATGAAAAAGAAGTGCCGTATACTCGGCCATATACGCAACTACAGTGGTGTTGTCCGTGCAACTCATATCACTCTCTCCTCCAGTACGGTATGAAATCCCCTCGTCATTTAACATGAGAAGGAGGCAGCAAGGACTCAAGGCAAAGAGCAGGGTACATGCATACAATGATATATGAATATATAAACCAACGACGAGCCGGACAAGACGAGCCGGACAACACGAGCATAGCATGACCATCTCCTCTTCTAATCGTGCGTAAACAGAGATAGGAAAGAGACACGAAATACTACTCTGAGCACCTACACAGAGTACATTAAAAATACCCTGAATAGATAATATAGAATACCTACTACGTGGAATATTGCAAGAAATTATAAAGAAAATAATATACCGAGAACTGTCGTCGTCTCTCTAAATCTTGGCACTCTAAAGCCGTGTTCCTGGCCGCCCCACCAAAGATCCTCGCTCATCCGATGGTACAGTACATACAGCCAATCATTCCCACCACTTTCGGTGGCCTGCATCAAATCATCTACGCGTCTCCAATCGCGTCTCTGGTGCCCCCCAAGCGCGATAGCCTCAAAATTCAACGTCCAGGTAAAACACCTTTGTTGCCCTCATCGCCAAAACGAACAACGATGCCGTCACTTTCGACAGGCAACCGTCGCCGGCGGGTGCCTGATCCCGAAAGTAGCGATGAAGGGGACGATTCTCCTGCGTCGACTGACCCCAGAGTGTCTGGCGCATCGAAACGCGCGAGGACAGGGCAAGATACTTCACAACTTTCCGACGACGACCTGGATCAAAGTGCAATGAATGGCATAGCTCTCCGTCAGAACGGAAAGGGCCATAGCCAAGACGGATTTCAGCCTGGCGCCATCACGAGAGTCAAGGTGAACAACTTTGTTACCTACGAAGACGCCGTTTTCAACCCAGGGCCGAATCTCAATATGGTTATTGGACCGAACGGCACAGGCAAGAGCTCACTGGTCTGTGCGATCTGTATCGGCCTTGGGTACGGTGCAGCCAACCTCGGGCGAGCGGCGAAATTCAGCGAATTTGTGAAGCACGGCAAGGACCAGGCTACGATTGAAATCGAACTACAAAGAAAACCCGAAGATCGCTCGAACTATATAATCAAAGTCCGCATTACAAGAGAAGGCGATAAACGGAAGTGGTGGATCAACGGCTCCGAAGTACCTTTGAAGAATGTACAGCAGTTGGTCAGAGGTCTTGGGATTCAGGTGGACAATCTATGCCAGTTCTTGCCACAAGATAGGGTCTCTGAGTTTTCTGGACTTAGCCCAGTAGCCCTCTTACATGAAACCCAAAGAGCTGCAGCGCCGCCTGAGATGCTTACATGGCATGACGAACTCAAGGTCTTACGTAAGAATCAGAAGGGCATCCAACTCAATCTCGAAACCGATGAAGAGACTTTGCGCACGCAAGAGGAACGCCAGGAAGGTCTTCGCGGAGATGTTGAGCGGTTGCAGGAGAGGGCTCAAATACAAGACAGAGTTGCATTACTTGAATCGAGCGTCCCTTTCGTCGACTACAATGTTAAGAGACGCCATTATATTGAGTGTAGGGAAAGAGCAAGAGAAGCGAAGAATCAAGTCGTAGCTCTAGAGGCAGAATTTGCCCCAACGGTGCAGGCAGTTAATAATAAGGAGGAGTATTATCGCCGAATCGACGTGGCTGTAAAGGAGCGGAAAAAGGACCTCCTGAATTCAGAGCGTGCGGCAGACAACTTCTTCGCGCAGGTCGAAGTAGCGAATGAGGGCATCAAGGAGCTAGAGCAGAAGGCCAAATCGGAACGGGATGGAGAGCAGAAACGCAAACAGCAACATGCTGTCATAAAAGAAAAGATTGCTGCTTTGGAAGCTCAGTTGAAGAATGAGCCGCCAGCGTTCGATGGGCCGGAATGGAATGCCAAAATTGTAAGTTGCTTATAGATACAGAAGCGAAGCCAGATCTAACTGTCTTCCATAGAGAGCTGAGGAGCATAAGTGTCGCGAAATCGAAGCTGAACAGCGCCAAGTGACCGAGAAACGCGAGGATCTCGACAGACAAGGGCTTGATGTCAAAGCTCGGGTTGGTGAGAAGGAGCGGGAGCTCGCAACCCTAAACTCTCAGCAAGGTAAGAATATTAGCTTGCTCAGAAGTATCTCCAGAGATGCGGCAACGGCATGGGAATGGATTCAGGCAAATCGCAACAAGTTCGAGAAGGATGTCTTTGGGCCACCGCTCATTGAATGCAGAGTCAAGGATCCCCGATATGCCAACGCCATTGAATCTCTCTTCCAAAAGAACGATTTTATGGTCATCACAGCACAAACAAGCGCAGACTTCAAAATATTGGACGAACATCTACTGGGAGCCTCTAACCTCAGACTTGCTGATATCAACTTGAGGACCGTATCTAGGAGCCTTGGCCAGGTCCGAAATTCACCTATGCCGACCCACGAGCTGGAAAAACTTGGCTTGGATGGATGGGCCTTGGATTACGTCGATGGCCCTGAGCCAGTCCTTTCAATGTTGTGTGGCGCCGTGAGGCTAGACAGAATTGCCGTGGGGCTGAAGGATCTAAACGAGAGCCAGTATAATGCTCTCACGTCGAGTGCAGTAGCAACTTTTGTTACAGGGCGCTCTCATTACAGTGTCCAGCGTCGCCGAGAATACGGCCCCGGAGCTACATCGACGACCACAAAGTCTATACAGAATGCTCGTTACTGGACCGGCCAGCCTATCGACACCAATGATAAGCATGAACTCGAAGAAACGCTCAAAGCCTTGCGGGAAAACTTTGGCGTCATGAAGGTTGAATCTGGTGTGCTAAAGGAGAAACTGCGCGCGTTGAGCGAGCAAAGAAGCACTATCTTGGAAACGATAGTATGTAAAACCTGGCCCTCATGTTACCGAAATTTTACTCATTACATCTAGAAAATCCTCAAGGCAAAGAAGAACGAAGCGCAATTAATTGCCGGACGATTCCAGGCACTCCCAGGCAAAATAGGTATGACGATCCAACCCCATTCGCTTTGATGTCCCTACTAACGCACTAACAGAGCGGGAGAAAGAGAACTTCCAGGCAATGAAGCTGGTCAGTGACAACTACCGTGCGCGGATGCGAGAGGTCGAGGCTCAAACCGACGAGCTGGTCCTCAAGAAAAACACTCTATCAATCGAATACAAAGCCCTCGTTCAAGGCATCCGAACAGCGCATCTCTCCCTCCAAGAAGCCAAATTCCGCCTCATCGAAGCCGCCTCCGACGTCGAATCCCTCAAAGAGCACTCCTCCGACATCACGCGCCGCGTCCAGCAAGAGCGTCAAAACTACGAGCGCGCAAACGAGGAATACAAAAACGTCAAGGCGCAAGCCATCGCCGTCCACAACCAGTGCATATCCATCCTTGCCGAGGGGAATAACAAGGAGTACTTCGAGACCATCGATAAGGACCTCACCATCGAGCAACTGGAGCAGGATATTGACGCCGAGAAGTCCAAGCTCGATTACATCCATGACGGCAATCCGGGCGCCCTCCGCGAATTCGAGTCCCGCCAAGTAACCATCGACCGCCTCACCACGACCATCACATCCGCGCGCGCCGAGCTCACCTCAGTCGACCACTCCATCGCGACGCTGCGCGCACGATGGGAACCCGAGCTCGACAAGCTCATCGCCTCCATCAGCGCGGCCTTCGCGCACAACTTCGAGCAGATCGGATGTGCGGGCGAAGTCGGCGTTCACAAAGACGAAGACTTCGATCTCTGGGCCATCGAGATCCGGGTTAAGTTCCGCGAGAACGAGACACTGCAACAGCTAGATCAGCATCGGCAGAGTGGCGGGGAGCGCAGCGTCAGCACGATCTTCTACTTGATGGCGCTGCAGAGTTTGGCGAGGAGTCCGTTCAGGGTTGTGGATGAGATTAACCAGGGTATGGATCCGAGGAATGAGAGGATGGTGCATGAGCGGATGGTGGATATTGCGTGTCGGGAGCATACGAGCCAGTATTTCTTGATCACGCCGAAGCTGTTGACGGGGCTGAGGTATGATAGGAGGATGAAGGTGTTGTGTATTGCGAGTGGGGAGCATATGCCGAGGGATCATAGGACGCTGGATATTAGGTCGGTGATTGCGAGTCGGAGGGCTATTATGATGCCGGTGATGTGAGGGGTGGGGGGCAGAATGGATGAACTCAGGGTAGGGTTGGTGCGGGTGGGCATGTGGTTGGCGCTTGGAGTTTGATGTATAGCGATATGATAGATACCAGAGTGGTGATTTGCAGCGACCGTCTGGAACATGGAATGTTTTGCTGGCTGGGTATTCGATTTCAGGGGGTTTATCACGAGGCTCTAAGATAATATAACGAGGATACGGTTTGTAAACATAGAAGAACGACTCCGAAGAATCAAATGATTTCAATCCCTCCCTTCTTTCGCAGGAAAGCTCCCAATAACCATGTAATCCCTCTTCCTCAGGCTCTCCCCTTCCCCAATCCACCCACCGTCCCAGCAAGCGAAACGCCCACCCCCCTTTTCCCAAGCCAACCCTCCAACCCCCAACCTCAGGCCACCCACCCATCTAGCGAACCACCCACCCCCTTATAAACCAACTTAACTCCCTTCCTCCCAGCGGCACAGTGGCGCAGTGGTAGTACCACTGTCTGGACAATCTGGCCAGCGGAGGATAAGGGAAGGTTATGGATTCAACACCCGGTTATGAAAGGAAAGGAAAGAAATAGAAAGAGTTTGGAAACGAGCGATCAACAACACGACAAAAAAGTAAAATCACAAAGTTGATTTTCTCCCTCACCAGATATTAAAAGATATCTGATGAGTCTTTTGCACTTTTGAGATTCTGAAGTGAGGTTTTTGACTTACTTTTTGCTCAACATTGTTGTTGAAGTGAACGAGTGTATGGACTTTCCAATATCAACAGCTCAACATCTCAAAACGTCAGCAATTCGTATCCAAACATAAAACACCCCAGAGCAACATGCAAAAAGGATCTTGTTACCTTGGTGTTTACTACGTGTTGTTATCGAAGCGAACAACAGTACAGCCTTTCCAACATCAACACCTCAAAAGACATCAAGTCAAACCCCCTCACTACCTCAAAGTTCACATCCAAAGAAAAACAACACAGGAGAAAAACACGCGGAAAGATCTTGTTACTATGATCTAGAGGTGTCTTTTGCTGCCAACCACCCACCACCCACGCCGTACACCTATAGGTATATTTCCTCTGTCCCCTACTGCGCCATACCTACACTCACTCACTCAAGGCCCCTAGGCCGTCTCGCCCTACTCTGGTCTGCGGGCTGTGATTACATAGCTATTGTCGTCAGTAGTGCACTCCCCAATACTTCCACCCACATAACAACCCAGAATGGATAGGGGGGTTGGGGGGGAGAAGAGAAGAGAAAAAAACTCACAAAGGAAACCAAGCATGAATCCCCCTATCCTTAACCTCCTTCCTAACATTCACCAAAAACACAAGCACCTCCTCCTCCGTCCACCCCAACGCCTTCACAAAAACCCTCATCGTCATAACCTCCATCCCACTCAACAGATTCTCCATCTCCCACGCCCCGAGGACCTTCATCCGCGTATCCTTTGGCCACGTATTAATGGGCAGCTTAAAAATCTTGAGAGTGATATCCACGAAACCGCGCTCTTCGAACCAGCCTTTCCAGCGGATCGGGTCGTCGATGGGGGTGCCGAACATGCGGGAAGAGGTGATCAGGTTGGAGGTGAATTGTTCGAGGGCGCCGCCGGGGGGGACGGTGTTGTCGTCGCTGCCGAGGAGGGCGGTTATGCCTTGGAATTCGACCCAGCCGCCGGGTTTGACGTGGCTGTGGGGGGGGGGTTAGTTTGTGGATTAGATCAAGATGGGGGAAGGGGTGGGCGGGGTGACTGGGGAAATGGGAAGGGGGGGAGAGGGAGGGAGGGGAGTACGTGTAGCACTGGTCTATCAGCTTAGGCCAGTCGCGGATGCAGTAGATTAGGTCGCGGAGGAAGATGAGGTCGAAGCTATTCTTACTCCACATCCAGGGCTCTTCCATATCGTCGAGCTCGAAGCGGCAGTTCGGGGGGACCCTGGTGGTGGTGTTAGTACTTGGGGGGTGCAAACGTGGGAACAGGGAGGGGTTACCATTCTGGCTGGGTGGGTGCGATGTCAACTCCAATGACCTGGGTATGTTAGATTATGGCATCGATATAGTGTGTAGGTGGAACTCACCTCGGCGGATGGATATTCATCAGCGACGTCGATACACCAGATTCCTAAACCAATATATAAGCCAAGCCCACCCCAGCATGTAGGGTCTCCTCACCAGTTCCACAACCCAGATCCAGGATCTTCTGCGGGGAATCCCCAATAGGAGCCAAAAAGCGTTTCTTCTCAATAAGCCCATAGTACTTGGCATGCGACATGTCCAAGCGGTTCAACTCCGTGTCGTCCATCGGGAGTCCATATTCTGCCAATGGTCAGTCGCTGTTCATTGAATTGGCTAGGGGGAGCATCAGTGCGTTGCGCTGCTTTGCTTACCCTCTTTCCCGTAGACTGCGTATGTCCTGCCGCCCTCGGCGACCTCGCCGCGCAGCACGGACGATGTTATGGAGGTGAAGGCGCTGCCGCCGGCGGAACTACCTGAATCGAAGGCCTGACCGCGGCACGTTAGCCATCTATAACTACCCAGCTATACAGCCACCAGAGTGGGGTTGTAGCAGGTCTCTTACCTCATCATCAAAGTCGGCAAGCGCGTCATTCTGCGACAATGGTTAGCAGCTGCGTGCGGGAAGTGCAGGAGGACGAGGTGAGGCCATGAAACCGCATCGTGTCAAGAGAAGCCAAAGATTCTCTCTGGTATCGTGTGCGCCTCTTGGCCCTCCACGCAGGCGCTAATGCTCACCTCGTCCACCATGATCTGGTGCTCCTGCTCCTCGACGGGGTGAAGCTGAGCGGCAGTAGGTTCGGCAGTAGTAGCGGCGGTAGTGGTGGTGGTGGCTACAGGTTCGGCAGTAGCAGCGGTTGTGGCCACAGGAGCGGGCGTGGGAGCCTCGGCTGCGACGGCTTGCGCCAACTGTTCGTCCATGGTGTATCTAGGTCGGGGAGAGATATAATGGAGAGAGAGATCTGAAGGAAAGGGAAAGAGGGGGGAGATGTATAAAAAGAATTCGCTCGGTGTGGGTGAGGGAGTTAGAAGTAGGTCGATCGATGCGAGGGTGGTAGTAGTGGGTGGTGGACGCGTAAGATATACGATTCGGTCATCGGCGGTAAAATCCGGTACGGCTCGCACCTCCCGTAGGCGGCTAGATGGGATTGAGTTCGGCGGTTATAGGGTGGGATGAACGGGTGAGAGGAGGGGTTTTGAGGGTTCAAAGAGGGGGTCTTTGTGTGATTGTTGTGGTTTTAGGTGGTTTGTTGTGGGTAGCTAAAGAGAGCTAGACAGAGCTAGAGTAACTAGTAGTAGGTAGTAGTAGGTAGTAGTAGGTAGTAGTAGCTAGAGAAAGTATTCGTACGGGTCTGTGCTTTTTACCACACAAAAAGACACTCATTTACTGCAATTTTGGCACAGACCCGTACGAATACTTTTGTCGCCGTACTGTACTAAAGTCAGACGGATGAGGCACGTGGGCGGAGTACAGAGGGGTTGTAGGGGGTTGTAGGGGGTTGTAGGGGGTTGTAGGGGGTTGTAGGGGGTTGTAGGGGGTTGTAGGGGGTTGTAGGGGGTTATAGTGGGTTGTAGTGGGTAAGAGAGGGGTAAGAGAGGGGTAAGAGAGTGGTAAGAGAGGGGTAAGAGAGGGGTTCCTAGGGTTATGCCTGATAAAGCTGATATGATATGCATGTTTATTTATGGGTCCGTATGCGCATGTTAGTGGCTATGAATGCCTGCGATTGGAAGGAACGACTACGGACCACGTGGCCGCTGAAGAATTAATTTACATGCTTTAGGTTTAGATGGGTAAAAGAGTCATATACCATGTAAACTAGTAAAAAAGAATCGCTTACCCTGTGATACTATTTTTTTATTTTTCTACTGTGCAAACCGTAATAGGAAGCCCCCCCCTATTCGGCCCACTTTCCCCGATCCCCTTCCTCTACCAATTCGACTAACACCATACTGGCTCTGAAAGCTCGAAAGCCATCTTATCGCCTTGCTGAGTCGCCAGCCGCCGCCCTCATTGTTTCATGGGCTTGAACCTCTTCCTCCTACTCCGTCCTCGCGCTGTAGAACCTGTGGATAGACAGGTCACAACGCCAGGACATGCCGCCGTCCTCACAATTGAGGACGGCGGCTTCTACGGTTATGGGCTGGGGCGAGCAGGGGCGGAGGCACTATGTGGGGAGGGCGCATGGTATATTGTTCTTTTTTGCAATTACATACTAGTTTACATGGTATATGATTCTTTTACCCTTAGGTTTAAACGGTAAGCTCCAATCCAGCCGCTGTTACAAGGGGAAAGTTCAAGGGTGGGCGTATGGGCAGTGTATGGGTGAGTATATATCGAGTCGTACATGAGTGTGCCATATGAGCCTGCTTGTATTGTATGAGTGATCAAAAACTGGGAATGGGCGAGGTGGTGGTTGCAACGACAGGCTGTGACTGCCTCAGACAAGACACGCCCACTGGTGGCTCCTTGATGCATCTCCATGGCAAGATGGCAAGGCGTCCCAAGCCGTCTCATCCGTCCCATACCGTCTCATCCGTCCCATACCATCTCATCCGTCCCATACCGTCTCAACCCCCTCTGCCCCACTAGAAGATTGTGAAATGTCTTCGCGATGGCGAACATGTACATAGTATGTTACGGTGAGTGCGGGATCGGGTTTGCGTGGGATGCAGGGTGGTGGGGGAGAGAGATGGGATGCTAGCTGGTTGTTGTACAGGCTGAATTGCTATCGCGCTACGGGATATCGGGATGTGGGTATTTTGATTATGAGAGAGGGGAGTGGGCTGGCCTGCAGGGACGACATGGGGCGGTAGGGGGGAGAGGGCGGGTGCATCCGGTGGAGCTAGTTAGGGAAGGTTTGGACGCTGATCGGGGGGTGGTTGTGTTTGGCGGCAAGCTACATTTTTACACGATTGGAGTGATGAAGGATGGCAAAAGGGGAGGACACCAAAACACCAATTTGTGCACAACAGCATAAACTCATGTATCGATCACATATAAAATATGAGGCGAGATACACCATCGATTTGCGCGCAGCCCTGTACGTGGCTTTTATAGCCCCCCCACTCACAAAACTTATGAACATAACCTCCCTATATAATGCTGCCGACTACTATCACTTGCCACCTCCGTTTGGACTTAAGCATCAACCTTAGCACCTAAAGGATATCCTCTCCCTCTTGTATAGAGAGACTACCTACCCCCTTGCATTATACGCCTCTTGCGCTTCTTTTCCCTCCCGTTTTCTGTTCATTTGCCGCTTGTAGAGCCTTACCTTCTGCTTTAAGTAGAATAGCAGAATGCATCATAACCTAAGCTCCTTTAGCAAGCTGGCTTAGTGTGTCATTAATTGAGCTAGGAGAGCTATTCTAATGCTGTATAATGCAGTTCTTAATGTGCTCTGTTCAAAAGTTAAGCTCCCTTATAGTTTGAGAAGTCTTTAAAGTCTAATTGTTACTCTTAACTATAGGAGGAGTTAGAGTCCTTAAGTGTAGATTTAAGTAAGAAAGGACATTCTATGGCTCGTACAGAACTAATCCTGTTGCTTAGAACCCACTCTTGATATTCTGCTCTGTAAATGCAGCATTAAATGCTTCTTTAAATGTAGAGAGAAACTCAAGCTTTGTGATATGATTTAGCCTGTGCTATACAAAGGTTTTAATCTAAAGCCTCTACAAAAGCTTTAATAGAGCAAAGCAGCTAACGTCAAGTGGCTAAAGTATGTACGACAAGTGTGGTAGCATATAGAGAGTGGTTATCTTCTGTTCTTGTATGACTGTTTGTATGTTGATTAAAGTATTAAATCCACTCATACCTAATTGAATTTAAAGTCCACCCATTCTCACTTAGTGTAATCACCTAATCATGTAGTAATCCCAAGTCCTCGTACTAAGCAGAGAGGTGGTTCTGCACCTTAAAATTGATAAATGGCAGGAGTGCCTATCTATACGAATTAACACCTTAGATAATTGACACCCATTCCCTATTTCCTAGCTATGTAGTCTTCAGACAACTCTTTGCTTCTAAGCTTATAACCACCTTTAGTAGCAATAACTCCCATTATAAAGCCTGATTTATCAAAGTTGTAGATATCTTGCTCTAAGATACTATTTTTTTGCAACTTTGTTTTATACAAGGTAAAACCACTCATAAATTATCTTAGGATCTTTACATTTTGCTCGTTTGTAATTGTACTTCTAGCTAAACTTTGCTTTAGTTCCTATACAACACTTTATAAGGTTAGTAGTCTAGTTTATCCTAATAGGGCCCCTACCTCATTTAGAAAGTAGGAGATTGGCCATTTCTTACATACCTTATGGCTAGGGTGGAAATCATGTGAATCTAGGTCAAGAATATACTAAACAAGAGCTGACTCTTTGTATAGAGTTAATTTTCGTAAGTTGGGGGTAGAGTCACGTTAAGAAGTAATACTCTAAGCATGTCATCTAAGTGTTGCTTTAGGGACATTGTACGACATTATTAATTAGATAGCTAGAAGTAGAGGTTTTAAGTTGAGTTAGTGTTACTATATGTTGAATTTTGTTAAGTTGACACGTTTCAGTGTTTCGGTACATTACTCGCTTGTATGTGTCACTTACATATGAAATAACGTAGTTTATAAGTAAGTTGCCTACACAAGCTCACTGCTGATTTTTTCTTAGCATCATACAAAATTATAAAATGTCCTAACAATTAACGTACATGTATAGCGAAAGCGCCAAACAAGCGGAAAGCGCCAAAATTATCTACCCTCACGACAAACATTGCGATAAATCTACCACAACATTAGAAATCAATTGAAACTACTCGGAGTCCTCTTCCTCAGAGGTGTCTATTACAATCTGACACGTGCGCGCATTGTGCCCAGTCTCACCACACTTGCCACAGCGACGGGCACGGGTTTCTTCCCTTGGCTTCCGACCACGGCTTGCCCTTATTTCCTGCTCTACCTGCTGCACAACATCCCTCTCATCCTGTAGCTCTTGCGCCCCTTGTTGACTAAGTGATCCTCCTTGCTGTAGTCGTGTTTTCCTAGCTCTCCGGCGCTTGCTTAGTACTTCATTTGCCTGTCGTAGGTTTTGGTTCTCTCCCTTTAGCAGTGCTAATTGATGCATTATTTGCGATGCACCCTTTGTAAACTGGTCAACAGCTGCATAGATTGAGGTTGGAGAGCTATTTTGATGGCGTGAAATCCGAGTTTTAATAAATGTAGACTGTGACATAGCTTCAATTGGGTTGTTTGGTGTCTGAGAAACCCAAGGTTGAGCAGTACCTGGGCGGGAGCTTGGAGGCGTTGGTGTCCTTAACTTAAGATCAAGTGTAGATATCACTCTCTCAGGGTCAAATGGAAGAAGCCCTGCCCCTCGGAACCTGCCTCGAATGTTACTTTCCGTCATTGTAGTGTTAAATGCAGCGTGGAAGGCAGGAAAGAAGTCATCCTTTGTAATATGAGAAATATGAGCCTGCATCATATCTTCAATTTGCCGACCATAGGCCTGCTTTAACGGGCCGAAACAGCCAACATCAAGTGGCTGGAGTAGATGAGAAGAGTGAGCAGGCATACAAAGCGTAATAATGTTGTGTTCCTTGCAGTACTCCTCAAACTCATCTGAGTGGTGGCTCTCATGACCATCAAGGACTAACAAGCGATAACCACCAACACTCCGGGCCTTTGTATGCTTCTCAAAGTGCTGAATCCAATCCATGCCTCTCTCGTTTGTAGTCCAGCCATTTTCAGTAACAGAAATCACCCAATCGCTTGAAAATCCACTATTCTCATACCAAGATGTAAGGTGGTTTTTGCCTGCAACAATGATAAATGGTGGTACTGCCCAACCTTGAGAACTAACGCCTTGGATTACTGTAACCCATTCCCGATTACCAGGCTGTACCTTCTTTGCTTTTGCCCGCCCGTCTGAGCTTGTTACAACCATAGCAGTTGAGATAACGCCCATCATAAACCCAGTCTCATCAAAGTTGTAGATATCTGCTTCATCGATACCATATTTTGCAATTGTGTTACGCACAAGCTCAAACCAGCCATTAATAACTTCTGGATCTTCGCACTTAGCCCTCTGGTAGTCGTATTTGCGCTGAAAGCGTGTCTGGAGCTCTACACGCCGCTTAACAAAGTTTGAAGCCCAACGCGACCCAACGCGTGACGCGTCGCGTGTTGCAAGTAGTCGACTTGCCATATCTTCAACAACAGACAGCCGAGGAGGAAACCCTTTGGCAGCTAGGTCGAGTATATACTGAACAAGGACGGACTCCTCT